TGTTCATGTTAAATTGTTAGTCATTATTCTTTGTGTTGTTTGTGTACAGGAACCGTTTGGACTTCAAGTGCTCACATAATTACTGCTGTGATAGGATCTGGGGTTCTGTCCTTGGCTTGGGCCATGGCTCAGCTTGGATGGATTGCTGGTCCTATTGTGATGGTCTTGTTCTCCTTTATCACCTACTACACTTCAACTCTTCTTGCTGCCTGCTACCGTGATCCCGTCACTGGAAAGCGAAACTACACTTATTCAGATGCTGTTCGATCCAACCTTGGTGAATTTTGATGATGTTTTGATCTTTTGGCCACATGAAAGAATTGTTCTTTCTTTTTCTTTTTCTTCTGGTCCAAAGGTCAAAAGCTCAATCTTTGTTCTGCTAATTTCAATTTTTCAGGTGCACTTCAGGTCAAATTCTGTGGATCTGTTCAGAACGTGGCCCTTTTTGGAATTTCTATTGGCTTCAATATAGCAGCAGCTATAAGCATGGCGTAAGTCTAGAGTGTTTATACTCAATTAAGAATTTGGTGATGTTTGAATACATATCATGTTAGTTATTTTGAAATGTTCTTTGGGATAATTGTTTTCTCTATTGATTAAACAGGGCAATACAGAGGTGTAATTGCAACCACAAGAGTGGTGGAAAAAACCCATGTCATATAAACAACAATCCCTACATGATAGCTTTTGGTGTCTCAGAAATTTTGTTGTCTCAAATTCCAAACTTTGATAAGTTGACCTGGCTCTCCATTGTTGCTGCAGTCATGTCCTTCACTTACTCAGGAATTGGACTAGCCCTTGGAATTGCTAAAGTTGCTGGTACAAATAGCTACCTTTCGCTTCTAAATCTGAACTTAGTTTTAAGAATTCAAGTTGTTCTTGTAAAATTGATCGAAGCTTGTTTTTTGTGCTTGTTAACACCAGAAAATGGAAAAATCAAGGGAAATATCACTGGAATTATCGTTGGCGTGACTCCAATTCAAAAGATGTGGAGGACCTTCCAAGCACTTGGTAACATAGCTTTTGCCTACTCTTACTCTATCATCCTCATTGAAATTCAGGTTTATATCTTCTTCCGAAGTCACAATGCCATATGTTTCTCAGTGATTTTTGCATTTAACACAAACATTTACATGTACCAGGACACAATTAAATCCCCACCGTCTGAGTACAAAACAATGAAGAAGGCCACTCTACTTAGTTTGACACTGACATCCATTTTCTACATTCTGTGTGGCTGCATGGGCTATGCCGCTTTCGGAGACTTGTCCCCTGGAAACCTCCTCAGTGACAAAGGTTTCCACAATCCATATTGGCTCATTAACATAGCCAATGCTGCCATAGTGATCCACGTTGTTGGTGCATACCAAGTGTTTGTGCAACCCATTTTCGCGCTCGTTGAGAAAACAGCAGCAAAAGTTTTCCCAGATAGCCAATTCATCACAAAAGACATCAAAATCCCAATCCCCGGTTTCGGTGTCTACAACCTTAACCTCTTCAGATTGGTGTGGAGGACATTCTATGTTTTCATAACCACTTTGATTTCCATGATCCTCCCATTCTTTAATGATGTGGTTGGATTTCTTGGGGCTTTGGTATATTGGCCACTCACAGTTTACTTCCCTGTGGAGATGTACATTGCTCAAAAGAAGGTACCAAAGTGGAGCAGAAAATGGATTTTCCTCCAAGTCATAAGTCTTTCTGTCCTTGTAATAGCTCTAGCTGCTGCAGCTGGCTCAGTTACTGGTGTGGTTCAAAACCTCAAGATCTACAAGCCCTTCAAGACCAGCAGTTGATTTAGCATAGCCTTTACTTGTAGTGCCATTATTATTTCTCAATGCCAAACACAAGAATTCAAGCAAAACCTTATTAAACTTTAATTTCTTGCTACAATTTTTTAATGTCCAACTGAATTCTATATCATCAATCATATGGTCCTGTCACTGACATGCCCTTCCAGAAAATATGGTACCTTCACAAGCACCATTGAGAGTGCGGTTTGTTAAACTTCCACTGACAAAAAATGAAACTGGTCGTCAAATCTAAGAATTACTACTTGGAAAGGTATTTCTAGGTTGATTTGAATATATATGGTGATCTTTTGAGTAGAAGTAAAACAATTAATTAACTTGCACTTTCTTTTTTGAAATCTAATAATCAAAATTTTAGGGTCCGTTTGACAACTATTTCAATTTTAGTTTTTAGTTTTCAGGGATTTGAATCCTCCCCTCTCATCCTCTCTTTCAATCTCATACTCACTCCCATTCTTACTCTCCTCTATACCCTAGCACAAAAAATGAAAAATGAAAACTAAAAACTAAAATTGAAATGGTTATCAAACGAGCCCTTAATCTTGAACTATTTAATTCTGAACATGGATATTTCAGTTTTAGTATTGTCAGATGCCCTATTTGAAAGTTGTACGACTACCCATATTGAAAAGGAATTTTGTTCCTACTTGTAAATGTTCATGCCCAAGTAGGCTTACAAACTGATCATGATCAAATGCTTTCTGGGTTGCGTCAGATCAAGCTATCCAATTTTATCCCAAAAAAAATACAAAGAATTTAGTTTATTATTTTGTCCACACAAAAAAAGAAAAGAATTTCTTTTATCCATTCGACCAAACAAAAAGAAAAATAATTCACTTTATCTACTTTCAAATATTACAACTGGAATAAAAACTGACTTGTGATAGAATCAATGAAATAGTAGTTACTAGACCACCAAGAGAGGAGGCGAGGCAAATGTGTCCTTTTGACTCAAAGCCTCATCAAAAATATAGGTGGCTCTAAAGGATGAGGCAAATAGTTGAAATAATTATTACTTTCTTATTTAGTTTTACCCATGGAGGTTCTTTTAAATTTATAAAAATGGTTGGGCGTCAAATTGCCTCACACTTTACAACAAGGTATTTTGTCTTTGTCTAGAAAAGGTGATGAATCACTCCTTGAAGCTTGACAATGGTGACAAGGAAATTTTGGTTTGCTTTGCTACATACCTCATCCCTTGAAGATGCTAATTAAGCAGCTTTGAGAGTGTTTTTCTCTGTTATTTTGGTTGGCCTGGAAAAGAAACAATATGCAACTCAATATGGTTACGGTTGCATCCGAGGTTCTATGTTCGAATTACCTATTCTTCAATATTGCTTGTATAAAAAAAAGCTCATAACACATCAATTTTGGAGCACAATATTCCTGTTGCAGGCTTGGTGAGACCAAATATCATTGTTGAATATTTATTTAAATTCTGTAGTTTTGTTCTTCTTTTTGTTATTTTTTATCCAGGAATCTTACATGTTGGAGCCTCATCTTTGGTCTGCTGAACAGGGATTCCAAGTGATTCCTCCCTTGAAGTTAAATGAATCAACTGTTTTTTTAACACCAAGATTATTCATATAAATATTCGAAAACCAGTTAATATCTTGGTTTAATCTGCTCCTCTGTTTTCAGCTGCACAACAGCTGGCCAACAAGATGTCTTTTTTTTCTTCTCTTTTTTTCTTGAGTATCCAGTAGAAGATGTCAAAATTCCAGTGCTAAATCGAGTGAGTGGTTAAGTTAGTGGGTCTTTTGGTGCAATATGTCTGGATTATTTTAATGTCACTATCACTTAAAAAAAAAGAAGAAACGTTTGACTGATATATTATTGATGAAAATGCTCTGAATGGGTTGATATACTCTCTCTCTCTCTCTCTCTCTCTCTCTCCTCTCTCTCTCTCTCTCTGTGTTGTGGGGATGAATAATTATGTGAGAACCATATTCATTATTCTTATCTTTCAGTAAGGGATGGATGATAAGCCTTACACGGGGGACAATTTTTTATTCTGATTTCTAGGGTGGTGTTTTAAAGAGAGATTAAAATATCGGTTTTTAGCAGCTATGAATTCTGCTATATAAGGAAGCTCTGATTGATCCAAGATATGCACAACCAACAACCAAACTAATATCCATCTCTCTGTTGTTGGGTTGCTGCATTTTGCATAAGCAAAGAGGCTTAGCAAGCAACGAATGACGGTAAGGATCTTAAGAAGCTCTTGTTTTTCAATGTCAGCTACTAATTCATAGCATTGTTTGGAGCACTTTGCTTATTTAGCATGAACTTTCTTGCTGCATAAACTAGTATATACGCACAAGTATGTATCACGAAGTCATGTTAAAGTAATTTTTTCATTGCCAAGGTCAAAATCTGTGGATATATAGGTTTGAACCTTAGATTACTGGTCTACAAGTTTAAGGTTTTTTTTACCCGATTAGACCTCGTTGGTTATGTTTTTTAGTAGTTTACATGGCTAACATTTGGTTGATGCACAACCATATAATCAAACGGCATGACTTGTATGATTAAAAGTTTTCAACTGTTACTACAAGTACTATAATAATAACTACATCCCAAAATTGAGCAACTCAAAACAGTGGCTCCTGTTGATCTGGGGGTCTTGGCCGTTAGGAACAAAATAGAAGTTACGTGTGAGAGTTGAAAGTTGAAAAGGAGAGGAGGGAGAAAGTGCTTTTGGTGGGTCACTACACTAAAAATATCAAAGTTGGGAGAGATTTTTAAAATCTTTGAAGTTCAGTCAAGTTGGATGAAACTTTGGAGTGTGTGTTGCACACAGGCAAATATTGCATTCGGTGGTTGACGTTTGAGTCTTCTTGGGTCTATTAGACCACGTGGCCTTGCACTTTCTTGCCACAGAATTGCTATATATACCCCCACCTCCCATTTCCATGTTGCATACCGACTTCAATTCTCTGTACTTCATTTGGGTTTCTGTAGCTCTTCTTGGGGTGTGTGTAGTGTGACATTCTAAGTGTCAGTTCATTGTGTTGTAGCAGAGAGCTAAACAAGCTCATATAACTAGTCTTAGATCAATTAAAGAACAAAACCCATCTCTTTGTTTTCCTTCTTTTTTCATAGATTTTGAGTGCATAGAGCTAAAGACTTGTTCTTTTATCCTACACAAATTAAAAGGCTTGAACTTTTGTGTCTTTTATGACAAAGATGGGTGACAATACAAAGAACCAGCAGCTTCATCACCACCAAATTTTTGACGTCTCAGTTGATGTGCCTCCACAAGGAGGCTCCAAGTGCTTTGATGATGATGGTCGTCTCAAACGAACTGGTAAATTTACCTTCTTTACCACAGAAGTATGCTAAAAAGCATTTAAAAGACAGGTCTTTGGCCTTGATCATGTTAAATTGTTGGTCATTAATCTTTGTCTTGCTTGTTTACCAGGAACTGTTTGGACTTCAAGTGCTCACATCATTACTGCTGTGATTGGTTCTGGTGTTCTTTCCTTGGCTTGGGCCACAGCTCAGCTTGGATGGGTTGCTGGTCCTTCTGTCATGCTCTTGTTCTCCTTTGTCACTTACTACACTTCCACTCTTCTCTCTGCTTGCTATCGTTCCGGCGATTCTGTCACTGGAAAGAGAAACTATACTTACATGGATGCTGTTAGATCCAACCTTGGTAAATTTTGCTAGTGGTTTGATCTTTTTGGCCATATGAAAAAGAAAAAAAAAGGTAGTCTTTTACCAAAAGTTCTAAAGTTTTGTTCTGTGAACTTTGATTTTCTTAGGTGGAGCTAAGGTCAAAATCTGTGGATGTGTTCAGTACTTGAACCTTTTTGGAGTATCCATTGGCTACACAATAGCATCATCTATAAGCATGATGTAAGTCTGAGTATTTAAAACTCAATTAGGAATCTGATGATGTTGTTTTTTAGTGATGTTAAAATAATATTTGGGCTAATGGTTTTTTTTCTTTTCTTCTGGTATTGATTAAACAGGGCAATAAAAAGGTCTAACTGCTTCCACAATAGTGGTGGGAAGAATCCATGCCATATAAACAGCAACCCCTATATGATTGCTTTTGGCATCACAGAAATTATTTTCTCTCAAATTCCAAACTTCGATCAACTTTGGTGGCTCTCCATTGTTGCTGCAGTCATGTCCTTCACTTACTCAACAATTGGACTTGGCCTTGGAATTGCTCAAGTTGCAGGTACAAATAGCTAGCTTTGCAGCTAACCTTATGATTTAAAATCTGAACTTATTAGTTTTTGGGATTAAATTGGGTATTACTAAAGATGACTGAAGCTTGCATTTTCTGCTTGTCAATTGCCAGCAAATGGAAACATCATGGGAAGCATGACTGGAATAAGTATTGGCACTGTGACTCCAATGCAAAAGATGTGGAGGAGTTTCCAAGCACTTGGTGACATAGCTTTTGCGTACTCTTACTCTCTCATCCTTATTGAAATTCAGGACACAATAAGATCCCCACCATCTGAATCCAAGACAATGAAGAGGGCCACTCAAATTAGTGTGGCAGTCACTACCCTTTTCTACATGCTCTGTGGCTGCATGGGATATGCTGCTTTTGGAGACTTATCCCCTGGAAACCTCCTCACTGGTTTTGGTTTCTATAACCCATACTGGCTCCTGGACATAGCCAATGCTGCTATAGTAGTCCACCTTGTTGGTGCATACCAAGTCTATGCTCAGCCTCTTTTCGCCTTTGTTGAGAAAACCGCAGCACAAAAATTCCCAGATAGCGATTTCATCACGAAAGACATCAGACTCCAAATCCCTGGAATCGGTCCTTACAACCTTAACCTCTTCAGAATGATTTGGAGGACAGCTTTTGTGATCATAACCACTGTGATCTCCATGATCCTCCCCTTCTTCAACGACGTGGTTGGACTTCTTGGGGCTTTTGGGTTTTGGCCACTCACAGTTTACTTCCCTGTGGAGATGTATATTGTTCAAAAGAAGATCCCAAAGTGGAGCACAAGATGGCTTTGCCTCCAAATCCTAAGTGTTGCTTGCCTTATAATAACCATAGCAGCTGCTGCTGGCTCAATTGCTGGGGTGGTCAGTGATCTCAAGGTCTACAAGCCATTCAAGACCAGCTACTGATTTAGCAGAATTTATCCAACTGCCCATTTACTCAGCATTTCCTAAATCAGGGAAGGAAAGAGAATTGGTCATTGGGGTCAATTCTTGTTCATGTTCATATAACAAAGCATAAATTGGTGATGTTGATGTTAGTTTTTGTTGCTTAGTGTCTCTGTGTTGGTTTTTACTGTCTTCAAAAAAAGAAAAGGCGGTGCCATCACTGCCATGTACGTATTCATATGAAATCAAATCAAGAGTACTTCCCATTTCCCAAGTAATTTCTCCGATTTTTCAACGCAAATTAGAAGAAATATGGCAGAAGCTTATTAGTCTTAGTTTAATTTAAAGATCCAATATTTCATCAATCATATTGCCCTGCCACTGATATGTTCATAAGTAGAAAATATGGTACCTTCATAATAACCATTGAGAGTGCAAACAAACTGTTAAAACCCCACTGATAGAAAGAATTAAACATGGGAAAATTTACCATCCAAAAATTCCATGGAGTGCATGTGCTGCAGACTTGACATAAAGAGATGGACCCCATGAAATCATACTTAAACTAATCAGATAATGTTGTGAAATCTGTCCTTTTCTGCTTTCTGGGAAGATCCAAGATAATGGGTTTTTATTACAAAAACTAAGTACTAAACGCTAAAGAGTCAGCTTTTCACATCTAGGCATCGATATCCATTTAACACAAAGATTCAAGAATGTTTTAGCCTTCAGTCTTTCTTGTACACCAAGTGACCCCAATCCCCTAGCCAATTTAGTCACCTAGCCCAAATCAATATAATTTAGTATGTCCACAAAAATAAAAAAGCTCCAACTGTCCACAATTGCAGCAATTGATCTTGGAAATCTGAACAAGGATATCCTTTGCAAATGTGAATTTGATCCTTTAAAAAAGTGTTAATTTCCTTTAAGATTGAAATTGCATGTTTTCCTTGCACAGCAAAAGGAAGACTAGTTTAGCTGTGCAGCGTTTCTGTGGTTTTTGCCCCCCTTTATCATTTAAAAAAGAAAGAAAAAGGAAGAGTAGTTTAACTAGAAGAAGTTTCTGTGATGTAGGTGTGAATGTTCCTTTTAGAAAAATCAAAAGGGACTGCAGACAAATCAAAAGGGTCTGCAGAAAAATCAAAAGAGTAAAGAAAGGTGGAAGATATATTATTATATAGTGGTTGTGCTCATCAAAAGCTTGACTCTTTGAGGTCATGAATGAAGAAGCTTGGTTTTAGTCATTGCTTATGATAGTGCTCTCCGTTCATCCAAATGACAATGCCTAAGTTGACTCTTTGACCCTCCGCTGCGCATATAGGCAGTTGGAAGACTTATATAAGTGGTGGTAGTGGAAGGGGGCTGCTCTTGGCAGCCACCCTAGGGTTGTGGATGGCAAGTGGTAGGGCCTCTGTGTCTGTCTCTATCGTCAAATGCTGCTCAAAAGCTTTTCCTTCTCTTTAGTTTCTGCACTTTAGTGAGTTGTTGTGCCTTGTCGGTGGGTAAAGATTAAAGAAAACAAAAGTGTGGGTTTTGTGTGCTGTTGTAATTTATTAGCAATGGAGAACTAGAGAAGAATTTGTAAGATTCAGGAGGAATGTGGAAGGAATTTAGTGTAAAGTTCACTTGGATTAGGTCATGATTTAGTGCAACTAGGCACAAATTTTGATGAAGTAGAATTTTCCCAAGTTTGAATTCAATTTTCTAGTTAAATAAGAGTGCTGTTGTTTCCACCCATTTGTTATATTTCCCCACCCACCTTATCTTCAAAAAATTTAAAGACAAATATACCCCTTTGTAAACTGATTTCAAAGGACTCGCAAATATTAACCTTGCAGTCAAGTTACGTCAAAAACTCTGTTTGTTTGTTAATGTGGCACATATGTGAAAGATCCAATAATATAATGCCACATGTATTTAAAATACAATATAAAAAACCAAAAGAAAATTCTCCCTCTGTCTCTGCGTTCTCTATCCCTCTCTCCTCTCCTCCATCTGATATCAACCCAGCCCCAGCCTCGCCTTCGACCCTACCCCCTCCCGTGACCCACCCTCCCCAACACACCAGCGCACCGACCCCCTTCTCTCTCTATTCCAATATCACCTCATGAACCATAAAGTTCCCAAATTCATCACATACAGTATTAAAGGGCAATAACCCAAGAAAGAAAAAAGTGAAGAAGGCGAAAAAAAAACAAATGAGTCTAAAAGAAATGCATCCAAACCTTAAATAAGAATGCAATTACAACAAGTGGAACACAAGTGCCAGGACCGTTGCATAGAATCTGCAATTCAAAAATAGGTGACCATGAATGATTTGATTTCAAAATTGGGGAAGGAGTTAGGTGGCTGTTGGGTGGGTGTGCTGGCTATGGGGAGGAGCCACCGTGAGATTGGGGAAGAGCCTCATTAATTTGCATGATTTAATAAAGGGTGTTTTAGGAATAATGGTGGATAGAAATATAGAATTGTGTTTTTTAAAATTCACATAGTGGATGGGAAGATAAGGCGGATGAAGAAATAGGATAGTGAATGAAAATAATAGTACTCTTAAATGAATTTTAAATTTTAAATCTGGAGATTCAAGCTTGTGCAGATTCAGGTATGAAATTTTCTTAATCAATTGATAATCATTACAAAATCAACTTTACCAACCCCACAAACTTGTGTGACCTTGGAGTACTTTTTTATATATAAATAATCTAATCTAATCAAGGAATTTTTTTTTCTCTTCTTGTTTTTTCTTTGGTCATTGAGGAATTAAAGCTTAAAACTTTTTCTTTTAAGTTTCTTGAGCTGAAATTAAAGCTTAAAGCTTTAGGATGTATTGTTTCCCGGGTAGTTTAGAGAAATTAAAAAAACTGGGAATTCACCTTCTTTGATCCTTGCGTTGGACTTCCAAATCGTTTTACGAGGCTTTTGTTTTCTTGGTCCTAATTACTGAAAGTCATCAGTAATTAGAAAAACACAAAGGAGAGAGAAATTTTGTAAAATAAGCAAAAATAGACAAAATTACCCTTATTTATTTTTGGATTTCCTAAGGAATCCTTTACATTTGCATGTCTTTGATTTAAAAGTTGATAGGTTTTTCTGTCTTTTTTTAAAAAGCTTTGGCTTTTTCCAAAAGTGAAAATTTTTTTTTGGCTAAAACCTAAATTTACTATTTCTTTATCGGCCTAACAGAGCATAGGTTTCTAGTCAAAGCTGGCTGTGTGTTTTTTATTATTATTATTATTATTATTGGTTTTTTTTTTCTGGTTTATTCTTAACGAGTCATGTCAGGTCATTCGCAAAGTATAACGGATCGTGTCTAAGTCTGGCATTTTTCATCCATTTAAGTTAACGAGTCGTATCGTGTCAATTCATTAAGTTAACATAACACAAACATGACCCGAAACCCATTAACATGTCCCGAGGTGCGGTGGGATGTCCTTATTAATTATTTCCAGTACTTTTTGATAAATGATTCATTTACAAGTTTTTGGCCAGATGGCTATCCAATATTTCAAAATAAATTTCCAAACAGAAAAGAGTCAAGAATTTGACTATCATCCATGCTTATGAATGTGTTCTGCAACGGCAAGGGTTGTCATATCAAAAGGACAATTCAAAGCTGATAATCCTTTAGGCAACTCAAGAATCATCAGGAACTGCTAAATATGGGAAATATTAACAGAAAAACTGTAAATATAAATCTCTCTGGTCAACAACTCATTTATATCCCACAAGATAAAAACTATAGAAGAACTATCACAACAAAAGGGAAGAATATATTGATTTCATCCCACTTTATTTTGTAATATTTCTGTGGCACCATTGATATACAAAACCATAAACATCGGTATTCCTTACCAGGGATTTTACAAATAAAAATGAAGTCTTGTAAATTTGTAATAGATAACCGAAGCAAAATTCAGCCTATCTTGCTTTGTAGCTGCAAACCAGCATTTCCACCAGCACAGCACATGCATCTTCCCTCCCAAAGAGGAACCCTTGTGGATGTTAAATGGATCAAGCTATAAAGAATGGATCATCAAAATTCCTAAGAGAGTTCCTCCTTGTTGAACTTGTTCCAAGCTTCCTGTTTCAGTATAACCATATCAAACATGAAAATAAGCACAACTTAAACGAATAGCAGTTGTTCTAGGGTAAAAGAAAATATCTAAATCCATTTCCAGCGACAATGAATTATGTCAGACAGATCATGCAACATTAATATTAGGGTTTTTTGTAGCAATGATCCCTCAACTAATCTCAGAGTTACATTTTGGTCTCTCAACTCCAAAAATAGTTACAGAGGTCACTCAATTAGGTGTTGTGTTGCACCATTAGTCCCTACCGTTAGAGAGACTTGACGGTAGGGACTAATGGTGCAACACAACACCTAATTGAGTGACCTCTGTAACTATTTTTTGGAGTTGAGTGACCAAAATGTAACTCCGAGTATAGTTGAGGGACAATTGCTACAAATAACCCTATTTATTTATTTTTGTTATTTCGTTTTTATAAATATTTGGAATGAATTTCCAAGTTTACCCATTGACGAAAGGGACTAGTACCATACATAATTGGGGGACCTCTGTAGCTATTTTTGGATTCTACGGGTATAGTTCAGGGACCAATGATACAAAAAAACCTTTAATATTAACATAGAAATGAATAATTTTATTAGAAATCTTCTAGATTGAACTGCCATCACTTTCACGGTACAGTCACACAACTTAAAAGTACAGCAAACCTGCTGAACCTGATGAGCAGAGAATCTGGCCTACGAAAGAGTGAGTGAAAACATAACCAAAAAAAAGAAAGAAATCTTCCTACATATAAGTAAATCAGAAAGCCCCTAAAAGACTATCCAATCATCTTTACTTAGACAAAAAAGTGAAAAAACCAGCACTTCATAAAGTGTTGAAATAAATACTTTGGTTATGTTAGGAATTTGATACATTGATAGAGGTACCTTAAGGATATCAAAAACCTTCTCCGCAGTATATTTTTGTTCAAGACTAGCACCTTTCTGTTGAACCTTATCAGGATGGATACACAATGTGGCCTTTCTATAAACCTTTTTAACTGAGCTGGATGTAATCAAATCTGTCAGTGAAACTGGCTCCCATCCAGATTCAGGCCAAAGCACCTGTTCATCATTCCAGAAATGAAGAAGTTAGTTGCTATTGAAAAGGTTTTATGATATCTTGAGCAATGATGCAAGAAAGGGCCCAAATTCTCAACAATTTAGGAATCAAAGGTCAAACGTCATTTTACAAGATGACAATTTTCATTTTCCTCTAAAATATCATGGTATAGGTAATTTTAACATACTGCAACAAAGAATGAAGTTAAATAGATGTGTTGTTCGAGACAAAAATTATGCAAATTCTATTAAGCTTGGAATTCCAAGTCAGCAGGAAGTAACTTACATCGACTTTTAAAGTAAGATGTTAAAGGCAAGGAAGATGGGAAGATAAACAAGAGCAGACCATTTCTTGTGCACTAAAACACCACAATTATGCAAAATCTCAAAAGCATACTAAATGTAGAATAACATACACTTTGCAATGATGACAACAGTGCACGCATATTGCCTTCTTTCCCATACGACCAGCTCTTTATTTTGATATTGAGAGTCTCAGCAATTCTCTGCAAAGTAAAATTAAAAATAAACTAAGCCAATAAATATAAGAAGCTGTGATGATGTATGGAGACAAATAAATTACAAAACGATATACAAACATGAAATAAAAGCTACCCCTAGACCCTAACACAAAAATATATAATTTAAAACACATTTTAAGATTGAAGATATACCATCAGCCAATTTGTAAAGAATCCCTATACACAAAATCCCGAAATATGTATCAAAATGCCAATGATGGATGCAAGACTACTTACACGCTTCTCCTCTTGCTCCTGCTGAGTCTTACGATCGCGTTGGTTCATATCAGCCACTGCTTGTAACTAATGATGACAAGCAAAACAGTCAAATTGTGCCAGAGGGATACAAATAGAAAATTAAGCCTGAATTAACTATAAATCAGAAACATTTTCTATAAACTATAGATCTTAGCATCATAATGATGTAGGTGAACCTCAAGAGAATAAAGAGCAGTTAATTTTAACTACTTGTCAACTAGCCCATGGCTGCATAACATTATGCTCACAGTGCAGGTAATAAAATGGTGAAAAGGGGTCAACATTGGACTGCTTGTTGGGGACAAAAGAAAGAAAGAAGAAAAGAATTCGTGGAATTTAGTGATGACTCTAAATTCTAAGGTATAGTAGATTTTTAAAATAAATAAAAGGCTTTTACTATTTACTTTTGTTTATTGTGTCCTTTTCAATAGTAACTCGTCTCTATATGCTTCCCTACTTTGTCTAGTTTTCTTTATATTGACCTTCCTTTTGCACTCACCAAAACAAAAACAGAGACAAAGCAAAGCATTAAAAGAAAAACAGCAAAGTGATAAGAGGGAGAAACACAGACCGCACGCTCATGTGCTCTTTGGTGACGTCCCAATCTGGCTCTGCGTCTTTCTTCACTTTCACCTTCAACTTCCTCAAATTCTACAAAACCAGGGGAAGCTGATGCAAACAAGAACATCATAGAAATCAGCAACAAGAACCCAAAGCTTATATACAGTCTCTACAGATGAAGTTGAACTTTAACAATTAATTACCTCCATTCATTGAAAAAAGGTCATCAAAAATGCCAGTCGCAGACGAAGACTTCTTCATGCTACTTGAGGTTCCAGATGTCCCTTGGGGTCTAGGCCCTCCTCTGTTGTTTGTCGGTGCATCAAATACTGGGTCCTGAAAATTGCATCAGTAAGCAACTACATAATCCACTGGTGCTGAAAACAGCATATTTACTAAATTTATGCTTCTCACCAAAGTTGCAGGTGCAGCCCATGACCTTGGTACACTGTTTGATCGAAAGCCCATTAGATCATCTTCACTAGATCTACCATGTCTTGTAGCTGAGGTTTCTACATCTTCATGAGAATGAACATTTGTGCGTCCAGTTGCATTGTTTTGCACCGTACCTTTGGCAAATTCCTCAAGTTCTTCTATAGAAGACACACCAGAGCTCCTTTCTGCGATCAGTTAAGGTAGTAATGAGGGGAAAAAAATATTCATCGAATTTGCTTTTTAATTTAAGGAAGCAGAAAAACCTTTATCTCCCTTTGAAACTTGGGCTGACTTCGGAGGGGATTTCAATTTTGTGGAACTATTTGATGAAACACCAAGTTTTGCTCCTCCAGAATTGCTGAACTTACTGATTTGTTCCAGTTCTGAAAAAAAATCTGAGGAATCATATGCGGGTGTTGAAGTTGAAGTTGAAACTGATTCTAACACCACAAAGGGGTCGTCCAATGATGAACTGAAGTTTGATTTAGTTGAACGAACGGTCGATTGCTGATGACGATTCTCCTGTGCGTATGTTCTGAACAAAAGATATTAAAATGAGAACATCCGTGTCACTCAGGTTACTTGCAAATAAAGATATTAGTAACTACATTATCACATCCATAAACAAAAAGTGTCATAAACAATGCTCCGATCAAGAAAGTCGACATAATCATGTCTGTGACAGAAAATTGAGGTAACTCATACATTTGAACAAGTAACATTTCCATTGTTATTCCAAAAGTAGTATAAAAACAATTTCACAACTGTAAATGCAGTAAGCTGACACAGCTATGAGACTAAAGTGATGCATTTTACATGGACAGTTAGTCAGGAAACTCAAATGCAATGATTAAATGGAAATTTAATTAAATCAATTCTATAAATGACTAACTACCATTTACCAGAGCAATTTGCATTAGACTAACATAAGAAGAAAAACCTAATTAACCCATCATTTATTTGCTCAAATCATACATACCCATTATTTGAAGGAGCGCTTCCACCAAACCCAGGTATCAAATCATCAAAATCACCTCCATTCTTACCCACCTTTGCAGACCTATTAACATTTTTATCATTCTTCACGTTCAAAGTTCGCAGTTTTTGTCTTACTCCGCTAAGATCACCTAGCAGATCATCAGCTGTAGCACTCTGCTTCGGAGCCGAAGCAAATGACCCAAAAATATCATCCCCCTTCGCATTACTCTTACCAGAGCCCGGGCTCTTCAAGCCAGGCATTCCACCAAACACGTCATAGGCATCCTTATATCCATTAAACGACGACGATTTTGCATTAGAACCGGAAAATATCGAATCAAAATTGAAAGAAGAACCTTCTGATTGCTTTGTGGGCTTAACGGGTCCGCCGAAGATGTCATCATAATCGTCCAGACCTCCAAAACTGCGCGTTTTGTCGTTAGAGCTCGACTGGAAGAGCCCGTCCTGAGCGTCAAAAAAAGACGCGTAATCGGAATTGGAATTGGGGGGAGGAGATCTGGAAGAGTACGACGACGTTTTGGGGTTCGAATTCGAATCGGGCACGAAGTTCCAGGCCTGGGTGTCGTTGGCGCTCGTGGGTCGTTTGGATGCGGCCATTGGAGCCGACTTGCCTTGGGGCTTCAACCCATATTGCTCGGTTAAGACACCAAATTCGTCCATATCAGAAATGTGTCACAATTGAGCTTTTAAAATATCGAAATTTTGACAAAACGAAAAAATGGGTTTGATTGAGCTATGACAGAGGAATTTGTGCAATACAGAAATCTAAAATCTGGGTTTACTAATTGATCTATGATCTACACAGTGTGATTGGGGAACAAACAAAAAAGTTCAAAAATTAAGAACAGGGATGTGGAAATGGGGACAATTGGGGAACTTTTTAATTGGACAATCTGTGCAGAGAGAGAAAGAGAGTGAGTGAGAGCGAATTGGGTTTCAGATGGTGAGGACTAAAGAGAAAGAAAAGAGGGGCTTGGATAGTTTTCCGGGGATTTGTATGAAGATTCCGGCTTTTCTTCTTTCTATCTCTGTCGCTGGATTACTCTCGCTCTCTTAAAATTTTTGAGTGGCGGACCACGACATTTGCCACGCAGCTTCCCAAAGCCTCCATTTTTCAATTTTGATTTATATATTTTTCATTTAAATGTGTTTTTACAAACAAAAAATATATAAAAAATTGGTTTTGTTGTTCTCCTTCTTCTGTTGCAAAATGGTACAGTGCATGCATCAAAGTAAAAAATCGAAATGAAGCTACAGGACTGAAGCTTTTTCTTTTTCTTTTTTCTTTGTCTGATGCTTTTTTCTATATCGACCTTTTTCTTTTTGGTTTTTTGTTCTTTATCCAAATTATATAAAATAACAATTAAGATATATATATATATATATTATAGTCCCCCTGTCCGTGTGATCAGAAAAAGAAAGCGTGATTCCATTAATCTACAATAATTCTAAAAAGGAAAAATAATATAATAAGGACAACTGGGCATCCACCTCAATACAAGCAAGGCAAGTAGCAGAATGGCATCTCAACTGTTGTGTTGTGGGCCCCGATCTTGATTTCAGCTGTTGGCAAAATTTTCATCAGATGTTTGCTTCATAATCCTGGATTTTAACTGCTGGGAGTCCTTGAGCAAGCTGCTGCATGATTTTGCATATTGAAGGTTTGTTCTCTTTTTTTATACAAGCGATAATTTATGCTAAATTAATCTAATTTACGAAGAATGGGGCTTGAATTTGAGTGTAAGGAGATTGGCTCACTGCCATGACCAACTGGCATAATCCACATTTGAAGGTTAAAGCTTTTTTGAATAAGGTAATTAAATATTGCATCTAAGCAAAACTAGCACATTTTGATCATATTCATAAACCAAGAATTATGTTGGACATTGATATGTAGCTTCCACAAAGTCAAACTGATCAGAGCTTAATTTAAATTTTAAATGTAGAAAGTAGGTAACACATTCTCATGAAAATTCAATAAATAAAATAGTGTGAACTGGTGTGAAGACATTGCTTCATCATCATGCATCTAAAGCATAGATTTTATTTTTTCAAAAGCATGCACGTTTTTTATATGCAAGTTCTAGATAGAATTCTGTTAAAACTTCATTTTCTTCTGTTTGTGTTTAATATTCTCGTAATATGATGTATTAGAGCAATTTCAGGGGTAGGGTTTGCCCCGGGTAAAATGGTGGCCTTAGCCCAGTTTGCAGCTTCCAACGGGCTTTTATAGCCCGGGTAAATGGTGGGGACCACCAACCCGGGCAAGTCGAAAGGCAAAACGAATCCGAGCTCATGCTGGGGGGCAGCTGACGTCAACAAGAAATTTTAAAAAAAAAAATTCTTAAAAAGTACCAAAATTTTCAGAATTTTAAAAAAATAAATACCTAGCTATATTCTTTACTTCCCACACCAAAACTCTATATAAATTCCTCTCTTCATATCTCATGTGAATAGTAGTTGCCTTTGAATTGCCACGGCAATTGATGGAAACACAACAAGCCTTTTGCAAGGGCTAACACTATTTACGTAAATAGTAACAACTCTTGCCTTGCCCTTATCTTTTGCCATAGCAAATTGATGAAAATGCTTTTATATAAGCTCTCAATTTAACGGAAGATTGAAATCAATTTTTTAACAACATAAAATATCATACTATCTAGTCTCGTTTTACTGTTGTGCATATAAAAAAACACGTGTACTAGCTGCATATGTATATTTTTCACACATATACAAGCAATGTTGTGAGGAGGAGAAGGGTTTGAATACGCGACTCCAATTGTAAGCTCAAACAAAAAACGTGCACTTTGACCATCCGCCAGCCAATGTTGATAGTTCACTGTTCAAACCCCAAAACTCTTTAATTACAGATCCAAATTGTCCTTACACCATTTTAGACAGACAAAAAATCACAGGAAACCCAAGATGAGCAAGACATGGTGCTCCCTTGTCTTCTTAATCTTCACCATTATTTCCCACATTAACTCAGCCGCTTCTTCATGCCCCATGGATCTCAGCTATGTAGAAAGCTTCCCATGGGACACTTCACTCTGCCTAGACCCCAATGGAAAACACTGCTGTCAAACCCTTCTCAGCCTCTTTGGCATTGGCCTTGCCCAGCACCTCAAAAAAACTTCAATGTTCCAATTACCCAATTCAAATATATCATCTTCTTGTCTCTCAAATTTCCAAACCAGCCTTGCTGCCTTGTCCCTGGATCCTTCTATAGTCCCTTTGTGCTTTGAGAACTCAACCCAGTTTGTGGCTAGCCCTTCTAGCTGTGCTGGGATTGTAACAATCCAGGATTGGACTAAGAAGGTGGGCCCAATGACCCCATTGGACACTTCTTGCAAGGGAGACTTGGAGGGGCTAACAAGATGCAGCTCTTGTCTTGAATCTGGCATGGAGGTGAATTCTCAGTTGACTAATCTTGACGCAAATGCCACCAAATGCTTTTACTTCACTGTGTTATATGCTGCAGGGATTGTTAATGAGTTGGGTCCAAGTGAACCCAAAACAGCTTCTTGCATTCTGGGCTTGCCTCTGTCTGGCTCAGCTGATAAGCAGTCAAATGATCAGCTGAGTAAGAAGACTCTGCTGAAATGGGTTTTTGGGGTCTTGGGGCCTCTGATTGGGATTTTGCTTGCTGTTGGGATTATAGTTCTTTATAGGAAATGGGATAAGAAAGAGAAACAAATTGCTCTTCATGAAGAATATGTGACCAGTTTTAGAACTAGCTTTCTGCCCAATTCAGGAGCAAAATGGTTTGCTGTATCAGAGCTTGAAAGAGCCACCAATGGATTTTCCCAGAAAAACATGATTGGCCAAGGTGGATATGGGGTTGTGTACAAAGGGACACTTTCTGATGGCACTTTGGTTGCAGTGAAGCATGTTCTTGATTTGGACTCAAAAGGGGATGAAGAGTTTTCGAATGAGGTCGAGATCATAAGCAAAATCAGGCACAGAAATCTTCTTTCCCTCAGAGGCTGCTGTGTCACAAGTGATGATTTGAAAGGCAAAAGAAGGTTCTTGGTTTATGATCTCATGTCAAATGGTAATCTCAGTGACCAATTGTGCAGCAGGCAGGGATTAAACTGGCCTCAGCGCAAGAATATAATTCTTGATGTTGCCAAAGGGCTTGCTTACTTGCACAATGGGCTCAAGCCTGCCATTTATCATAGAGACATAAAACCCACAAACATACTCTTGGATTCAGAACTGAAAGCAAAAGTTGCAGACTTTGGGTTGGCCAAGCAAAGTTCAGAGGGCCAATCTCACCTCACCACAAGGGTTGCAGGCACACATGGCTATTTGGCACCAGAATATGCTCTCTATGGACAACTAACAGAGAAGAGTGATGTTTACAGCTTTGGCATTGTGATTCTTGAAATCATGAGTGGGAGGAAAGTGCTGGACACATCGAATGATTCGGGTTCAAATCAGTCGTTCGTTTTGATCACAGATTGGGCATGGATGGTTCTGAAGTCAGGGAAGGTGGAGGAAATTTTTGATGAGGCAATAAGAGAGAATGGACCAAAGGGTGTTATGGAGAGGTTTGTGCTTGTTGGGATTCTTTGTGCTCATGTTATGGTGGCATTTAGGCCTACAATTTCTGAGGCCCTCAAGATGTTAGAGGGTGACATTGATATTCCCAAATTACCAGATAGACCAATGCCTCTTGGTAATGAGTCTCATAGATCTTCCTTTGGGTTTTCTAGATTGTTGGCAAGTGAAAGATCAAGACCTAGATTTAGTAGTTCAAGCATGAACACAACATAACATAGATTTGGAACTAATTTGGAAGGCCTAGTTTGGTGTAGTGCAAATAATTCTCAAATCAAACTCCAAAGGTGGTGGTTATGTGTGTGAATTTTCGTATTTCTTTTATTTTCTTTCATCATTTTGAGATATTTATTTGTATATATATATATATACATTTTGCAATTCTTTTTGTGGCAACAAAATCCAAGTTGTTGTTCTTTTTTATTTTTTATTTGTTTTTGGTCAGAATCAAAGTCTAATTCTGTAGGTTGGGTTTTAGTCTGGTCAAAGACTCATCAAAGCCCTTGACCATAAAAGAGAGACTCAAAGTGGTATGTACTTTGCACACGGATTCTACGGAATAAGGCTGCATGCGTTTTGCTTGTAGATTTTGACTATTGTAAAGCAAAAAAGCATAACAAGATTGCAACATCATTTATAAGTATAATAGGAAACATTTATAGGTGTTTGTTTTTTTTTTTTTTTTTTTTTTTTATTATGAATTAAATTGAAGAAATTTTTCAATTAAGTGGAGAATAATGTTATAGACCGCAAGAGGCTTGTAGCTCAAGTTGTTAAGAGCATTTATCTCTGCACCCGAGGTCGTAAGTTTGATTTCCCTCTCTCTCAATATTGCTTATATTGAAAAAAATATTATTAAACCAAATGTCCAAAGACATTCATAGAAAGTTAAAAAGTTGGTGTGGCAATACTGAGATCCAAAATTCAAGTAAATATATTTCCTTAAAGTACTCTTTTTAAAATTAGATTTCTTTATGCTATGAGGTCGAGAGTTTGAATTTGGAATCTCTTAAAACACATACATGAACTCTTTTTTATTTTTTATTTATTTTTTATATAATTTATAATACAAGTGATAGTCTAAATTAAACGGGAGGGTGATTTCTCATACACCCATACACAACTATGATGCTGTGAGAATTTGAAACTAAGAACTATTATATGCGAATGAAGACTCTGTTCCATTGAGCTAGACCCCATTGACGAACTTTTTTTAAAAAAAAAAAGTCAAAGACAAAGGCAAATGTGGAGAAATTTTATATTTACTTTTTAATTTAATTTTCCACATTTTATGTTTGTTGGGCTGAAGGGCTTGAACTCCTTCACTTCATCTTGGGCCGTGTTTAATTCTTGCAAATTGCAAATGCATGTGTTTTTTTTATATCAAACGACATAAATTCATACGTCGTTTTGCAATCCCGTACGTACGCTGCGTTTCATAGCTCGAGAACCCGAGAACAAACACACGCACCTCCCTCAGCTGAGGAGAAAGAGAGTAGAACCAGCTGCCAACTGAAACTGACAGTGCGTCGAGCTCTCCAGCCAATGCGACGACGTCTACAGTCCTTAGAAGAAACGCATACAAAACTATCAAAGTGGGTTTGCTTCGCCTCTCTCTCTCTCTCTCTCTTGATTTTCTATTCTTTTGAATAATTTGCTGGAAGATTTTAGCTGAAATTATGTGAGTCTCATCTTCATCTCTGAGAAAACGTAAGAAATGCAAATTGAATTGCAGGAATTTCCGAAAATCTTAACCCCAAGTCCAAACCCAATACTCCATCATTTTTATTTTTGTAATTTTCTTCTCTATATAAATTAAATTCATTGGTCCTATAAAGCTTCATGTTTGTGTGAACAATGCAATTTGGTGACGTAGTTCAAGAGAATTCAGGTTATGTTGTTTAAATATTAAATATGCTTGATGTCACTGATTTTAGTTCTCAATGCTTCAGGTGGCTTGGTTCTCAACTGGGTTCCCAAAAATATGATTTTCAAAATACAAAAATGTGGGGAAAGATTGTGTCTTGGATGGAGGATGCTGTCCAGGAAGTACAGTTCAAGTGAACCCATAAGGCAATTCTCTGACCCAACCAGAGCAATATGCAAAATCATGATGTCTTGCCCAACACTTGCACTTGATACTGCCCTTGACCAAAGTGGGATCAGAATTTCACCTGAAATGGTAGAGGAAGTTCTCATGAGATTCCAGAATGCTGGTATGGTTGCATACCGATTCTTTGAATGGGCAGGGAAGCAGCGGAATTACACGCATAGCGTGAAGGCTTATCATGCCATGATTGAGTCTTTGGCCAAGATAAGGCAGTACCAGATCATGTGGGAGCTTGTGAACTCAATGAGGGCCAAGAGAATGCAGAACATGGAGACATTTAGCATAATTATGAGGAAGTATGCTAGGGCCCAGAAGGTTGAAGAAGCGCTTTATACATTTAACGTTATGGAAAAGTACGATTGTGCTCCGAATTTAGCAGCGTTCAATGGCCTGCTGAGTGCTTTGTGTAAGTCCAAGAATGTGAGGAAGGCTCAGGAGATTTTTGATAAAATGAAGGATCGGTTTGAGCCAGACTCGAAGACTTATAGTATATTGATTGATGGGTGGGGAAAGGATCCGAATTTGCCTAAGGCAAGGGAGGTCTTTAGAGAAATGACTGATGCTGGTTGTAATCCTGATATAGTGACTTATGGTATCATGGTTGATGTTCTTTGTAAGGCAGGGAGGGTGGATGAAGCGATTGAGATCGTTCGGGGCATGGATGATAGTGGTTGTACACCTACATCTTTTATTTACAGCGTTTTGGTGCATACATATGGGGTGGAACACAGGATTGAAGATGCTGTTGACGCATTCTTGGAGATGGAAAGGAATGGAATCAAGGCTGATGTGGTGGTGTATAATGCCTTGATTGGTGCCTTTTGTAAGGCTAACAAGTTCAAGAACGTGTATAGGGTCTTAAATGATATGGATTCCAAAGGTGTTAAACCCAATTCAAGGACCTGCAATATCATTTTGAATAGCTTGATTGATCGTAGAGAGACTGATGAGGCATTTAGTGTCTTTCGTAAAATGATCAAACTATGTGAGCCCGATGCAGATACGTATACGATGATGATAAAGATGTTTTGCGAGAAAGATGAGCTAGAGATGGCTCTCAAAGTCTGGAAGTACATGAAGCAGAGGAGGTTTGTGCCGAGCATGCACACATATTCCGTCCTTATAAATGGATTGTGTGAGAAGGGCAATACTTCAAAGGCTTGTGTCTTTTTGGAAGAGATGATAGAGAAGGGGATTCGGCCAGCAGGTGTGACATTTGGGAGATTAAGACAGTTGCTGATAAAAGAAGGAAGAGAAGATGTACTCAAATTTCTAAATGAAAAAATAAATCTACTGGTCAAGGAGCCTTTATTTGATTGAGGTTTCAAGACTGGCAACTGAGAAAACTTGTGGTGTTTGATATTCTCAATCCAACACTGACGAGTTCTGGAGTTGTATTTGGCATTGGAGAACCAAGTTGTCTCTAATAGCCTATTTGTGACTGCCTTGCAAGTTTACAGAAAGAAATCAAGAGGAACAGCCTTGGAGCTACTAGTGTTCCAACTGTATCTGTTATGCCACAACTGAAGCAAAAGCAAAGGGTATAACAATTACCTGGCCTTGTACAAAAAGTAAGCACCAAGATATCTTCAAACTTCAGACCAAAAAAGATATCTTCAAACTCTATCTAGGGCAAATTTGAAGCATTTCAGAGGCATAAGAATATGCGTGAGTCGCAATGGTATTCTGACAATCAGCTACGGTCTGTCAGATCATCCGTGTACGGATTGAAGAACGTTAATGAACCTTTTTCAACATGCTAGTGGTTGTATTATATTTTAGGTTGTGTTTGGTTTTCAGATGGTTGTCTCATCTCTATCAAGATGGATCTTTGTGAAACGGGTTTAAACTAGTAAGTCAATCTATATGCCACCATGTTGATCAGGAAGAAGTCACCTAAGCAATTGCTAATTAGAGTTCAACCATTTCGGTGGTAAACTTTTGCAGCACCTAAAGGACCTAATGTTGAATCCACGATCAACAGTAAATAAGAAAAAAATCTGCAGTAAAGAAACTCATATGCATGCCCTGTTGAAGCTTATATCTCAAGGCTTAAATAAGCGGGTAAAACTAGCAACACACCAAATAACATCTTTCGGAGTCTCTATGATTGACAAAGAACTGATGCATATAAAAATGATACTCTTTTTTTGTTTTAGTTCTATCTCTAAATTATAATTAGAAGGAAAGGAAACAACAAAATTTCAGAACAGCAGATCATCAAATCCTACACTGTAGACTCAGTGCCTTTTCGATTTAGATTCACTTTTGGCAAGCATTATCCCTGAAAGCTTGTTGACCTCATACAGTAATCCGGCTGAAAACAAGAAACTGCATACAAAAATTAGATCATTAACAAATGTTGTCAGCATATACATCTCCAAGAGTCTCAAAAAGTTCATCAGAATCATATGAACGGAGGCATATCTTTCAAAAATTCCAAATTTAAATCTCTTATTATCACAAAAAATGGAGATAGAGCAGAAATAATAATCCCCCCTCTTCTTCCTAATTTCTCTTTTTGAAACCACTCAAACTCAAGTATACAACATATATTTTCTTTCGGTTTAATTCAATATAGTTTATTGCATGCACTTGACCATAAACCTTTCTGTTCAATACCAAAAACTTAATACCAGGTACTACTTGAGCATAATATATTATTCAAAAGCTTTTGAATGCAAATACCTGTGTTGAAGTTTGATTTTAGAATGTCAGATACTTTTTTAATCAATTACTGATGATTGTGACTTTTTTTCTAGGGCAACTTTTTCTCCAAAGAAAAACATAGTAAAATTATGCTTTGCCTTGCGTACGCCCACTGAAAATGTCTGGCTCCCTATCTATAAGAGGACTGCACCCAAACATGTTCTCCAGAACATGCATGCTCATGTAAGAATATATAAAATGTATAGTTGATCATGAAACTAGCTTACCATGTTGTGATACAAACTCGATGGACAGTGCCAGCAGCAATAAGAGCAACTGCTTCTGCTATAATAACTGCAAATGAAAAATAGCTAATTTTGGTCACCACAAAAAAAAGGTTTTTAGACACCTTTAATAGGAAGCATCTTGAATCTTGCAATAAACTTTCATCCAGCTTGATGTTTCATCCATCTTCTTTTCTCTTCCCAACTAGGAAAACCCGAACATGAGAAAACTGATATAGTAGGCTACTATAATATAAGAACTGCAAAGCCTCTTGTAATCATTTTTCTTTATATTTTGGCCAAAAAGTTTTTTGTAATATGAAGCATCCTTTTGTTTTTAATCTCTTTATCTTGTTCATTTTCCGTCAAACTTCAAAGAAATACGTAAAAAAGAAAGGGTTGGTCACAGTGGAAACAACCTAGAGATGTCATGGAGCAAGCAGTTAGCATATCACTGGCCACACCTAGGTCATGCAAGAAGTTCTATATGTTCCTAGAGAGTGCGCTGGTGACAGTACCATATCACTGGTGGCTCACTCATACGAACAAAGACAGTGTACTTCAATAGCTTAGATAAGAAAAGAGAGAACATAACTAGGACAAGCATGTTGTCAAATCCAACAAAATTAAAGCATGAAACTTCCTTATGCAATGACATTCTACAAAATGTGCTCAATTGTACGGTGGCATTTTAAGAAATTCCAATTCACAATGACTCTCCCAGTAACAAACAAATTCAAACCAACACACACTCACCGGCACCCCAGCCAGTCCTTACGCCACTTGTTTCTTGGAGATTGCCAATGAACTGCAACAACCGAAACCAATGGCAAGGATATAAGCTTGCTATGCAGGATAATAAACAATATAAGTTTTTCAGAAAAAAATAACAATAAAGAGCTTTGAACTTACTGTGAACAGCACAAGGAATAGGAGAGAACTAATGAAACCCCCAAGAATGGTAAACAACTCTGTTGATGCTAACTTCCCTCTGTACATCTGTTGAAGTGATAGAATGACAGTGAACAGAAGAAAGGAATACAACATGGAACTACCCGGCCCCGCCATGAACTCCTAGTTGACCACAAGAAACAAAGTCAACAACAACAACAACAACAAGAAGAAGCTCAGAAATGCTCAGTTGCAGAGAAATAAAAATAAAAATAAAAATAAAAATAATAAGCACCAATTAAATCAAAAGAAAAGGGAAAATGGGCTTGCACGCGTTCATCAATTTGTTATCTTCCACAGTACAATTTTGACAAAATGGGACTTAAACCGCACCAGATCTCAAATTCACCATCAAATTTACATAAAAATACAGACCTTTTCATGCCCAAAACAATAAATTGAGTACAGATTTCTAATGTACGTCAGAATTTTTCGTGTAATCAACCAAAATGAAAATCAGCTGATCAATACCCTAAACAAATGCGACTGTAAAAGCAGGTTCATTTCAGCGCGAGCACATTTCTCAGCAACCAAACAGAAAACGTACCTCAGAATAGCAGTGTAGCTACCGATGAGCTCTTACTTACAGTCTTAGATCTCCCTTCCGTCACAACTCGATCAGCGAGTTGCGTTTCAGTGAGCCCAAGAGTTATACAATTGAGAAGGGCAATTTCGATAATACGGAAAACTCGCGGGACAAAAACGTCCAACAAAAAGAAAACCAAACATTGTAAGGGCAAAACGATGTCGTTTGGAGGCAATGGAGAGATGGAGTCGCTGGACTTGCCGGAGTGCCCGGTGTGTTTGCAGAACTACGACGGCGAGTACACAATTCCGCGCGTACTCTCCTGCGGTCACTCGGCGTGCGAGGCCTGCCTGGTCAGGCTTCCCGAGCGCTACCCTGAGACTATTCGCTGCCCGGCGTGCACCCAACTCGTCAAGTACCCCCCACTGGGCCCCACCGCTCTGCCCAAGAACATCGACCTCCTCTCCTTCTCCCTCTCCCTAAACCCTGACCCTAATTCTCGCAGTTCCCAAAATCCCCAAAAACAATCCACCGATGGAGTATGTAAATTCCTGCCTCGCATTTGGTCCGATGAGTTTTATGACACCTGGAAGGAGTGGGTGCTTCCGAACGACGCCCTATCGGTGGAAACAGAAGTTGGTGATGTAACAAGAGATGGGCTCTGTACTGTGTTGAAAGGAAGAACTGGTTCAGGTTCTGGTTTTGGTTTGGGGTCGGGTCGGGTTTGGTTTAGAGAGGATCAGAGTGTGAGCTTTGTTCAGGTTGGTTCATTACCGAATTTGGGTAGTTCTGGTTTTGAGTTTAGTTACATTGCAAGGGTTATGAAGTGTTTGAGTGGAATGAGAGAGGGAGAGAGAAACGAATTGGGTCTGTTGCTGAGAGCTTCTGTGAGACAGTGTAGGAAAGTAGGTAAAGTTTATGGCTTGTGGGGTAATTCGGAAGATGGGTTTTTGTATGTGGTGTGTGAGAGAAGAAATGGGAGTTTTTCAGAGAAGTTGAATGAGTTGAGAGATGGGGATGGTTTTGGTAAAGATGGGTTGTCTGCTTTTGCAATGATTGCTATGGAGGTGTGTGAGGCAGTGACTGGTTTGCACTCAGAGGGGTTTGCTTCTGGTTGTTTTGGTGTTTCATGCTTTGGTTTCGATGAATTTGGTCACGTTTTTGTGGATTTGAGTGAAGTCTTGGTGACAGGAAGGAAGGCTTGGAGAAGTGTTGTAGATTCTGTTTCTGGTACAATGGAAATTGATGCTGAACTATTGGGAGTGACCTTTGGGAAGTTATTGAAAGATAACATTTTCGTTAGCCCAGAGGTGTTGTTTGAGGCGTTGCAGAAAGAAGGCATTGCAGTAGAATGTGACAGCTCAAGATATCTGGTTGGATATGGCTCGGATGTTTGTTCATTAGCTTGTGTGTTGGTGAGGCTGCTTCTTGGAAAAGAATTTAGTGAAGAGATTGTGAAAACTAGTGAAAACCTTTTTCGTGATCATTCAACTTATGCAAGCTGGATTGAAAGAGTTAGTGCTTTGCTGGAGATTAAATTTGGTTCAGAATATGCATCTCTGAAAGAGAATCTTTGCAATTGTTTGAATTTCAATCCAGAAAGTCGACCACTTGTGATTGATGTGATGAAATGCATTAGGGAACTGATTATTAAACCTCAATGTGATATCACGGCCAGTTTGGATGGGGCAGTTAAGGACGAGAGCGCTAATTGTTGCTTGATTCTTGGGGAACTGTGTCAGATACCCAAGCAAATATCAGAAACACAGAAAGAAAATGAGTTGCAAGGAAGTAAAATCAGTGGAGGAGCAGATTTTGATCAAGTTGGGGATGAGAGGACTAACAATGGCGTTGTTGATGGCCTCGCAGAGGGGAAGGTCAAATCTAAAGTTATGCAGGGCCATCGTGACTCCATTACAGGATTAGCTGTTGGAGGTAGAATTATTATGGAGTACTTTTTAGATTGCATATCATACTGTTTCCGTTAAGAAGTGTCCATGCTACTGGAGAGTCTGAAAACTGATATTGAAGTGCTCCCTTCTGGATGAAAGATGCATAGATTTATACATTAGTCATGATGCTTGCACACTTTTTTTTATTCATCAAGTATCTGACATTTTATTTGTATTTTCACTTCTTTCTTGTAGGGGAACTTCTATTTAGCTCCTCATTTGATAAAACCATCCATTTATGGTCTTTACAGGTACAGACTCAAAACGGCTGTAATTTTTGGAGTTCGTCTTTTTGTGTGATTAAAGTGGAACCATCTTTATGCAGTTTCTTTGTGTGTGAACATGTGTGTGTTCATTTACAAACATGAGTAGTTTCCTACTACCACATCTACCAAATAATTTATTCTTATGTATTAAACTTAGACATGCAGCTTTTCTTTATTGATCTGCTTACTGAACGCTTGATATCTTAATGATTTGACAAGGTGGGGAATGTTGATTATTATGTTTGTATGCTTGCACATATGTGGTGAATATTTTCACACAACAAGCACTTTCTCCATGTTTCCCTTTCACTAAGTTCTGTCATGGCAAATTCCATGCAGGACTTCTCTCATGTGCATACATTTAAAGGTCATGAGCATGCCATCAAGGCTCTCATTTATGTAGATGAAGAGCAACCCTTGTGCATCAGTGGTGACAGTGGAGGTGGCATATTTATCTGGGGCGCATGTACCCCTCTTGGGCAAGAGCCTTTAAAGATATTGTATGAGGAGAAAGATTGGCGCTTTAGTGGTATTCATGCCTTGGCCTCCAGAAATGGATATGTTTATACAGGCAGCGGAGATAGAACAGTAAAAGCATGGTCAGTACGGGTGAGGGGTTTGCATTAATAAAAATTTCTGTTATTTTCTATTTATATGCATCTTTTGATTTTAAGTGGAAAAAAAAAACCCTTTTCTCCTTTGAAAAATTTCAGGATGGCACCCTGTCATGCACCATGTCTGGTCATAGATCAGTAGTTTCAACACTTGCAGTTTGTGATGGTGTTCTTTATAGCGGAAGTTGGGATGGAACCATCCGATTATGGAGTCTTAGCGATCACAGTCCTTTGACAGTACTAGAGGAAGACACATCTGGAACTGTGACCTCTGTCTTATCTCTTGCTGTTGACAGGCATTTGCTTATAGCAACCCATGAAAATGGATGTGTAAAGGTTGCCCTCAATCCTCAATGCAACATCTTCCTTTTCTTCTCAAGATAATAATCATCATTTCATGATTAAATTTTCCTTAAATAGGCCTTTGTTTTTTGGGTTTCTTCAGGTCTGGAGGAATGATGTGTTCATGAAATCCATTAAAATGCACAATGGTGCAGTATTTGCTAGTGGCATGGAAGGAAAATGGCTTTTCACAGGAGGCTGGGATAAAACTGTAAATATACAGGTACATGTGCAAAATATGGTTTCATCCTATTCTTTTTTATTTATTTTTAATTTCTGATATTTTTATCAGATGAAGCTGGTTTGCTATGTCATCACACTTAAGAATTCTTACAAATTCATTTGCATGTCACAGGAATTGTCTGGTGATGAGATTCAAATAGATAACAGGCCTGTTGGATTTATCCCCTGTGATTCTGTCATAACAACTTTGTTAAGCTGGCAAGGAAAGCTTTTTGTTGGACATGCTAATAGGAACATCATGGTATGCTCTCTTCTTTTAACTTCTTTTTAGGTGATGAGTATCTTGTCTTCTGTTTACCATGATAAAATTCTTTTTCTTTTTTAGTTTAAACCATGATAAAATTCTGGATCACATAATTTGATTGCTGCAGGTGTTTTACTATGGCGAAATGACCAACCGTTAGGCAATGCTGTTATGGTGTATTTGTTTTCAACTGTTGATTAAGCTTAGCTGATGCTGAGTGGTTGATTCGGGAGATCTACCACCGGTCTGTGCATTGTCGATAGATTGAACTTTGAATCCCCTGTCGAAGAGTGTTATAGACTGCATTATGCTGCTGCTGGCATGTTTGCACATTGTACCAGCAACGTGCCAGTCCTGCAGATACACAATTTCGTGCAAAAACAAGGATATCTTTTTCTTGCAAAATGTTGTTCATGTAAATACAAATTTCACGACGGAGGAACATGTTATACAAAAGATTGTGTATTTTCTGATAGGAAGAAACGATGTTTGTACATAGTAATACAAAGTCACAATATAATGCGTGTGTTGGCCTACAGTGTTGTTCAGCACCTTCTACGCATATCAATACACAGATTGGCGCAGGAACATACATGAGGTCATCATATATGGAAGATAAAATATCATAATTCATTAAAATTTAAAAAAAAACCATTAAATTTTTTAAGTAAATATATATATTTTGTTTAAATTTTTTCATTTAAGAATTAAATAAGAGAAAATAGATCTAGTTTTCTTTCATGAAAATAAGACTCATGTTCTTATTTTAATTTTTTAAATATGAAAAAAAATGATAATTTACTATATTATTATAACTATATTATTATTATTTAATGAATAGTTTTATATCTTAATATTTTCATTAACTAAGAGCATTTTGTGAAATTTTGAATATTTCACTATTCTCCTCCACTTTTTCCATTTAAGATATCATTTAACTTAAATAAATAAATAATAATTTCATTTCAGTGATTTCACCATTTGATTTGAGCAGGGGGAAATTAACGGACTAAACGGTACACTCCAGTTCTTCTCTCTCACTCTTGCTGCCTGGAAATCGTACTGACCTTAGTAGCTGAATAGAGGAGTTCCCGCTTTCTACTTGGCTTCACTTTGACAACCCAGAGCTTGATATGATATGGCAACCCTTCCTTGTCTCCAAAGCCCCTGTTTTCTGTCCCTGAAACCACTCCCACAACGCTCCACCCTCGTCTTCACCAACCACACCCACTCCGTTTCTTCATTTCATACTTCGTCTCAGCCTCTACAGCGTCGTCTCAGGCTCACTCGCACCCCCATTTCTGCGTCTCTTAAGGTAAGTTTTCATCTTCCAAGCATAGTTTTCGCTCTATCTGAATTGCCCATCACATGTTTGATGATATGCTTGCATGGGTTGTGTTTGTTTTAGGAAAATTTGGGTCTTCTTACGAAAACTTGGAGTGACGTTACTAGTTTAAACAGCTGGGTTGTTCGGGACTATTACCGCCTTGTGAGCTCTGTTAACTCCCTTGAGCCCCAAATTCAGAGACTCACCGATGACCAGGTTTGTTGGTTTACCTCCACTTATTGTTTGTTCTATTGGATTTCTTTTGGCTATTTGAATAATGGGTTGTGTTTGTTTTTTGTAGCTTACTGCTAAAACTGCAGAGTTCCGGCAAAGGCTGGGGAAGGGCGAGACACTTGCAGATATCCAAGCTGGTTGCAATCTTCTCTACTTACTAGATGATTTTACAATGTCATATGGGATTTTTAAATTTTGGAGTAATTGTGTTCCTTGAATTATGCATATTTACAGAGGCTTTTGCTGTCGTTCGTGAAGCTGCAAAAAGGAAGCTCGGTATGCGTCATTTCGATGTGCAGGTCTCAATTTCTTGCTCTTATATATATAGCTTCATCTACATATGTAACTTTATGTGTATTTATTAACGTAATGTTCACTTTTTATGTTTGTATGTGTTGTCAATTTTGATGCCAGATTATAGGTGGGGCGGTGCTTCATGATGGGTCCATTGCAGAAATGAAAACGGGAGAGGGAAAAACGCTAGTTTCCACATTAGCGGCATATCTTAATGCGCTGACTGGTGAAGGTGTTCATGGTATGCTTCTGTGTTGGTTGTAATAGAAATTTTGTGATTTGGATACAGATATAGTTGTAGAATGGATGGAATGTCCAAATTGTCTCCACTGGTACATTTCTATGCAAATGTAATCTGCAGTGTGTTACAAACTCTAGCATATTATTTTTTCTTTTTGTTGGGAACTTTCAGAAATTAAAATGTTTATTTTAATGCTCTCTCTCTCAACACAGTGGTAACTGTAAATGATTACCTTGCTCAACGAGATGCTGAGTGGATGGGTCGTGTTCATCGCTTCTTAGGTCTTACTGTGGGCCTTGTTCAGGTAATTTTCTGTCTCTGTATATTTTTTTATCTCTCTGCAATAGACTTGATTCCAGATACGTGATTCTAGGGACATGACAGCCTGCGAATGATTACCTTGCAATTTATGTATATTTTATTTAAATATTTATTGTGCATTTATTCCTATTTGCAACATAGAGGGGGATGACAGCTGAAGAGAGGAGATCTAACTATAGCTGTGACATAACTTACACTAATAATTCGGTAAGTCAATTCTACTGCTTGTTGGTAGTATTGCATTTATTTTACTTTTTATGTTTTAACGTCTTCTGGTCTTGGTGTAGATGATTATTAGTTAGTGCATTCCATCCAAAAAAATGAAAATTGCTTTCTTTCTGATATCTCATTCATAATGATTTACTCAGGAACTTGGTTTTGACTATCTACGAGATAACCTTGCTGGAAGCAGCGGACAACTTGTTATGAGATGGTACATCTCAAATAATTTTAGTTTTGTAAATAATTGTTTTTAAAAAAAATAATTATTAGCAGTTTTGCTGTGTAAAAAACAGGCCAAAGCCATTTCATTTTGCCATAGTTGATGAAGTTGACTCAGTTCTTATTGATGAAGGACGAAATCCATTGCTAATTAGTGGGGAGGTAGGTTTTCTAATGTTTCTTTATAGAATATTTTTATGTAATAGTGCTAATGCTTACTATTTTGTAGTGGCTCAATGTGGCGTGGTAATGTGTAATTCCATTTAAAGAAAGAGCTCATTGTTGTAGATTTATGATTTTTTGATGCTTGTCCTTCTATCTCAGGCTAGTAAGGATGCTGCACGCTATCCTGTTGCTGCTAAAGTGGCTGATTTGCTTGTGCGAGACATTGTGAGTATAGTCTCTTCCTTTTATTTTCAGATTAACTCTTCTGTAGGTATTCATTTTATTTTCCCAATGCATGTATATGTTTTTTTTTTCCTATTACGTCGAGAATGATTTATGTCTCACAATCATCGGTTCTACAGCATTACAAGGTAGAACTTAAAGATAACTCAGTTGAGTTGACTGAAGAAGGAATAGCTCTTGCTGAGATGGCCCTTGAAACAAATGACTTATGGGATGAAAATGATCCGTGGGCTAGGTAAAGATGTATAGTTTATGTTTAATTTTATCTTCTTCCTTTTTTTCTTGAGGTGGGGTTCAAATCTATTGTTATAAAATATCTTGCATTTGTTTCAGCTTTTTAATTTAGGCATGAAATTTGAAATGTGTAGATTTGTGATGAATGCATTGAAGGCTAAAGAGTTCTATCGGCAAGATGTGCAATATATTGTCAGAAATGGGAAGGCTCTCATAATAAATGAGGTATGATTTATATTTAGATTATGCGGAATTGTATTTGCAAAAGATAAATTCTGTTATGCATCATAGTTTTAGGTACCTTAAATCAATTAAGAAAGACCAATATTTTGACATTTCTCTAGTTTCAATCGAGAAGTGGGTTATAATTTATACCCAATGCCACTTTTATGGATTGTGAATTGTCTTGGATCTAATCATCATGTTGCTTATATTGACAGCAGAAGGGATAGAATAATGGAAAGAAATGTGGAAAATAAATTCATTGATGCTGCATTTTGTAACAATTAGTAATTGAGTGTCTCATTGAAATAGAAATTGAAGTTCTTAAAATATTTTCAGCTGACTGGCAGAGTTGAAGAGAAGAGAAGGTGGTCTGAGGGGATTCATCAGGCTGTGGAGGCTAAAGAAGGCTTGAAGATTCAGGTACATCTGAAAGTTGGACAATTAGTGCTTGAAGTTTTTCTGCACCTATAATTCATTACATGGAGAATATTCCGTCTTAGTTCAAAGTTGTAATATCAGTATACCTTTTAGGCTGATTCGGTGGTTGTGGCACAAATCACTTATCAATCTCTATTCAAGCTCTACCCAAAACTTTCAGGGATGACTGGGACTGCAAAAACTGAAGTATGCCTGTTTACAAGCATTTTGACATTGTATTTTCTAAAGGAATTAATTGCAAATATTCATATTTCATGTTTAATGTTAAATTCTCCTTAATCATTTCAGGAGAAAGAGTTCTTGAAAATGTTCCAAGTGCCAGTTATTGAAGTACCAACAAATCTGCCAAACATTCGTAATGATTTACCTATTCAAGCTTTTGCGGTAGGATATTTAATGCTTAACCTCAATTTTATCTGATATCGATACCTCCAATTAAAGTCCATCATCAACTTGACTGAAGGTTTCGGTTTGTATTGTTTTAGACTGCTCAAGGGAAGTGGGAATATGTTCGTCAAGAGGTGGAATACATGTTCAGACAGGGGCGTCCTGTTTTAGTTGGGAGCACCAGGTAAATCCAATCTAATCTGTTTAATTTCATGGACTTGGTCTGCTGTGATTTTAATATAAGCTGCTGCTATGTTATACATTCTTATGTGTCAGTGATCATAGATTATAAGCATCCAAAACTTTTTAGATTTTGTACTTTGTGAACTGGAGAATTTTGTGTTATTTCATGGATAATGAAGCATTTTTGGTGCCTTTTATAATTTTTCCAGCCCTTGAGGTTATTTAATTAGGTCATGGAGGGACAACTTGTGATATAAAACGTAGTTGAATCAGAAAGTACTCTTGTATTTCAGATAATGCTGCTGAAACTTTTTTCTCAGTTTCTATTTCAAACTCTTTCAATGTGGTTACATATGTGTGGAGGCATGTTTTTGTTTGGGCTTTTTATTCCAATGGTATTTGAATCAAATGTAATATCCTGATGCTAATTACTTGGATTTTGTTGGATTAATCTAATCATATTTACACTGCATAAATTTATGTACAAGGAGACATAATTATCTTGGTCAAATTTATGTTTTGAGTATGCAGACATCAGCTGATCTGTAACTGTGATTTCTCATCTTCATAATGCAGTGTTGAGAATTCTGAGTACTTGTCTGATCTACTGAAGGAGCAGAACATCCCACACAATGTTCTAAATGCACGGCCTAAGGTTAACTTAATTGGACCTTACATGTGGATGTAGTCTATCATTCTCTTTTACTTTAGTACCCATTTGACTGGTTGTTTTTACATTAACATCATGTTCATATACATTTCTCATCAGTATGCGGCAAGGGAGGCTGAAATTGTTGCCCAAGCAGGGCGAAAATATGCCATTACCATTTCTACCAACATGGCTGGCAGAGGCACTGACATAATTCTAGGAGGAAATCCAAAAGTAGGTGCCCTTGTCCATTGTTAATTGATTCAAAATGTACTGGTGAAAATGAACCTGGTACATTATTTCCAGGAGTTTATGAAATTGGGAACATGTATTTCATGCATATGCATCTATCCTTTTTTTTTAAAATCTAATGCATCCTTGTTTGGAGCCTCTGTGGATAAGTAGAAACTAGAAAGGTGGATTTAATTCGTTTTGTACTTGTTATGATTGAAGATGCTTGCAAAAGAGATCATAGAGGACAGTTTAATTTCGTTCCTGACACGAGAAGCTCCTAATGTTGACGTTGATGGAGAGGCAATTTCACAAAAGGTGATTCATTTTTTAACTGTAAGCTACAGACCAAATTGATTCTATTTCTAATTAATCATTTGTTGTAGGTATTGTCCAAGATAAAGGTTGGTCCATCATCATTAGCTTTTCTGGCAAAGACAGCGTTAATGGGTTTGTGACTGCTCTTTGAAAAAATATTTTATGCTTATATAGGTGCATATTATGGATTGTGGATTGTGCTTATATAGATGCATATATAAAATCTTTAATATTTTATGGATTGTGCAGCTAAATATGTTTCGAAAAATGAAGGCAAGAGCTGGACATATAAGGAGGCAAAATCTATGATATCAGAGTCTGTGGAAATGAGTCAGTCAAGGGATTTGAAGGAGTTAGAGAGGCTTGTTGATGAACAGTCGGAGATGTACCCTCTTGGCCCTACAATTGCACTTGCTTATCTGTCAGTTCTGAAGGATTGCGAGGTACACTGTCTCAAAGAAGGGTCTGAAGTAAAAAAACTTGGGGGTCTTCATGTGATCGGAACATCTTTGCATGAGTCTCGGAGAATAGATAACCAGGTGATTGTTTTTGGCATACATTTTAAAAATCATATTTTATTACCATTTACTCACAAAGCATGAGTTTTGGCATGAAGTGAATTTAGATTTGATGTGGATTTCCAATTCCATTTTGGGAACTGCCAAGAGTTGTCTTTTATATATCGGTTCTCTCTTTCGTTTGACAATTTTATCTTTATTATGTTAGCTTCGAGGCAGAGCAGGAAGGCAAGGTGACCCTGGATCAACACGATTTATGGTGAGGTAATTCACTGTTCAGTGATTTAGGCTTGCACGGAGTCTTCATGCATATACTCACACAAAGACGTGGACATGATTTGTGGGTCTAAAAAAATTTTGGTCTATTAATGTTTATTGAGATGATCTCATGATAAAAATAAAGAAAAACCTGGCCAAGTTAGCATAGCTCTCCTCTGCTCGGTCAACATTGCTTTATCTCAATCAATGTTTTAAGAACCAAACTGACCTGTCAGACTGGTTGAGTCGTTGATTAGTCATGATTTATGTATATGTAACCATCTTTATTGTTGGCCTGCATTGAACCATGCAACCTTCTGGTCTGACTCCACAATCGGTCTTTAACTGCACTTGTTTCAAGACTATTGTAAAACTCATGCAGAACATGAAGTTTAAGAAGATTCCATCATTCCATACCTTATTATTTGTTCATTTATGTAACAGCTTGCAGGACGAGATGTTTCAAAAGTTTAATTTTGATACTGAGTGGGCTGTGAGGCTTATTTCCAAAATTACAAATGATGAGGATATGCCAATTGAAGGTGATACAATTGTTAAACAGGTAATTGGCTAATCTCACGTTCATGATCAACTCATTCCTTTATCTGATCTTCTGAGCATGCTTGATGGCGTCTCTCTCTCTCTCTCTCTCTCTCTCTCTCTCTCTCTCTCTAACAGAATCTGTGTTTTATTAACTTGTACCATTACAATTTTAGCTCCTGGCCCTGCAAATTAATGCAGAGAAGTACTTCTTTGGCATAAGGAAGAGCCTTGTTGAGTTTGATGAAGTATTAGAGGTATGCGTTTGTGAATAACGATGTCTTTATTGGAGTGCTAACTGCTGCACAATTCACAAACACTGAGTAAACTTGTTCTTAATCATATTCATTTATTCAGTTCTAAAGTTTCTTCACTGGAGAGGAGTATAGTAGACTTTGTAATTCATAATTTCCATGAGAAATTGAGTTACATTGCCTTTTCTATGATTTTAAGTACTCAATCATGGAGATCGTTGATATTAGTTAGCAAATTACAAGTAATGCATCTTGCATGAAAATTACATGCATAAATTCAAAAATAGGAAAGAAAAGAAAGGAAAAAAAGGTCCTTTCTAATCTGAATTCAATCATTGCTGTCAAGCTTAAATGATTAAGACTCTTGCCTTGTTGCTTATTGAATTGTTTATTCCCTTTTCACAGGTACAGAGAAAGCATGTCTATGAACTTAGACAGTCCATTTTAACTGGTGATAATGAAAGTTGTTCCCAGCACATATTCCAGTAAGTTTCTGAGTCTCACCAACTTCATTCTCGCTGCCATCTAATTTATCACCCAAATATAGTAGCATTTTGTGTGTTACTTAAACTTCTTAATTAATAAACACTCACTATTCTAAACATTGTGTGAGTACTTCAAATGAATTGCTATATTTTGAACTAGAATACAGCAGGTAATCAGTTTACAATAGCATGCTTGTTCGTACAGACACTTGGATATCGGTGAAAAATTCAAAGTAATAGACATTGAGAAATATGGTTTTACCTGGACAAAGGAAGATTGTTGATAATGAGTTTAACTTTTAAACCTCTTTGTTTGTAGTATTTAGCGATGTTACAAATAAATTTAGAAAGTGTGCCCTAGAATGGAAAACTGAGTCATATCACCTAAAGGTGGCTGAGAGAATCAGTATATATTACAATCTGAAGCATAGGAAAACTTGGGGTTGCTAAATGTGACAACATCCAAAACAAATTATCAATGTATGAATGCGTTTGTGTTAAAAATAAATAGATAGTGTATATTAGTAAGCATGCCTTTGTATTACTGATTGCTGCGACCATATCTTGCTTGGCCTGTTTTTCATATTTTATACATCTTTGCTTTATTTGTTAATAAATCTAGCTGGGTTTCATATTCTTGTTTTTACTAAATTCTCCTATTCAATTTAACATGCAAATATCACATTTTTCTTCCGCACCTTTGTTGTTAATTGACTCAATGGAAGTTGATAATAGGTACATGCAAGCAGTGGTAGATGAAATTGTCTTTGCAAATGTTAACGCACTGAAGGTAGTATGAGATTTTCAAATAGGATGTTGTATACTGCTGTCCACTAATTCATCGTATTGATTCCCTACTGCTTAATAGCATCCAAGAAATTGGAGTTTGGGTAAGCTTTTGAAGGAGTTTTTGACAATTTCTGGGAAACTACTGGATGGTGAGCTGATACATTATTATTATCCTTGTCCTGCATTTCCCTGGTTTGTTTGACATAAATTCTCATGGAATGGATATTCTCCAGATTCATTTACAGGAATTACAGAGGAAGCTTTATTAAAATCTCTTGCACACTCACATGAACTAAACTCTATAGATCTTGATGACATTCACCTTCCAAACTTGCCAAGACCGCCAAAGGCCTTCAGAGGAATCCGCAAGAAGAGCTCTTCATTGAAACGTTGGCTTGCTATATGCTCTGATGATTTGACTAAGTGAGTGAACTCTGTGCTTGTGTGTGCGCATAATACCCATATTTGAGCATGCTATTTTTATTTTGTGTCGTTTCTTTTTTGCTTTTTACTTTTTACAATATTATGAGTTTTATCATCCCCTGATATATGTCTAATGTAGGAACGGACGGTACCATGCTACTACTAGCCTCCTCCGCAAGTACCTTGGAGATTTTTTAATTGTTTCATACTTGGATGTTATTGAAGAGTCTGGTTACGATGATGCATATGTGAAGGAAGTTGAAGTAAGAATCTTCTCATCAAGCATACTTTAATTTATTTTTTTCATATCTGCGATAGGTGATGAATGCTAACATGGATTTATTAACTTATGATTATATTGCCTTTAGAACAAAAAAAAAATATCTGCACTCATAAGTTGGAATATTTGTTGCTATATGATTACGTAAATATGACACCTGCTTAATGGTTCTAAATAAATGAGTTTGAGTTTGTTCTAGAAATGGTATTATTTACTTTGATTCCAGGTAGAAATTCCAGTTTTCTAGGTTTTAGTTTAGAAGTAGAATAATCGTTTTGCTTACAGATTTTCTTATCAGTAGTTATTATGCTCATTTGTTCTTTAGTAGAACTACCAGCACCTTACCTGTTTTTATAGTGTTCCTTTTAACAGTTAATTTTTTTTTTCTTAACTAAAATTTCATCCGAAAACAGAGAGCAGTTCTGGTGAAAACCCTTGATTGTTTCTGGAGGGACCATCTTGTAAACATGAACAGGCTCAGTTCAGCGGTATTATGTAATCTGTTGTTGGTTTTACTTTCATTTAGCTTGTCCATAGTCATGGACTTACATGGAATATCTGGCAGGTAAACGTAAGGAGTTTTGGGCACAGGAATCCTCTTGAAGAATACAAAATTGATGGTTGTCGATTTTTCATATCTATGCTTAGTGCAACACGAAGGTTGACAGTAGAATCACTTTTGCAGTATTGGTCATCCCCAATGGAGTCCCAAGAAATATTTCTATCATAAATATGGAATTCTTGACACATTAAAATGTATGTATTTGCTCTACATTTTTCTTCATTTAAAATTTTTTCCTTCCAGTAACAGGCTGCCTAGATTTCACTATCTATTCTTACTGGGGCTACAATAATAAAGTTATACATTAATTTGTCAATGGCTTTGGGGCCCTAAAGAATCGTACCTTGGATGTATAATCTTGCAGTTTTGGTTGGCCGTTCCAAAGAACCGTGATTTGCATCTTTTTGAAAATTTCAAATCAAGCTTTTGGCTTTATTCCCATCATCCCAAGGTTTTGAAGTCACTTGGTCATCTGTTGTCAAAATTGGGCAATCTCTCTATCGGGAGGCACCTGGAAAAGATCCGTTTAGACCTGATCAGAAGACACCTGTAAAAAGCTTCTTCCTTGCCAGATCGTACACAAAACAAGTAAGTTTATGCAACTGATTTTGCTATAGAAAAAGAATGATGAAAGTATGTGTGGTGTTGTAAATTCTAAATGGCTGTACCTTTTACAGGACTATATATAGACAGCATGGAAGGGGCAACTTTGTCTTGCAGGCAAGCTTCTGCCTATATATGTGATGCTGGGGAAGAGTTCGTGGGATTGCGAAAGAAGCTTGCAGCCCAAGATTCTGGGGAATATGCACAACAATTGCTAATACTACTGATGAGCTGAGTCTTGTCTAACACATTGTCATTTGTGATTCATTAATTAGTACTGAGCAAAACCACCTCATTAGAATGGGAGGTGTCGAAAATAATTTACATTCTCATTTCCAAATATCGCTTGTATAAATAAAACAATTGAAGAAATAACTCTAGCCCAATGGGCTAAAGTGGTATTTTAGCCCTAAAATAATCTGACAAAATTGTCACGTATAAAATTTATAGCACAACGCAAAAATTCCTAAAAATTTACAGTATTAGAAAATATTTATCGAGTATAGCCGCGTGGCTATAATTTTAATATATTTTTTAATTAACTTCATGAATTATATTACTTAATAAATAGTAATTCAATTTTTCTTTTTTCTTTTTTCCTTTAATATTCACTAAGTAAAACATAACTACTAATCAAAGTGATTAAAAAAGGGAGATACATATTAAAGGGTATAGCCGTGAGGCTAGACTTTTAAAATATTCTATTTTTCAAAGTATAGCCGTGCGGTAATACTTTGAAGATATTGTATAGAGTATAGCCGCGTGGCTATACTTTTTAAATATATACACCGACAATAAAAATATAAATATGAATTTCTCTATAGGCTTAGCTTTTGAGGTGCCCTTTGTAAACACCCCACATCGAAAATCCACTCCTATAAAGGTCTTTATAAACAAAGCATTGTGATGATTTGGTAAGTGTGGTTAACATTGGAGAGTTGGGTTAACGGGGTTGGCTATATGTTTGGCTTTGGATTTGGCGCTAATTAATAATAATTATATTAAATTATTAATCAAAGACTTGGGCCTTGGGGCTCTTGGGCTTTGGAGAAATTTAATTAAGACACCCAAAGAAAAATAAGTAATTTATTTTTTTTCATTTTTGACATATCCTTTCAATTTAAAGTCAAATGAAATTAGGTTTATAACTGCTGTGGTTTGAAAATTGCAAAAAATAATTTAAAATAATTAATTAGTATTTATTGAGTAATTTATGAAATAAGTAACATATTTAAATATTCAAAAAAGAAATAATAATTAAAACATAATTACTAATTAAAGTAATTTAAAAACGATAAGATATTACTTAATTACATATATTAAATTAAAGAGGTTGGCAAAAAAAGAGTAAAGAAACTAATTTTATATTTTAAAAAATTAAAAAAAAAATTAAAAAAATAAACATAAACACCTCTCTGGACGAAATTGCATCAGCACAGGTTTATGCCGGCAAATGTTTGCCGGGTTAGGTTTCTCCCGACGAAAGCCCTCTGCCTATGAAATGTCGTCTGGAGAGGTCTAATGGACCTGTGCCCATGCAATTTCGTCGGGAGAGGTCATTTAAAAAATATATATATATAATCTTAGGATCTTTAGGTTAATTATTTTTTTAAAATTTTATTTTTAGTAATTAAATAATATATTGCCTTATTTAATTAGTTAAATTAGTAATTATGTTTTAATTATTATTCATTTAGTGAATAATTAGTATTAAATTTTTTAATTAACTTCATGAATTATATTACTTAATAAATAGTAATTCAATTTTTTCTTCTTTCTTTTTTCCTATAATATTTACTTAATAAAAAAATGTCATGCACAATATGCTTGTATAAAAAAAAATCTGGATATGCGAAGGAGATAGGAAGTTCTCCATTTTTTGACATAATATGTATAGCTTTTCATTTATCTAATGGGTTCCGTTTTGTGCATCGATGTTTCTTACAGGTCCTTTGTACCATTTCCTTGCATCCAAAACCCACCAAAGCATTATCAGTGCCAAAGCAACACTGAGAGCAATCGGTGCATAGTTGAAAGTTTTCCATCTAAGAGGATAAGAAGTTGGCAACAGGAAGATTGAACAGGTATAGCATATCCACAAGAAGGCCACCAAGCAAACTGGCCTTCTTGCTCTCCCCAAATAAAACGGCCCTGGTTTGAAGTTGTCTTCAGCCATGACCAGCCTAGCGAAAATCGGCACAGCATAGCTGCCCACCCAGCCTATTGTACTAACTGAAAGGATGGCTGTGAACACCACATCAAGTTTCAAGATGGGCAATCCCAGCACCATGCTGATGGCTGCACAAAGCCACACGGCATTTATTGGAACCTTGCTTCTTGGGTGCACTTTCCTCCAGATTGGTGACAATGGGAGACATTTATCCCTTGATACAGCATAAACCTTGGAGCAAAACAAGCAAAGTTAGTATGCAGCTTCAGAGAATAGAAAGGGAGGGTCAAGACTTGAGTGATTCGGATTTTCTTACTGCTCGGGCAGCAGTGGTGGTAACAGACAGCCCACAAAAGAAGAAGGAACCGCAGATGATACACAGGAAAATCACAGCTCCAGTTGAATTTTGGAACCTCCCATAAAATGCATCATATATTATCTGTGCTGGTACAAGTGCACCAGCAGTCTCATTGTCTTCGTTGTACAAATAGTCCAGATCCTGCATTAAGAATTATGCTACTACTAATAAAGATCCAATAAATTTACTGCCTTTAACTTGATCAAAGAACAAAAGGGTCAAAAAAAAAATCTATTGAGCTTTACCCTGATGCTGAAAGTGAGAGCCAAGTAATAAGCCCAACCAAACACTGATATAATCCCAATACTAGACAGAATGGCTATAGGGCCAGTTCTATCTGCTCCTTTTGTCTCCTCAGTAAGATGAGCTGCAGCATCGTAGCCATATAGACAATAGTTGCTTAGAAGCACTGATAAAATCACTGCATAAGGTATGCTAGAGACTCCAGTTGCCTCAGGAGATGTTTCAAAATGAGTGAAGACATAAGAAGCTGTCTGTGTTGGCTGTGCCACCAGAGGAAGCATTATGATCATTAACAAGCCACCAATTACCTGTGCATTTGGTCGAGGTCAGTATTAATTAAGCCTACTTAAACATACACATAATCTACATGACATCAGTAATTTTTCAGTCTATGATGCAGAATTGCAGATAACATGTGTATATTTACAAAGAAAAGTAGCAAGAAACAGAACAGTTGAAGAGCACACCTGCCACCATATGGAAATTATGTTGAGAAATGCTATCACTTGTAAAGCAAACGTATTTAGCACAGCCCATGCGATGGTCAGACCCATATACATGCACAGAAATACACTCCTGGATGCAAAATAGCCTCCGCCCTTATTCGTCCCAGTGGCTAATAGAATGAGCATCTGCAATGCTTGTGATCCAGAATATGCCTAAAGGGTAAACAAATAATCATACAAGAAATCAGATTGGTTCATTGTTAATGCATCATCATCATCATCATTAGTTGATTAGTTGATACCTGAGCACCTATTGCAGATACTAGACCGATGGTCTCAAGCCAAGCACAGCACCATGACGCAAATGGCCCCCACCTGGGTCCAGCCAAATGAGCAGCCCAGAAATAAAGAGAGCCAGTGGTCTGGTCAATGTTTGAAGCAACCAAGGTCATCTCAAATGCTTGTTTGCAAGTCCAAAGGAAAACAAGGGGAAAAAAGCAAAGCATACCGGGAAAGAGGAGCATATTTCAGCCATGGCGATTCCAACAAACCATGTGAAGAATGTGACAACAAGCCACCCCCATATCAAGGTTGCCGGACCCGCATAACGCAAGCTTTGGCCGTAGAGGGGTGTACCGGTGAACACTGACATGCATGAAAATGTTATTGCCAGTGTCTTGAACAGAGACTGTAGAAAACCCAAGTGAAAAATATTATATTTCAACACTTCCAAATTCCTTATAGATCAAAATCCAGACTGAAAATAAGAAAATTATCAACATGGTTGCAAGAAAACAGTAAGAGAGATAAATAGATGACCATTTCCCTTCTCAGTTCTTGCTTGTATCCAAGCTCATTGAGGCGCTTTTCTCCGGAATCCATTTCCAGAGCCTGGTGATCCATTCTGATATCCTCCTCTCTCGGACCGGTTGCTTCAATGTACCTATTAATGGAAGAAATTAAAAAATGTCATGTCTTCAAATCCTCAACTGGATGGTTAGAATATAAGATTGAGGATTTTGAATTAATCTTAAAACTCAAGTTAATAAACTAATGCTTTGATCAACAGAGGAGGAAGACTGGTGGAAAAATTAATGGAATGGGTCATAAGCATGTGGCTGCTAGTTGACTTAAGAAAAAAAATAATGTATGAGATTTCCCACTGGTGTTTTGATTTAATGCTAAGGCTAACAATAGAATCTGAGAATCTGACTTCTTTGATTCTCTCGCGGCAACTCTTTGCATGATTGCTTGTCTTTATCTTAAGTCCAAGTAAAAGAGAACAAGCAAAAGCAGTTGGAAAGTTTGAAATTTAGTTGGTCCAAAATGCCAATACTAATAAATAACTAAGGTTGATTTTTCTTTGTGCATCTGGAAGCTGAAAAATAAACTTTTTCTTCCACTAAAGCAAAAAAATAGTATTTCTGGACCAACTGAAATTCAAACTTAGTTATCCAAACAAGTAAAGACAAGAGAGTTGCCATGATGTGAGAGAGAGAGAGAGAGAGAGAGAGAGAGAGAGAATAAGTCAAATCCTATAGTAAACTATTGTAAAACCTTTTTCTTGGGCCTATGTCATGTAAACTTCAGCATTGAATCATGGATACACACAAGCCAATATGCATATTGTGTGCATATGCGTAATTTCTTTGGGCAAAACTCAACAGATAAGCCACAACTATCATCCTAGAAAAAATCTTAAGCATGATTATCTCTACAGCCCACCATAATAATAGGAGTATCGGTCTTCCACTCCACTTGCTTATGACTAATACCATTTTCATGCATGCGTGGTCAGTGCAGTCTTTCATTAATTTGAGTTTCATGCCTAATTCCAAGCCACCAGTCTTATACTATAATCATCCGACTTAAGAATTTGAGATAGGTTCGATCGAAAGAGGGAGATATCGAATATCAGAATGACTACCTTGCAGGTTTTGGAAATGGATTCTGGAGAAAAACGTCTCAATGAGCTTGGATACAAGCAAGAACTGAGAAGGGAAATGGTCATCTACTTGTATCTCTCAATGTTTTATTTAACTTCTGTTATTTCCCATTTGAATTTGGATTTGTAAAAAACTTCCAAGTAGTGAAATCTAATCATTTTCACTTCGTTTTGTTTACAGACACTGTTCAAGACACTGGCAATAACATTTTCATGCATATCAGTGTTTAGTGGGACACCTCTGTATGGCCAAAGCTTGCATTATGCAGGTCCTGCAACCTTAATATGGGGATGGGTAGCTGTCACTTTCTTCACTTGGTTTGTTGCAATTTCCATGGCTGAGATTTGCTCCTCTTTCCCGGTATGGATTTGTACCATCTTTTGGCTTTTCCTTTCCCCTTATTACTTACAATCTGAAACTTTGAATTATGTGAAGCATTTTCTGAAAATTTTGGTATCTGAGACGTCCTTGGTTGTTTTGACCATTGACCAGACAACAGGTTCTCTTTATTTCTGGACTGCCCAATTGGCTGGACCGAGGTGGGGGCCATTTGCATCATGGTGTTGTGCTTGGCTTGAGACCATTGGAGTGGTATCTGCAATAGGTGCTCAGGTATTGCCAGTACTTCCATCTGTTAGCATATTTCTTGAGTGAATTTGGTGCTTGAATGCAGCAATAAATTTCAGGAGATTAATAATGAACTGATGATAAAGATGCACTATCAAAGAGAAAAGTATCATGCACTGCTACTAATTTGATTTCTTTTTCCCATTTATGAGGCATATTCTGGATCACAAGCATTGCAGATGATCATTCTTTTAGCCACAGGGACAAACAAGGGTGGAGGCTATTTTGCATCAAAGGGTGTGTTCTTGTGCATGTATATGGCTCTAATCATAATTTGGGCAGCACTAAACACATTTGCATTAAAAGTGATAGCATATCTCAACATCATTTCCATATGGTGGCAGGTAAGATAAGATATATGCTCATTATATATAAGCATGTTCTCTGCAGACTCTGCTTCATGTAGTTTATTATAATGTGTAATTCTTTATTGCATTTCCATCATATATACCAAATCTATTGAGTAGGCTTAGTACTGACCTCACACTCAAGTATGCAGGTAATCGGTGGGTTGCTTGTGACTATAATGCTTCCTCTGGTGGCACAGTCAACACAACCAGCTTCTTATGTGTTCACTCACTTTGAAACATCTCCTGAGTCAACTGGAATATCTAGCGCACCTTACGCAGTGATTTTATCGGTGCTTCTGAGCATCTACTCTCTATACGGCTATGATGCTGCAGCTCATCTTACTGAGGAGACAAAAGACGCAGACAGAACTGGACCTGTAGCTATTCTATCTAGTCTTGGGATTGTATCAGTTTTTGGTTGGGCTTACTACTTAGCCCTGACTTTCAGCATCAGGGTAGGCTGTGGTGAAGTACTCTTTTGATTTTGATCAAGCTAAAGGCAATAAATTTATTGTATGCTTATTAGAACATGATTCTGAGTGCAGGATCTAGACTATTTATACAACACAGACAATGAGACTGCTGGTGCACTTGTACCAGCACAAATAATATATGATGCATTCTATGGGAAGTTTCACAATTCAACTGGAGCTGTGGTTTTCCTGTGTATCATCTGGGGTTCCTACTTCTTTTGTGGGCTGTCTGTTACCACCACTGCTGCCCGAGTGGTAAGGAATACCAAAACTCTAAACCCGAAACCCTCCCTCTTTTCTGAAGCTAAAAGTTCATAATTTTATTTGTTTTACTGATCATAGGTTTATGCTCTATCAAGGGATAAAGGTATCCCATTTTCACCAATCTGGAGGGAAGTACATCCAAGGAGCAAGGTTCCAACAAATGCCGTGTGGCTCTGCGCAGCCATTGGTTTGCTGCTTGGACTACCCATTTTGAAACTTGATGTAGTGTTCACAGCCATCATTTCAGTTAGTACAATTGGCTGGGTGGGCGGTTATGCAGTTCCCATTTTGGCTAGGCTGGTGATGGCTGAAGAAAATTTCAAACCAGGACCCTTTTATTTGGGTAGAGCAAGCAGGCCAGTTTGCTTGGTGGCCTTCCTGTGGATATGCTATGCCTGTTCAGCCTTCCTATTGCCAACTTTCTACCCTCTAAGATGGAAAACTTTCAATTATGCACCTGTAGCTCTCACTTTTGTTTTGACACTGATAATGCTTTGGTGGGTTTTGGATGCAAGGAAGTGGTTCAAAGGACCTGTAAGAAACATTGATGTACAAGACGGAAACTAACTCAGATATATAGTGGAGTTGGATTTCTAGGTTAATTACAACTTGTTAAAATAACATTCCAATAACATACAGAGAAATGTTGCACTGCAACTTGTAGTACAGTAAAACTCTCTCTCTCTCTCTCTCTCTCTCTCTCTCTCTCTCTCCAGCCTCCTCTTGGCATTTATTCCCATTGGTTCAGTCCTGTCAAGCTCTTCATGATTGATCCTATTGTCAAGTTTCGAGTCAAAGTGGTATAGCAGTTGACAGAGTGCAAGTTCAGCCTTAAGAGTTTCTTTCATGACCAACTTCATGTATTCTAGTTTAGGGATATGGCACACAGTATGTGCGAGTTATTGTGGTTGAAGATCTTTTTAGGGGAATTTGAGGATTACTTATAATGGTCCTTGAAGCTATTTTGTCATAATAAGGCAGCATTGCTCACAACCCTGTGCAACATGATCGAACCAAACATGTTTGGCAGAAACTTTGTTAAGCAGAAATTGTCAGAAGGATTGATTTGCACTCTCTATGTGAGAACCAAGCATCGACTTGCTGATATCCTTACTAAGGGAGTTTCTAGCAAGGTGTTTGATTCTACTCAAGCCAAATTGGGAATTCGAGCTATTCTCCAGCTTGAAGGGAGTATTGACTTGTGTATATTTAATTGCACACAAGTAGATGATGATTACCTTAGTTATAGGCTGATTCATAGGAGCTGACTTTTAGCTTTTATTCTCTTCCCTTATTTGTAGTTAGCTGTGTACTATTTATTCCTCCTTGTGGATTCCTTTACAATAAATTTTTATATGAAATTTTATACAATATATATATATATATGTATGTATTTTCTGCATGTGCTTTCTTTAGTCAAAACTAAATGGATATTATCATGCTAAAAAAGTCTTATTGTAAAGCATGCATGACAGCCCACCATAACATGCTCCCTGTTTACTTCCTTTTCTTGCGTCGTCAAGTGCAAGTCTTTCATTAATTTGAGATTCAAGGCTAATACAAAACCATCAATAGTCTTATACTGTAACAATCCAACTCAAGAATTTGATACAGGTTCAACCAAGAGAGGAGGATATCGAACATCTGAACGAGTACCAACCCGGTTTTGGAAATGGATTCTGGAGAAAAACGTCTCAATGAGCTTGGATACAAGCAAGAACTCAGAAGGGAAATGGTCATCTACTTATATCTCCCTATATCTCTCTCTCACCATTTCCCTTAGTTTCTGTTATTTCATTTCCCATTTGGATTTGAATATGTTTTAAAAACTTTGAAGCATTAAAATTTTGATCATTTTCACTTGCTTTTTTTTTTTGACAGACTCTGTTCAAGACAATGGCAATAACATTTTCATGCATATCTGCATTCAGTGGGACACCTCTGTATGGCCAAAGCTTGCGTTATGCAGGTCCTGCAACCTTAGTATGGGGGTGGGTTGTTGTTAGTTTCTTCACTTGGTTTGTTGCAATCGCCATGGCGGAGATTTGCTCCTCTTTCCCGGTATGCATTTGCACCATTTTTTGCTTTTCCCTTCTTCTCCTTCTGACTATTGCTACTTATAATCTGAAACTTTGAATTATGTGATCCATATGTTCTGAAAAATTAAGATGACTTCAATTGGTCGCTTTAAAACTTTGACCAGACCACAGGTTCTCTTTATTTCTGGGCTGCCCATTTGGCTGGACGCAGGTGGGGGCCATTTGCTTCATGGTGTTGTGCTTGACTTGAGACTATTGGTGTGATATTTGCTATTGGTGCTCAGGTAGGCACTTCCTTACACAGCATATTTCTTGAGAAAAGCATCAAGCCAGCTACTAATTAATTTGAATTTTTTTTTCCCCTTTTATAAGGCATATTCTGGATCACAAGCATTGCAGATGATCATTCTTTTAGCCACAGGAACAAACAAGGGTGGAGGCTATTTTGCATCTAAGGGTGTGTTTTTGTGCTTGTATATGGCTCTAATCCTAATATGGGCAGTACTAAACACATTTAAATTACAAGTGATAGCATTTCTCAACATCATCTCCATATGGTGGCAGGTGTTCCCTTCAACTGTTCTGTGTCTTGCTTCTTTTCATAGTAAAATATACATATGTATGATTGTAGGGCCACGTCGTCCAAGCATGGGGTTTTATCTCATAAGGCCATCCGTTTACGGACACTGTCTCTTCTCCAATGTGGGACAATCGGATTTGATTCCTAACACTCTGCAGACTTTGCTTCATAGTTCATTATAATGTGTAACACCTTTGCTTTATTGCATTTGCATCATAAATATCAAATCTATATATTAATGAGCTCTTCATACTGAACTCAAGCATGCAGGTAGTTGGTGGCTTGCTTGTGATTGTTATGCTTCCTCTGGTGGCCCAGTCAACACAGCCAGCTTCTTATGTGTTCACTCACTTTGAAACATCTCCTGAGTCAACTGGAGTCTCTAGCATACCTTATGCAGTGATTTTATCAGTGCTTCTGAGCATATACTCTCTATTCGGCTACGACGCTGCAGCTCATCTTACTGAGGAGACAAAAGGCGCAGACAGAACTGGTCCAAAAGCTATTCTATCTAGTCTTGGTATCATATCAGTTTTTGGCTGGGCTTATTACTTGTCTCTAACTTTCAGCATCAGGGTAAGCTCAAGAGAACTTTACCCTTCTGTTTTTTCGGTCAAGTTAAAGACAATAGCTTATTGGATCCTTATTAGTAACATAATTCTTAATGCAGGATCTGGAGTATTTATACAATGCAGACAATGAGACTGCTGGTGCACTTGTACCAGCACAGATTATATATGATGCATTCTATGGGAGGTTCCAAAATTCAACTGGAGCTGTGGTTTTCCTGTGTATCATCTGGGGTTCCTACTTCTTTTGTGGCTTGTCTACTACCACCACCGCTGCCCGAGTAGTAAGAAAAACCGAAACTCTAAACCCTAAACCCTAAACCCTCCATCTTTTCCGAAGCGAAAAATGTATAACTTTATCTGTTTTACTAATCATAGGTTTATGCTCTATCAAGGGATAACGGTATCCCATTTTCACCAATCTGGAGGAAATTGCACCCGAGGACCAAGGTTCCAACAAATGCAGTGTGGCTTTGCGCAGCCATTGGTTTGCTGCTTGGACTGCCCATCTTGAAACTTGATGTAGTATTCACAGCCTTCATTTCAGTTAGTACAATTGGCTGGGTGGGTAGTTATGCAGTGCCAATTTTTGCTAGGCTGGTGATGGCTGAAGAGAACTTCAAACCAGGACCCTTTTATTTGGGTAGAGCAAGCAGGCCAGTTTGCTTGGTGGCCTTCCTGTGGATATGCTATGCCTGTTCAGCCTTTCTATTGCCAACTTTCTACCCTCTTGGATGGAAAACCTTCAATTATGCACCAGTAGCTGTCAGTGTTGTTTTGACAGTGGTAATGCTTTGGTGGGCTTTGGATGCAAGGAATTGGTTCAAGGGACCTGTAAGAAACATTGATGTACAAAACGAAAACTATTAGGTTCTGGGAAATGCTAGAGAGATCACATTTTTAGATCCTATTAATTGACCAAATGATGTGACACTGGATGTATTAATCAACGATTCACTAGCCATAATAACTTATATAATAAGTACATATCAACTAACGCATTATGCAAATGCGATCCCGCTATAATGTGATATCAAGTTTGAGCAGAGTATAGAAGAATTCATACAAAACAGTCTGAAGCTAATACCCTCATTCATTCCCTAATGAAGGGAATGGCAATAGCATACAAGCCACTACCCCTAGATACTTCAATACATGTCTAGTCTCTTGAAATTTGTAAATTAGCATGAATTTAGTTAATTAGAGAAGTAAATCTTGCTTCTTTCTTTTTTTTTTTTTTTTTTTTTTTTTTTTAGTAGTAATTAATGGTGGTGTGCGGAGGGTTGTAGGGTCACAATTTTTTTTTTTTTTTTTTTTGTTTTTTTTTAATAGTCTGAAACACAACACCCTTTGGTTCTTTGGATTTGGACCGACCATCCAAAAATCCAAGTTCGGATGCCAATTGGGCTGAGCTAGTAAGATTTAAAAAACATTTGTATTGGGTTTTAGATTTTAAATAATATATTATCATTATTATTATTTATTTATTTAAGTCTTTATTTTTATTTTATCGAATATAATGAAGTCTTTTTTCTATAGAATTATTATGCTATAATTTATAGAATAATTAGCTAGCTAGCTAGATTCATGAACTTTTCGTAATGTCAGATAAAAGGGGTGTGATATTGTTGGAGAATATTTGCTGTCATTGTCTTAATTGCCATGATAAGAAAGCAAACTCTAATTAAACAAAGTGATTAAGGACGAAATACTTAATGACCCGTTGACTTGGTATGTGTATGTGTTAATATAGCTTACGACGAACTATGTGCGTATATATTATATGGCTGCCATAGCTTGTTTCAGCAAGTAAGATTCGTCAGAAATGATGTGCAATGAAATTAGAAGATTGTTTTTGTCATGAAATAAGGGGGTCATTAGATATATATCGTCAAGAAAGTGACATTGTTAGGATCAAATATCAAAACTTAATGAGTTTGACTATTTGCAGGCTTCCAAGTTTCCAACATCTATATTTTTTTAAAAAAAATCCAAATAGTCTGACACGCTATGTTGTTAATACTCTTCATTTAAATTTGTCATCATTTACATTCCTATATAAATTTAAAGTTCACCGAAATAGTATGACAACAAAACATGTCAAACAATTTAGTTTTTTTTTAAACTGTTCTCTGGTGAATTAATCTGGCATGACAAACTATTTTAAAAAATTACTTTGTATAGATATACATCTATCTATGTGTAGTTTTTATAAAGTTGTATTTATTTTGTAAAAGAGTTGAATTTATGAGGAACCGTGAGCTATAGCAATTAATTAACTATAACAAGGAACCCTAGGAGGACAGTTGCAAAAGTGTTGCGTAACCCTATAATACGGTTATGTAAGGGTAAGGTAGTTATATAACTAATCGTGAAGGGTTTGAAGTTTTCAATGCAAACGTTGAAATAATCAAACTACTCGAATTACTCAATTGGTCATGGTTGACACAAACCATGCTCTTCAACTCTTCCATTTGTGTCCTTTTTCATTGTTATTAACAATAATAATTAATCAACAAATAAACCCAACACGTTTCCCAATGATCTCATTGAGCCTAAAGAATCTAAAAATCGAGTGACTGCCGACCACGCCCGTGACTTTCTAAGCTCATGAATTATTGCATAAAAAAATAATTGTCTTAATTAATTATGGTAAATTATTTTATAATCTTTGTGATAGAGGAGGTTTCAGAGGTTGATTAAAAAAGAAGGAAAAAAAAAGACAGAGAGCATTACTAGGCAAATCTATGTGAAAGGGTTCAGGCTCCCTAGACTCTTTTTTTTTTCATCTTTGTCACCCCTCATGGGTGCCTTGTGAGAGACAATTACTCAGCACCATGTGAGAGTCGACAGAGCTGATGAGAGGGCCTGGTACTGCTGAGACTTCTTGAAAAGGAAGGCTAAACCACAGAACAAATATTAATTTATTTGTTTAGATTAGACCACCATGGATGAATATTAATTACTCAATTCAATTGTCTCGAGGTACTTCTAAGCGTAGTCTCCGTTAGACAATGTTCTGGGGGCATGTATTGAGTCACTTGGGTTATGGAACACCTGACACCCTCTTTCTTAAGAAAACAGTTTGTTTACGGTTAATCGGCATCAACTAATTTGGAAGTTACTTTCGAAGAATAAGTCGTTGTCAACCGTTAATGTATATCTGAGATTCTTTTTCACCATTGATGTATGTAGACTTATAATGAGATTTAGGGCGACTAATAATCATTTATGCGTAAGTGGGCAATTATCATTAACATATATCCAATTGATTTATTAATTTTGGGACATCATGAAGTCCCATTGTGGTGTTTACAAATATTTGACATTGCCAATGCAATAATCGAAATTCACAATCTGACAACATTCAAAAACTTAAGCTATAATATTTAGTTAACACTCTCTAATTAAACCGTTGTTAGTTTCAATATTTTATTTTATTTTCAAATACGGTTTCAATATGTTATGATGATGCATGAGATCATCAAGAGTAGTTAGGCCAACCTGAGCGGCTAGGCTATAATTAGTAGGGAAATCCAACTTAAGCTAATCTTTGGAGAAGTTTAAGCCTTTAATTAAGTTAAAATGCACAAACTCCAATCCAATCTATCAGCCTTAAGTTGTGGAAAAAAAAATTAAGTAAATTTCAACTCCTAATTAATTAACATGATAATTTCCTAAATTCAGATCTTTATTCATTCTTGAGCACATTACAATCAAACTAAACTAATGTTCATCTTTTCGGTTTTATTTGTCGCTCAGATTTGCCAACTCTAATCGTGCTTAGTGAGGGAGCTTAGGGATATTTTCTTGTTCTTTTTCTTTTTATTAATCCTGCAACCTTTCAATTTACACCTGAGCTCTTAATTAAAATTTTCAAGTACAGTTGACCTTTGACCTTCGTGCCCATGTTCTGTTCAACAAAGTTCGCAATATTAGGAAAGGTAGAAGATTGAAATGAATTCGCGTCTCTTCACTCTTCATCCTTATTAGAAGATTGAAATGTTTTAAATAAATCAAGTTCTATTTTGCTAAGGCGAGCATCTCCAACAGCCTCTTCAACAGTTTTGGAATGCTAATCTGCGCAGCTATACTGTTTTTGACAAGTGTCGCCTTTTTGATAGGGCCTTTTTCAAAATCGTATAGCCACGCGGCTATACTCTGGTATATTTTTTTTAAAATAGTATAGCCGCGCAGCTTTACCACGACAATATTTTTTTAAAATAATATAGCCGCGCGGCTATACCTGTTTGACACTTCTGGGCGGCCCTTTTTTCCCATATATAGTATATCCGCATGGCTATACTCATGTTTTTTTATAATAAAAAAATTAGTATCGTTGCGCGGCTATACGCGGGCAAATTTTTTCCAAAATAGTACATCCGCTCGGCTATACTCGGGGTTTTTTTTTAATTAGTATAGCCGCACGGCTATACCAGTTTTCATAGGGGTTAACCAGCGCTTGGCGGATCCTTTTTTATTTATAAATAGTATAGCCGCGCTATACTCGGGTAATTTTTTTTTCAATTTTTTACACATGTCACTGGAATAATCACTAATAACTCTTTGCTTTATATTTATGAAACAATGATTATGCCCATGGATACGTGTCAAATATTGAGAACGATGATGAGGGTGCACTTTGGGTTAAAATTTTAAAATACAAGTAAAATGAATTTACTTTTACTGCATATTTGACTTTGCATGACAAAGAAGTTTTCTATATTCAAATATATCTAGGATAGTACGTTAAAGAAGAGAGAAGAAAAAAGGCTGCAAAAGTTGATTAGGCTACATAGAGTAGGGAGATTACATCCTATGGGAAAGAGTAATATACTATACATCATTATAAACCCTAAAGTTTGGAATACCAATATTTATGAGACGCTTATTTAATTTGTTTTTATACTGGTTTTATGTTAAAAGTCATTTATTTCAAACAACAAAAATACTATCATATCATGTGTAACACTACATGATGACCAAAAATTTTGATAATATTTTTTAATGTTGGGTAGGTAGACCATATAGTTCGTGTCCATACGTATATAGACGGCCTTGCTGTCACATCTATATTCTACAATTTTTAGGGTTTTTCCCCATTAGGGAGGGAGAAACCACTCTCTGATTGGCAATTAATGGCTCCATATTAATTATTTCCCAATCCTAATCAAAATTCTGTAGTGGAGAAGAAAATTGCTACTAACTTTGATTTTCCAGCCCACATGGCACATGATATGGGTTCACACCACGTCATCACATGCTAGCATGCCCCATGAGGAGACATTAATATAATATGTTTCGGAATACGGCTACGTGTTATAACATGGGTCGATGGAATAGTTCATATATATTCCACTTTTAGGATAGATTATCAATATAATGCCCACATATATTATAATATGTGAATAAGTTATACCAAGCGATCGTACTCTAGTATCATGCTATAATTACTCCGCATAATTAACATTATCCAAATCCTTTTATGACCTAATTATAATTAAGCTAAGCTAGGTAGAGGATGGAAGCCCTGTGCTCAAGCCTCTCAAACCCTACTTAAGTTTTTGTTTTTGGTTTTTTTTTGGGATAGAGAAACCCTACTTAAGTTGGTGATGCCTCAATAATATGGTATATGTGCATTATACACACACAACACACATGTATCGAAATGATTAATTAAAGGCTCTTTTGATAACCATTTCAATTTTAGTTTTTAGTTTTTATTTTTTGTGCTAGAGTATATGGGAAAAAGAGGGAGAATGGAAATGAGAATGAGAATGAAGATAGAATTAAGGGGGGAGGAGGAAGGAATGAGTAACAAAAGTGAAAACTAAAACTAAAACTGAAATCTATTTGAATTTGTTTTCACTTTCAAGTTTTTGTTTCACTTTTGTTACTCTTTCCTCTCATCCTCTCTCTCAATCTCATCCTCACCCTCATTCTCACTCTCATTTTCCTCTGTATACGTTACCATAAAAAATAAAAACTAAAAACTAAAATTAAAATGGTTATCAAACCGAACTCTAAGATAATTAATTAATCAAGCTTGTCAACCAATCAAATGCCATAACATTATCTTAATTAAATCTCGACCTGCATGATTCAACCTTCGGTTCCAGCACATTTTCATAATTTTTTTAAGAAAAATAATAACATATGAGCCAAACCATGCAACGTGGCTCACACTACATCTCTGGAACCATAATGCAATAATCAACCGTCCGATCCATGCAAAATTGACGCTGGTTTTGAAGTACTACAAGGTACAGCAATGACTTTATTCGTTTTACAAGATTGAGTTCTTGATCAGACGGCCATGATCATCTCTGTCCCCTGATATGTACCCTCAAATTCGGACAAGTGGAATCAAATCAGACGGTGGATCATATGTCCAGTGTAACCTACAGCACATAGGGTTTGAAATTTGAATTCCAGATCGCTAACCCTACTAAAAAACAGTGTGCATGTTAAGCTTAAATTTTTTTTTTTCTTTTCCTTTCAGGTAAGAAGCATTATGATAATTTATAAATTAATTAATTAATTAATTAATCAATCCCACATACACACATATATAAATTATAATAATGGAGTTGACAAAGTTTTAATTAAATGAATTAATTATTTGGTGTTGCTTTGTTTATAATGGTCATCGGCTTCGCCTTCCTTAACCCTCAAACTATGCCTGCAAATCAGTGTATTAGTTTAACCATGGAACTAACCACTCGTCATAAAAAAGCACGTATGTGTGAAAGCCAAAGGACCACAAGGCATTGCGGGTTACTGTCAACATGATGAACCCTAGTCGGCAGAGATTTATGCTACAAGGAAAATAAGCTTAAAATAATTATGGGATTAGTAATAATATATGGGGGAAGAAAGAGGGGGAATAATTTTGCACATGAAGGACATGCTATGATGCCACCATGGATTGAGATTATTTGGAATCTATTATCTGGCAGGTGAATGAACTAGAACCATTTGATTTGAAGAATTCTTCTCTCATAGACATCCCATGCCCATCACGGTGAAAATCAACTTGATCGACCTAGCTTAGCTTATCCATGATTAAAGAAAAAGAAATAAAGGCTCACGTAAAACGAGTGAAATTTAATATGGTCGATAGTCGGAATGTTATACGTACTATATTTTTCACATAATGAGACATGCATGTAAACAGTGATGTGGTCAGTAAATGTAAATGTAGTGCAAATCAATCATATGAGATTGGTAAATTGTTAGTGCACGTTAAGATATCCAAATGGCAGCTAATTGATATGGACATGTCACATGTATATGCTTCATAATAAAAGGGAAATGGAATGAGGTGAATCACCTGAAAGAGTATGCTTATGTTGTGGGTTACCAGTAGGTACCTCACAAAGCATTGACCTTGGATCTAATTTTAAATGTAAAGCGTCACCGTCCCATACCTTACCCTAACGGCCACATTGGAAGAAACAAAGGGAAAATAATAAAATTAATAAAAAAAGGTTGACATATCCAACAGATGGCGGGAAACTTTGCTATAAATAGGCCTAATCACCCTCTCTTCTTCACCACCAGTGCAACTTAAGCTAATTAATTAAGCAAGCATTGTACTCACTACAGAAACCAACTCTCTCTCTCTCTCTCTCTCTCTCTCTCTCTCTCAACTACTGTGCTAGCTTAATCTCTTGCTTTAATCAGATCCATGGCAATCCCAGTTTTTGATTTCTCAAAGCTTGATGGTGAAGAAAGGGCCCAAACATTGGCTCAACTTGCCAATGGATGCGAGGAATGGGGCTTCTTCCAGGTACTGATTTAATTATTTCATCTTTTTTGCTTCAATATATATTTAGTGGCCAAAAATGTAATTTCAGCTCATTGCTTGTCATTCCATTGTTTTTATGTGTTTTTTTTTTGTCTCTATGCCAAGAGTGTTAATTGAGTGTTTTTTGTGTTCGTCACAGCTGGTGAACCATGGAATTTCAGATGAGCTTCTGGAGAGGGTGAAGAAGGTGAGCTCTGAGTGCTTTAAGCTGGAAAGAGAGGAGGAATTCAAGAAGTCTGCACTTGTGAAGTCATTAAATGGCCAAAAGTTGGAGAATGTGGACTGGGAGGACGTCTTCACCCTCCTGGATGATAATGAATGGCCCTCGAAAACCCCCGGATTCAAGTAAGCAATGAAAATTATATATAATTAGTAAGCCGCATGCTCCAGAGAAAACGTTCTCTTGCCAAATACCTGACATATATTATGTTTTTAAATTATCAATCTGAACGATAAGTTCAATACCGACAGCCTAACAACATAACGTGTTAGACTATCTAGTCTCGTCTCCATGGCAATGTTCAATTTTATGCCACGCTCCCTAATCTAGAATCTGATCACTACTTCTCTTATTGACAGGGAAACCATGACAGAATACAGGACAGAACTGAAGAAACTAGCTGAGAGGATCATGGAAGTGATGGATGAGAACTTGGGCTTACCAAGGGGATACATCAAGAAAGCATTCAATGGTGGAGAAGAAGACAATGCCTTCTTCGGCACCAAGGTGAGCCACTACCCACCATGCCCTCAGCCAGAGTTAGTGACTGGTCTCCGAGCTCACACCGATGCCGGGGGTGTCATCTTACTCTTCCAAGATGACCAGGTGGGAGGCCTTCAAATCCTCAAAGATGGGCAATGGATTGATGTGCAGCCACTGCACAACTCCATTGTCATTAACACAGGGGACCAGATTGAGGTCCTGAGCAATGGCCTCTACAAGAGTGTTTGGCACCGGGTTTTAGCCACCCCAACTGGAAACAGAAGATCAATTGCTTCATTCTATAACCCATCACTCAAGGCCACCATAGCTCCTGCACCACAACTGGTGGAGAAAGCAAACCAAGAAGTGGATCAAGCATATCCCAAGTTTGTGTTTGGTGACTACCTCTCTGTTTATGCTGAGCAGAAGTTCCTCCCCAAGGAACCAAGGTTCCAATCTGTGAGGGCCGTGTGAGAAATTATAGGAGTCATATGGACAAAAAGAAAAAAGAATACATCAGTTTCTCTCTCTTTCTTTTTTTCCTTTTTTTAATTTTATTTTTTTGGGGTGCTTAATTATAATTACTACATACTCGCTCATCTCTCACTCTTAACTTAAACTCTGTATGGGAGGAGAAAGCTGAAGTGGGTGTAAGTCTCTGTGCGCTTCATATTTCTCTATATCTTTCTTGTTATGTAATGCTGCTAAAAGTGTGCTCCACTTGGGATGTGCTCTGTAAAATAGTAATATAATGGATTGCAATCTTAAATATTGCTGGTTATGGCATCTCTTTCTTTCCTTTTGTAGTTGGTGGTCACTTTATTACTTTATTGCCAGACATAATTTTGTTTGATATTAATGTTGTTGGTTCCCTAACGGTGGTCTGCCCAATGGAAGGGAGTGAGAAATCTCCCTCCCTGTAGTTTAGACTATCGCTTCTACTAAAAAAAAAAAGTTGTTGCTTCAATATGAGCAAAGCAACCCACAATACTTTTGTTTAAAAAGACCACCTACAAATTATTATCTTTTTATCTTCTTATGTTTAGATGGTTCTTTGCATATATGTTCTTAGCTGGGTCACAGCCTTGTGACAAAATCCACCAAACAAAGAAAAGAAGCAAGTCACCAAATACCAACAAAGTTATTAACCACAAGGCATGATCAATAAAAGCCTACCAGAGAGACCAATGAAATCATGCTTGGGAGGCTTTAAATTTTGATCACCTCAGACAGGCTTTCCTCCCATAATTCTCGTACGAAAACAAATGTATCAGAAAACAGCAGTAAACAAAGAGAACTACGAAAATAAAGCATGGATCAATCGGATACATCCATAAAAGAGTTTTATGTATAATTTTATTGCTCTATACTGACAATCTACAGTTAAATCTTTCGACAAGAAGGGACAGTATACTAGTATACGTAAAATTCTACCCTCTTGTGGGAGCTATTGAGAAAGAGTACATTTACTCTCAGTTTGATTTCCTATAATCTACAATATGTACAACATTATACACTTGATCAACAATGAAGAGTGAAACAGGTCTTCCAGTTTTCCAGTTTCAAATGTTTCAAAGGGCCTTTTGATCTAGCCTTTCGTTCCAATTTAGGCAACGAATCAAGCTTCGAAACCAATCACCTGTTTGGTCACGCTTGTTGACAGTCGGAAGTGGGTGTTGGCTCATAGATATTCTGACAGAGTCTCCTCTTGAGAGTTGCTGCCTTCTCTTTCCATCAAAAGAAACCCAGGCATTGCTTCGAGCATCCTCTGGAATCTGTCCAAACAAATGCGTTTTCTCTTGAATAAGAATTGGTTGCTAAAATTGTAAGAATAATCTCTTTTCCTCTCTGTGTGTGACGTAGAGCATGCGTTGTGCATCTTCTTTGTATATGTAATAGGATGCATAGCTAACTAAATTAAATGTGGCAAAAAAAATGCTTTCAATACTTGACTTGCATAGTAGAAAAGCTATACATATTCCAAATTCAGACTTAAACATTAGTTCTAGATGTTGTTGGCCCTTGAAAACATGTTTACAATGTTCAGCGCCACATGGAGGTAAGAATGTGACCCCAGGACAAAATAAAACCACGTAACAAAGCTTGGCAGTCCTTGAGGTGAGACCTTAAGGACATTATATCTAAAGTGAATGGCATAAATAAATGGTGCACAAGACCAGCCAAACTTTTTTAAAAACCAAGGGACATGTGGAGACAAAAAAAATGGGGGAAAGGTCAAAATCAAGGTTTTTAACTGAGAAATATTTATACCGCATTAAAAAAAAAATAATCGAGATTTAACTAGATACATGAGGAAAATAATTCACCTTTAATTCAAGCTTTGCAGAATCTGGAAGTATAACTGGTCTAAATGAGAGGGAGTGTGGACAGATTGGCGTAAATAACATGCAAGGAACATTTGGATGCACCTGCAATTCATATTATCTGATGTTAGATGCACAATCTCCTGTTGACAAAGTCAACCGACAACAACCAGAGACAAAAAAGATTTAGAGAAGATGGCTACTTCTCAATGATAATAGACGGCTACCATATGAGTTTCCATTATCTGTATAGTAGGCATGGTATTTTTAAAAAGATTATGTATATATGGCCGCAAGTTACAAAGCATACGGGAAAAAAATCCTTCACTAAGAAACATCACCTCTAACAGAAACGAAAACCCAAGCCCTTGAATTTGCTTGCACATTGTTAGGTACTAAATTTTGTATTATGGTGACTTCAAAACTGAAGAGGAATTTCTTACCATGGAACCTCCAGCAGCTGTGGAGTATGCAGTACTTCCTGTAGGTGTGGCTATGATGACCCCATCACCTTGGACCTAAAAGATATGGTATTTGTCAATAGACAGCACGATGACATCATATAAGTTATTGGAACACTCTCTGTGTCACATATAAGTATAGTCACGTCAGATGTAATCCACATGGTAAGAAAGCAAAGTCTAACTCATTTGCTTGGGTGAAGTTTAGGACATTACTAGAGCCTATTAAAATAATTATTTTATAAGATATGCAATAACTAACAACCTCACCTTCGTTATAAGCCGGTCTTGTTCATAACATTCAATCTTAGACAGGTATGGATTAGACCCTCGATCAACAACTATTTCATTCAAGACATCAAATACTTTCCCAGGCATTGCTCTACCATTTCGAAAAATTTCACACCTGAGCCGCATTCTAAGAGTTATATAAACACCATCACTTGTGTTATTCCCATGGATCACCTGCCTTAAGTCCTGCATATAGTCTTCAAACTGAATTCAAAAGTATAAGATGGGTTAGAGGAATGGAAATCTGTGAGAGAACATAAATCAACTACAAAAGACAAAATCAAAGAACTTACCGTATGGGAAGTCAAAAATCCAAGAGATCCAAGGTTAAATGATACAATTGGGGGAACAGCACCTTTAAATAGATTTGAAGCATGGAGTATAACCCCATCTCCTCCCAGGCATGCCACAAAATCAACCCTCTCATGCAGATCACTGAAGGCACAAGTAAGCAAATTTCCAATAAGGTTGTGAAATATAAAATATGTTGTCGAACTTTAGGTACAACTTTGGTACCTGGTATCTTGACTATAGAAGGTCTGAACAAATCCAAACCCTGGGATTCTAGCAAATATGTCATGCACTTCTGGTTCCACCAGAACATTCATTTTCTCTTGGTAATACATAAACGAGACAACCTACGCATTGACACAGCAAAAGCTATAATTTTTCCAGCAAACAAACTCCCAAACAAAATAGTCAGAGATTTACAGTAATTCCTGACATTATTAAGATATCTTCCAATATATAAATACATATGAGGCCCTTCCATTAAGGGGATGCCCAATTTTTGCAAAAATGGGAGTACCTTGTGGGGCTCATTCCTCATTATAGTTTAATGATTTGATCCATCTATTCTTTAATGATCCCCTGTGAGGGTTATTCCCATTTTTTGCAAAATAGAAAAAATGGGGATCCCTCCACATATATGTTATTGAATACAAAATTGCTTGAAAATACCTATTCCCCTTAACTTAGCCTTTTGTTTACACTAGTTCATGTATTAGCATAGCATAAGCAACCTCTAATAATGAGTGAACTAACCCCATTTCTTAAGTTGTTCAAGATTCTCATTGTGGGACTAGCTGTGAAAATTTTGTATCTTTCCAGCTAACACTCTTTCTTATATCTATCCATACTCATTACTCTTTGATACAAACTCATTTATTCTTTTAAAGAAACAAAACTTTATCAAGAAAAGAAAAAAGAGATACAAGAAAAGACAGACGAGATTTCCAACTAAATAACAGAATTTAGAAACTCTGTTACTGACACCAATTCTGTTATCAAATCATATAATCAGTTAATAATATAATTCATAGTATTTCAAAACAAATACTAGATGCTTAAGTACCTCTTTAGCTTGTTCCATGAGTTCTTGCCCCAGCTTCTTCAACACTAATACAGTCTTTGGTGTGGATTTCCACATTAGCATTTGTTGCTGGGTACTTGGATGAGTGAAGGCCAAGGAGGATTCTGTCACCTTCTCTCGGCTACAAGAGTATCCATCCGTTCGAACTAAAAACATCTCTGCTTTCTTTCTTGACTGCACCCTTACAACACCAGTTGCAGAAGCACACATATTTCCTTCAATTGACCCCAGGTCATCATCACCGGAAACTAAATTGGCTCTACCGTTACTCTTCCTATCCACCTTTACTTCTTTAGGTAAGACACTCTCATCATAATTACTGCTCAGAGTAGTAGATACATTAGCTGTTGTTTGATCCCTTTCACCAAATCCATTCACAACTGGAAGAACGGAACCAGAACTAACACCAGTAAAATGTGTCCCATTGTCAGAAGTAGAGGTCTGGACTTCCGGAGATAGATCTTTTCCATAAGGTGGCCCATGTGAATTTCCTACCTCCACAAGCTCTGGTGCTGAATCAGCACCAAGAATCCCACCTCTCCGCATTGTCTTAATATTCATAACTCTGGAAATTGGTAATGTCTCCAACCTTTTCAACTGATAATTAAAATAAGAGTTAGGTGAGATTTTTTTTCCCCCAAGAAACCCGGAGATTTCTTTTCTTGAAAATACATTACAAGGGGGAACCTGAGCATTCAGGGGGTCAACTTCCCTGCAAAAGTTCACCCTAGGCCCTTCCCCATTTTGATCCGGTTCTACTGATGACATATCTTGGACAGACATAAGGTCATTATATGTCCCATTTAAGCTCTGATTTGTTTCATCCCTATCCGGAGAAACTTCTTTGGGCAATACCCCATTTGAACCATTAATTGTGTCCAGTCCCTCTTGCAGTGACTCATTCTTTTCCAGTTGAAAACTTTTCTCAGAAGTGGAAAGCTCAAGCACTTTCCCTGCCCCATTTGTATCTCGTAGTGCCACATCATTGAGAGCGGTCAACTGCTTGGAGACAAACTGCAAACCATAGCGAGTTGAGTACTGCCTCCATCTGGAGACCATGGCAGAAGTTCTGAGTGCTCCTTCCTTACTATGAAGATAGATAGGCTTTTTGCTGCAATCTGAGACCAAACGTGCAAAGTTCTTAACCTGCTCCATTGAAGGTGCCGTCCCAACTTCAACTGGAATTTTGACCATTTCAACTTTCCCAGATGCAATAGCATCATCCATGGCTGACTGATAAGCATTGTCTTTAATAGTCTCTGCCCTAAGATCAACAATAGTTTTATATCCTTTCTCCAGTAGCCACTTGAGACCTTCTTCTGTTACCTGGCCACCCCTCCAAAAAGCTACTTCTGAATCTACGGAACTACTGTCCTCTTTAGAAGAGGATATGTAAACAGGAGTCCAATTCGCAAAAAGAGTATGGCATGGAAAATCCTCCCCACGGGGAAAACCAGAATCATAACAGACATTCTTCAGTCTCTGAAGTTTCCTCCATACATCCAAGCTTCGATCATCACCAGGTATCAACCAGTTTTCAAGAGCAACATGCAAGCTCTCACAACACCTTTTCATCTCACTCCTGAAAATGGCAAGTGGAGGAAGCGTATCCTCTATTACACTCACATCTGCGAGGCGAAAGGAATTCATAATGGAGGATCTTCCAGAAATCACATCCTCCCTTCCTTTGTTCAACAGGGATATCATGCAACCAATCACAGAGACAATTTTATCCTCCAACAGCGGTTTTTCCTCAGATGGGAAATCATAATAAACACTACATTCACCCGTTACCGGATTGCATAATGTGTCCATTAATGCAGTATGAAGCCGTTCAGCACTTCTAAAGATTCGACAGTAAGCCTCAATTTCTGCAATATCTCCGGGAATAGGGCCAAGCCTAGGTAATTGTGTTGAATCATGAGGCTGAAAGGTCTTCAAGTTCAGTAGCAGTGTCAGTCAATTTATTGAGTTTCCAGTAAAATAAGAGTTTTTCTATTTAAACCCCACACTTTTCTTTGTTCACCTTAATACTTAATCATTTAGCTTTTAAGTTTTACTATTATGTAAAAAGACAAAAAAGTCATCCAACTTAATACTTAATCCTAATACATCTATACACACACCCCACCACTCTTCATATTAAGTTTTAGAAAAACACAAAAACATAAACTCCTCTACACCTTATTTCCAAATTACTTTTTTCTTTCAATCCAAGAAACCTACTACACTCATCTTTTCTTCACAAACCCTAAATACGGTATGCAAATAGTGGCTTGTAGGTCGTCAATTGAGTTTGAAAACAGTGTTTTTATCTCTTTAAGTAATGTGAGATTGAGGTGTGGGTTGTGAGTTGATGAGTTTTTTAATTCTTTTCCTTCTGTTGGGTGTGTATTTAGAGGTAGTTTGGGAAGATAGTGGGGTTCTCTTAGAAATTGTGAAAATTTGAATTAAAAGTTGGGTGAACTTAGAATATGGGATGAACAAAGAGAAGTGCGGGGTTTAAATAGAAAAATTCTAAAATAATTATATGCTTATTTATATGCACAATACCATTAAAAGAAGGTTATATAAGCAGTACGTAAGGTTCACCAAAAGTCACTGTCATCAGAAAAATAATGTTCACCAACAGACATGCATGCTCTCTTCTGTCTGCATAAACTAAGGGAAAGCTAAAACTGAAAGGGAAGAAAATGATTTTTCTCAAATGACAACAAATATTTCTTGCCAATGAACTAAGAATGATACAATAAATTTGGTTTCTGTAGACTGCAAATTCCAAAACCCAATTTTGACAGATTTCACCTAGCACATTGCACCAAAAATTGCTAATAGATGCGCAAGCACTGATGATCAAAACAAATGGCCCAGCAGAGCATCCAGAGAAAGTGTGCAAGCAAAAGGGTTTCTCGCATCCCATCCAAACTTCGAAAAAAAGAATATTGATTCTATACACGAAATCTAACATAATTCTATCAATAAATTATCAAACCAACAGAAAATAATGTGACCATAATAATCAGCCAAACTTTGGTCAGCTCACAAAGCACACTACAAAAAAGGAACCCAAATAAACCCATTTCAGTTTTAGCTCAATCTCAGTCTTGAACCAAAGAAAAGATGATGATCATCAAGTCTCTCCGTCACCAAATCAGTAATTCAACAAACACCACCATTTCAAATGACTGAAGAAAAAATAAAAGAGAGAGAATAAAGACTAGAGTAAGTAGGTGTGACCTGAGAGTCCAAACCGAAGCTGAGAGCAAATGGCTTCGAAAGCTCCGCACCGAGAACGAACTTAAGCCGCCTTTTGAATCGCTCCTTCCTCTGGAACTCGAACCCGAACCCGAATCCGAAGAGGCTGGTGCTGGTGCCCGAGAACTGGCAAGGCTTAAAGGCGCAGAGATGCGAAGGTGACGAAGTACACCGATTCATGTCGACGACGATGGCCAGCTGGCACCTGAGGCAACATGCCACCATATGTATTTTTCACTGCCCTCTCTCCCCCTCTCTCTCTCTCTCTCTCTTTTTTTTCTTTTTTTTTGGTTTGTAAAAGTTGTTTGGATGACGAGAAAATAGAATCTGTTTTGGACAGCAATATGTATGGCCGCAAAATGGCGGGTGGTATGTGCTCTTGATTTTTCTTTTCTTTTTTCACCTATTGAGGAATTTATTTATTTTGATGAACTTATTAATCACTATATTGAGAAATTATCCTTTTTTTCCTCTTCTGGGGCAGTTTGGTGGGGATTGGTTGCGTTTTTGGATGTGCTTTCTTTTGGAGCCTTCTTGGGAGATGGGAAGAATTTATCGAGGAAACGCAATCGTGCCCACATAATAATCATCCGCTATTTAATTTGAATATTATATCAACTACTACTTCAATTTTTTTTTTTTTTTTTTTTTTTTTTTTTTTTTTTTTTTTTTAAAATAAACATAACACTTAAGGTTGCATATGACATTGGACAATCAATTTTCACAATGGAAAATAATTAGTAGCTGTGAAGTATTCTCTCAAATATCTTCTATGCAAAAGCCACTCAATGAAATGATTGTGATTTTGATATTTTTTTGAAACACCTTGTTGTGGGTTTTAATATTAAAAAGGTTTCCAAATTGTCTATTTTTTGTTATTTTTGAATGAAAAATAGACGGTTAGGATTATTGAGCCACAATATGTAATAGACCCCACAAAGAATGTCTCTCTTTTCACCATATTTTTATCATGAGGTGCTGCTTAACAATAACTATCTGTATAGACAGTATATACAACTTGCATGTTACACATCCAGGCAGGCATGCACAATAGATACAGCTTGCTGTCAAAGCCTCATCTTGAAAACTTGCACCACTGCCCGCCAAGAATTGCTACTCCCGCATTTGCTCAAAGTAGCAGACAGGGTTTAATTATAAACTCTCAAACAAGCAACTGGTCTGTTGCCGACGCCGTAGAATGAAAAAAAAAGTCTCGAAAATGAAATTTACCAAGAAGCCTTCACCCATATTCGAGGAGGGGACTGCACAAGTACTTCAAGCCAGGCTACTACGGGTTCGAACTCTGTCTATAAGCATTTGCCGGCCCGACAAATCTTCCTCATAGCCTACAACCTGCATTTTGTAGTTTGAGCACTATCATGAGGATGTAAAATGGGAAGGAATGGGGTTGAGGTACAGATGCTTTCAGAATGTGTTAGAAGCGTATCAGCTTCACTAGAGTTGACAAAATTCTATTCCTCATTTAGTATAGTAATAACACAATTTAGAATATTGATGACTTAGTGAGCATCAGATAAGCATTCATATTTAGACAGAGAAGAACCAACAAATGCAGTTGAGTAAGAGCTGAAACCTGAGACTCGGTCTGTGTTTCACTAAAGCCATCATAAAAGCCAGCTTTTTGTTCTCCAGAAGGATCGTGGATGTCATCTTTTTTCCCAGCCCTAAAAGGAAAATAAGTTCAATATTTGAGTCCAAGAAGAGCAGAAAAAATGCAGAATTATCATCTTTTGAAGCAGGAAAATGTCACCAAGCCTGTATCATAAACCCCTCCCCAGGACCAGCAACAAATTCTTTATTACAGAAGCCCAGTTGCAGATTACTAAAAGGTTAACTAGTATTTTTATGATGCAATTTTTTGTATGAATTTCCCACAACATTGAGTGGCTGGTGTCATAAACGCTGGTCAAAAGGAATCTCCATGAATCATTTATATGCTCAAAGCTTTATATGAGCCCTAGTAGCCCAGAGGGAGAGGGAGGGGCAAAGGGAAAGCTCATAAATTCATAATTCATAAGGCAGGAATGGAAATAGAACTTTCCCTTGGTTCCTGTATTTAACAATCAAACATGTCACCTGTTTAACCAGTGTCTCGATAATCCAATGACGGAGTGAGAATCAGAGTGGTCTTGACGAAGAGCCGAACAATCCGGCGAAAAAATCTGTTCAGCCATCAAGGAATGTAACTAATGCAAAAGGTTGGTAGTATAAAATAGAACTTATAGTGTCTGAGGGTAAAAGGATACACTGCTATCACACAAACTCCTCCCTGGTGACTTCTGATCATGAATCTAAAAAGGGAAAAACAGATATAAATGAAAAAACCGGTAAACTTGAAAGGCAACATGAAAATGAAAGATCTGTGACATTTTTACCTTACTTGTCTGCTCCAACAAGTCCTCAATAGCAGAAGCTACATCAGGAACCACTTGAGAAACTTCACCAGAACTTTTTACTTTTCTGTCTCCAGTGGTACAGGCAGGAATACGTAAATGTACCCCAGATGAAAGTAGACCCTTTTCGCCATCATCTTCTGAAACCCTTGCCTTCTTATTGCAAAAACTTGGTTCGCTGGCCTCTTCCCTGGGGCTGTCATTTCTACTGCCAATGTTTTCTCCTGATGAGGTTCTCAGGTCTTGTGATTGACTTGGACACTCAGATGAATTGCCTGCAGATATCATTTGAACAGCTTGTGTAGGATACTGACTCATAGTACACAGCCCTGCCTCTCGATCTTCAGCAGTGACTTTTTTTGGATAAAATTGGTCAAGAGCAACGACTTTATTCTGCCAGACATTGAAGAGTTAAGGTAACGATTTGATATCTTAACAGTAAATGGTCCAAATAAATTCCCACATGCACATGTGTACATAATCATTTACTCAAGACAATATCAAAGACGTACCTTCTTCACACACTCATATACCCACTCAGCTGTAATTGGGTGTATCCCCTTTATACAAGCAGCCTGATACTTTGGTCCATTGGTAAACTTGCATAGTAAATGGGTAACCTTCTTTGTCAGCTTTTCCCCAAATTTAGCTCCAAGTACAAAACACAAATTTCTTAGTAACAGTCTGTCTTTCTCTTCATATTGCGAAACACAAAACCGAAAATTTTCAAATCCAGGCAAAGGAATCCGGCAGGGAAGTGGAGCATATAAAATGTGACTACTAACATCCAGCAAGCACCCGTCCTTCAAAATTGTTTTGATCTCATCAGCATTTGCAAGGAGCAGAGTACATATTTTATTTCACTAAGTCAAGAAATAATCAAATGATGGCATACTGATATAAAATGGTACAGAAAGTGGAGTAAAACAAGGAAGACCAAAGATGGGTCCAAAATAAAATGCATATAATTTTTGTTTTTATGATGTGTGCATATATGTACTCAATTTCCAGTCATCTCACTGCATGTGGAAGAATAGTGTTTCATACAATTTCCCAACATATGATCCTGCAACCATAAAGAAAAAACAAAGTAGTCGACACTGAACAAGAAAATGCATTTATGAATTACACAATATACCTCCAAACAAGACCGGATCCAGTGACTTGATACGTATGTAGTTTGAGCAACATCCACAGAACTAGTTATCACACCATGACACTCAATAGTGAAGTGCACTTTCTGTTTTAAATGACCATCAACTACATCTCCTCCTCCTTGATTTACCCATTGAATGATATCACCTCTCTGGCAGTTGAAATCCAAATATTACACACACACCCAAAAAAAACATAATTGGAAATAATGATGATTGTGCTAGTAAAGTCTGCATTTAAAGAAATTACCCTATCTTCGGGAAAGGAATTCGAAAAGCAAAATAATCTCCCCTTAAAGACAGATGATTCCTTGCCATTTTGAACACTTGAATCATATTGCATCATCAGGCGACCGTCAATTGTATTGTTTAACTGAACCTTACTTTTGCCATTTATGACAGGTAGTTTACTCCATTTGGATGGTCCAACAGCTGCTTCCATGGATTTGTCACCTTTCATGTTAATTTCTGGTTTCTTTTCTCTCTTTTTCTCCAACGATCCCATTCCAGGTGCAGCACTCATATTCCCATGTAACTGATCAGAAGGTATGCTTAGATGAGTGGTAGAGATTGTACCTTGAATCGTGCTAGTCATACCTATCAGTGCTCCTGGTGAAAAAGAAAGGATCAAAGTCAATTAGGATGTCTGCTTGGGAAGAAGATAAACAGAAACAACTTACAAATCTGAAAAGATATGATGACAGCTAAAAGCTACAATTCCAATACAATGGCACAGAGTTTATATATGCTCAGCTTGAACAAATTCAACTAATTAAGAACCTTCAGGCAGAACTAGATCATAGGCAATGTGCTTTGGGAGAACAGGGATCTCCTTTTTCTCACGATCACAGTCTTCAAGCCAGGTAGTTCTAACAACATGAATTACGCCTAAAGCAGCAAAACCCCTCACTTCTTTCTTTTGGCTGGGAAATTATAAAAGCATGTCAGAGATCAAAACAACAAAGCAATAATTATGTCTTTACCACCCTCGAAAAAGGACTTACATTTCTGAAGGAGTTCCAACTACTATGTGTGTTAACTTATCATTGAATGACATGTATCGGGAACCCCCACCTCTGCGAATCATATTAACCAACCTACGCATTTCAGAAGCCTTAAAGCCAACAAGAGATATTCTACATTCTGACAAGTACAGGTCATTGTCTTCAGACTGAGAATCATCAGCAACGCAACCATCAAGGTAAGTTTCACTTTTGGACTCCAAGGGAGGTGCTTTACTATCCTCATTTTTCACAACATGAGGAGCATGAGAAAACATAGTGGTCATGTTTTGTGAGACAGTAGCTTCTAAATCAGAATCCATGGTCCCAGAACAAGGAGCAGCTGTCAAATTCGAATCTGCAACCACCGATGGTGGCACAGATTGCAAGTTCCCACTACTGCTCCTTTGGCTATTCTGCAAAGTAAAGCAACCCCTTACACTTTTATTTGAAGATATAGAACCACCTTGAACAGGATAGGAGTCCTCATTAAGACAAGCTATTCATCCAAAAAAAGGGGGGGAGACAGTGAGAGAGATGATTCCAAGGTCAGACATATAGCCGAAAATCCTTGACAAGAGATGGAAAAAAAATATAAAGTGAAATTCTATAAATTCAAAGATGACCATCAGCTATAGCAAAGCCTTACCTCTTCTAGAAATAGATTGATCAAACCATTTCCGAGTTACAATACGAATGTGGCCCCATCTTTGTGCAACCTTGTATTTGTCACCTTCTGGAACTTAGAAACAGTCAAGAATACCAATGCATATAGACCTTCAATAACACATCAATCTTGAAATTCAAATTGATGCAGGCTTAAAAGGAAAGATATTCATCAATGGATTGCAATAATAAGGGCACACACATATATAACTGACCACTGACCAGAACCGAAACATCAAAAAGGAACAGCCAAAAAAAACTGTTCATGCAACCGTATTTTCCACATCAAGGGAGTGAAAGCAGAAGCAGCAATGCATCAAGATTTGTTATATTCAACACTTTTGAACCCACCCAGTTAAAGAAGTATGCCAAAAAAATCTTTATAATAGGCTTATTCATAAGGTAAATTAATTTAGAAGGCAAACTTTAGGAATGCGTGGATGATGTTGCTCAAAAACTTCATTTTACAGAAATCTCACACATAAATAGGAAAGAACTGAACGCAGAAATGAGACAAGGTCTCTGTACACTCTTAGAAGTCAAAGGTAGAGTCGGTGTGATCATTCAGGAAAGTTTGCAGCTATGATGAGCAAAGTCTAGATTTATAGGAGAGTGAATATATGATCTTATACCGCACACAAAACATAAATATTTCAAGGTTTGCTTCATTAAGTTGAAGTCTGCTTGTGTTATGCAGGTCTGACATAGAAAAGTACACATATGATTCCAATTCCTTGCTTATCTTAAGAATCATAAAAGGATATATCAGAAATTAAATGTGTGCACTTCTTTGTAAGTTCAGCAGAATACTTTCCACCATTTTCTGTGATAAGCTTTTCAATCTCCTTTCGCTCATCTGAAAGAGACAAGCACATTTAGTCACGTATTTAAGATAAATAAAATAAAACCTTCTTACACCGGACCAATAGATAGCTAACTTCAGAACCTGCTGGAATTCTGGTTACAGAGATCATCAAACCAGAAAAAGGAAGAACCCTAAAGGAGTCTTGAGGAACATTACGATGCTCATTCCAGCACTGAGATAACCAATTAATAGTGACAATTGGCTTCTTTAATGTATTCAAGGCCCACTGCATAAAAAGAACTAATTCAGTAACTATATCTCAAAAACATAAGAAATCTGCCATAACCAACCTTTCCAAAAATTACCTTCCCAGGTATAGTCTGAGATCATCACACAAATATGCAAATTCCTCATTTTCATAAGAAATGCTAACTCTCAAGTGATTGCAAGAGAACTCACCATCATTGAGTTCCAGTTAGAAGTGATTCAGTAACAACAAGAGTCAAATTATATAACATTGTATAGTGCGACATGGTAAATGAGTTTTAAAGTTTTTTATTAGCTAAAATGTACCAAAATATCAAAATCCAACATGACTGACATAGAAATAAATCATAAGGCATTGAATTTTGAAAAGAGAGAGAAATTAAAGTAACTAGCCTTGTATTTTCCAGCCAAGACATTTTTCACAATAACAAAGTTAACATCCAAAGATGCTTTAGCATGCAAAACTCCCCCCATTGCTGTTACTAACTTCTCTATCTTAACCTGCAACACAATAATAAGCATTAAAATATCAATAATGAGAGAGAGAACGAGAGAGAGATCAGTCACTACAAATAACCAGAAGATTTTCTAGTAAAATTGTTCATGCTGAGTACAAAATAAATAGGACTGAAGATCAACAATATAGAACATAAGAATGCATATTTTAAAATAGTAACAACAGAAGAAAATTCAGAAAGGTAAGATGGATAACAAACTTTATCAAATGGAACTAGCAAACACAGATGATTTTAATGTTGGACTTGGAAACTACAATTGCTGATGTACCTCAATCAAGAAATTTTCAAATAAGAAATCTAGATACATAACATACAGTTAGAGTTTATCAAAGCCAGACTATCACCGATGGAAGTACAATACCTTTTCGTCTCCCTCAAAACCAGAGGCAAGTACTTTGAAACCATCCATTGCAAGGCAACAAGTAAACCCTTGTTTAGGCAGAGCCCTGTGCTGGTTTGCACAAGAAAACACGCATTGAGGGCCTGCCCAACATCAGAAACACGTATCCAAGTGAGCAACACTTCACAAGGAAGAAATTGAATTAAAAATTCCAGTGGTCGACCATTCATACCATCAACATCATAACTTCTTAAGTGAGTAAGTTCAAATGGTTCGTGATTTAACTGATACCCTATTGAGCTTCGACTTAATTGTTCACTTGGGCAGGACAATACCAACTACAGGCTGCTAAACTACAAAATTGTATTACAAGCAACTGTGGACGGAATGGAGCCTTTGGTTCATTAGGATAAAAACATGGAAACACATCATGATATTTGCCCTCTATATCGCTTTTAATGATCCTTTTAATTACTCATAATCATTATGTTATCAAGCAAATTACCAAAACCCAATTTGCCACTTCACTACAAACAACAACAAAATTATGGAACCCTAGTTCCTTTCTCTCTCTTTTTTGTCGAAAACCCTAGGTCCTGTTTAACAGAACTGAAAAGCTAACACAGAATTTCCGAAGCACAACAAACTCAATAAAATCAGCAAAATTCGGGAGAAACATACCGAGCAAATTACAGCCCTTGGCTCTAAGATCCTCAAACTTTTCCTGAAAACAAATATATAAAAAATCAGAACCTAGAAATGAAAAACGAAGCGAAATATGAAACAAAAATTTCAGGTGCGGGAGTTGAGACGAGACGTGATCGGAGGAAGCGATGACGTGGTAGTCGTCCGGCCCGGTTCGCGAGGGGTCGCAACAGAGGAAGACATTCGCTCCATTGAGCTTGAGAGCATCGTGAAGCGCGTCGAAGATCTCGGGCGGGACCAGGTTCCGCGACATGAAGACATTGGCTCCCTTAAACGTCGTCGTCTTCAGCATCTTGGGCGACGCCGGAGACGTTGAAAATTTTATATGGAATTTCAGAGAGAGTGAGAGAATTGAGTAAAATCAGTGAATTTAGGTTTTGAGTTTTGAGAGCCTCTGAATTGGGGAGGGAAAGAGCAGAAGAGGGAAAAGGAAAATAAAAAGGCGGGAAGGGTTTAATGCAGCCGTTGCCGTTGGATGATTGCTAGATACTCACGCAACGTCGTCGTTTTGCTGTACGGCTCAGAGCATCTTCAAGGAAGATGTCAAATATCAGACATCAAATTTAAATTTGATGGCTGATGTGGCAATTTGACATTTACACAATTTTACACTTCACTCGATATGTCAAATAAATAATTATTGTAACAGTCAAATCATTTAAGATAAAGAAAAAATAATAATAATAAATATAATAATAAATGAAAGTAACAGCCAGCTATCTTTTAAAAATAATAAAATATTCATTTGACATCTTGCTTTTGGGATGTCAAAAATAACATCTCAACCTCCAGCCTTCATTCCACATCAGCTTTGACATATCGGTTGGAGTGATGTGAGATGTTATTTTTAGCTATTAAATGTCTATATGGCATGTTTGACACATCGGTTGGAGATGCTCTTACAATCTACAGCTTCTTCTTTTTTCTTAGTACAGTAGTGGCCCTAAAGGCCTAAGGTCCAAAGAACACAGGCCTAAACGGGTACGGGTTTGGGCCTAACAACCCAACCCAAATCATCCATCAGTAACCTACAATCAAGCTCTCACAAGAACCACTCTCTGTTTTCAGATGAAAATTTTAATTAAGGAAAAAATGAAATGTCAACAATAATTCTATCAAAACAAGGTAAAGCCTTCATATAACTCAAACGGAACTGGATATTAGAAATTTCAAAATGAGCATATTTCCACCATCAAGGGATGAATTCATAAATTCATTCACTAGCTAGTACTAGCAACAGAAGAAGAATCCCAGCAAAAGTTTAATAACATTGTCTGAAAATAAAATAAAATATAAACATCAATGACGAAAACACATGCTTGGTCACATTGTTCAAAATCAGGAAACATCAACAAAACCAGCAAAAGTTTAATCCCTAGTTGCTTCAAGACCAAAAATTCTCCAAGTTCCAATCCATGATGCTCCACAAATTCTTTCCAACCACCACCTTCGAAGTAAAGCAATCCATATGCTTACGAACTTTAACAGGCCAATATCCCTGACAGCTTTTCAGAAGTGCTTTATTCTTTTCATGGAGACTTCTAGAAAACACTACTGGAATTGACTGTTGCAAAACAAAATAACAATAATTAGGCCAAATTTCCTAATCTTTAATTTGACATGAAAGCTTAAACAATTGACATTTCTGTTAATATGGATGGATAAACAGTTAGATTTATCAGAATTCCAAATGCAACTATCAAATGCAGAACTACAGAAAACATTATGCAAATTCTACTGCATCTGCACTCTATAGTCACATACAAACTGATATGGCATAAAAGAGGATTGTATACCTATTATACTGATCCACTAAAACTGAAGATGAATTCATAGTTGAACTCAACAATATATTTTCAATCAAAACATTAAAATCTCTGTCAAAACAACCAGAACACAATTTATTTAAGCATTATGTTAAGCTGCAAATCAATTCATACGTAAGAAATCAGAAACTGTGAAATCAGTAGTAGCATTATTGATAACTCAACATGAGAAGACACATTTAATGGAACAGCTGCAAATTAACCTTTTACTCCCACTGGTTGATTGAATCAAAAGTCTTGTAGATGCCCATTCGAGATACCAATCTTTTGAACACTTGCACTGGCAAAAATTTTTGTTGGAGATTGATTGTGTGCCAATATTTTCAATATCAATACTGTCTGCGTAGCATTAGTAACTATAGTAGTTTGATTTGCACTTTTCCGAATTCAATGTGCCAAACATATGTTTGAAACCAAAAACATATTAACATATTAACAACTGCATGCATCTTTATTCGACTGCAAAACTTAAACACCAATTTAATTTCCTAGACAAATATCCATACTTTGTAAAACAAGATCAGTAGCTAAGAAACTAAATAGCCTGCCATCAAAACAAATTATTGAAATTTTATTGGAAACAAAAGTGAGAAGCATAAAAATATAATAAGGCCATGAGTGTAAAGCCCAAAATTTATTTCTTACATCACTTCCCCCACTTGGGCAAACACTCGCTACTTTGCTGCTTCAAAAGAGAGCACCAAAATATTTAGGCTGGTTAAATAACTTGAAAACATAATAGCTGGTAAACACTTTGATAAGGTGATATAAAACAATTTTTCAGATAACTACTGATGTAGTTCATAGTAAAAACCATAGGTGCACAACAAAAAACAACAACAAAACTACCAAAGAAAGTTTCCAGCAATGACGTCTACTTACTTGAAAAATTATCGTAATTAATTTATAAGTCTGATTAACACAACTTTACATAGAATCAAACTAGGGACACTAATCTTTATAAAACAAAAATGTGGAGTCATTTTATCTCCAATTAATAGTCCAAAATGGCCTCCAAGGGTACTCTTAAAATCTGCCAGCACATACTTTCTCCTGAACATAGATTACTTAAAAATACACAATAAATAAAATTATTATCCAATCATCACGAAAATTTTCAGTATATAAGAAGACATGTATATGTTCACCATATCAAAAATTCAAGTCATTTCATGATTTGTAGATGAGTTGTTCATCAATATTGAATCATAACACAAAATCTGTCAGGAAAATTTCTTTTCAACTGTCTCAACTTTATAAATTTCCATAAATTCAATTATTAACATGTTCTCATGAAATCAGTGCCTAAAGAAACATGAGAAAGTCTACTTTATCACCTAATTTTATCATGAATTAATTCGAATTACGACATTATCCAAATAGACATCATAGTAGAATAGTTCAAAACTGAAGAAGTGAACGATAAAAATTAATGAATACTAACATGTGCCTACAATCTAATCTTAGGCTGAAGATAATATAGTCCAAATAAGCGCTGCTTATATGATTATTCTTCTCCTTAGAGCATTAAGTTGAAAATTAGAACCAATATATACAGTGTCTTAGAAATCCTAGTTAAAATTCATGCAAAATAAACATTAGGTGCCAGAATTGAAGGTTTTAAAGTATAACTATTTGAATTTCTAAAACACTGATCCAGAAATTATTAAATAAAAAGAAATGTATATGCATTACTCTTCCCTAATTTCAACTTTATTTCACTATCATGTGAGATCAAGGACAAGATGAAGAGTTGGACCAAAACAAGGAGTTCAAAGGAATGTGTACCATAAACATGATGCACATAATCTCTGCAGTGGAAAAGGCAGCAGTACAATCATATGACCAGGGAGATGTTTCTTGATAACAAAATCAAGTTTTAGGGTTTTATTTATTTAATATTTATTATCCTATAATAAATAATTTACCAAGACAGCAAGATGATCTAATTGTCTGATGTCAAAAGCATAGAACACACACAAGTGCATACATAATTGCACGATCATTGCATAAAACAGAATATCAAAAACAACACCCACACCTTTAGGCAGAAAGCAACATCAAAGACATTGAATCCTTTTACTGTAATACATTAACGATGAGTTGGACCGGATAAAGGTAAATTTCTTTTGAGAAATTAATTCATCTATCAATAACTTAACGTTATAATTTTTGGCTTATGAAACTTAGTAAGTTAAATCACTTTGATGAGAAACTAACAACCTCCATTCAAATTTAGCCAAATTATCAAGATTATAAAAAGATGTATGGTTAAAATTAAGAGTTTGTTGTATCTGCTGTATCTGAAGGCCCATTAAGAACCTCTGAATGTCACACCCACCCCTGTATGCATTGCTTTGGTCCTACTTTATGGTTCTTACAAACCTCTGAATGTCCCATTAAGAAACCCTTATGCTAAGTTAAAGAACTAAGCAGTTTTATTTCCTTACGGTCATTTGCAAGTAGTGACACCTCATAACAAAACAACACCACCAAATAAATCATAGAGGCTGAAAACAAGAGCTCAATATTTATAATCTGAATTCTGAAATTTAGAACAACAATGCAGTGAACAATATCATTACTGATTCAAACATGTCAGAAAAACAAAATTCATGGAAGTGATACCGGAAACTGCAGAGTCTGGAGACGGAGAAGTATGATTCACATATATTTACGAGTTTGCTTAATAGGTTTTGACATTCTCCTACTTGAGTATCAAATGAATACAATACAACGTGACAATGAATAGAACTAAAATAACAGCGATCACTGAGTCCAACTTAAACTAGGATGAGCTCCTTGTAACAACTGTCAAAACTGGTCCAAATGCAGAACTACAGAAAACATGTTGCAGACAAAATGATATGGCACAAAAGAGGATTTTATACCTATTAACTGATCTAGTAAATTGAAGACGAATTCATAGTTGAACTCAACAATATATTTTCAATCAAAACATTAACTTTATAAACTTTCTGGGAGGTGGAGTTAACCCAGCCATGAACCCTAAATGACCAAATGAGTGAAGAAACGGAATGGAAACGAAAATATGAGTGGATTTTCTTTGTATTCAGTTCAGACCCAAAAAAAAGAAAAGAAAAAAAAAGAAAAAGAGGAGCTTTAGCATTTAGGGTTTTGTTACCTTACCAGCTGAGGCTGAGGTTATAAATATATAAGGGTGAAAGGGCTAATAGCAGTGCTCCAACGCAGCACTGGGTTGCAGAGAATTGGTGGCGATGCCATTGATGGCATTGGCTGTACGGTGAGTTCGGACTGTTCAGAGACAACGCGGGAAGCGCTTGCGTCTTTCTCTGCTCTGCTGCGTCTCTGTGTCTAACGGATATAATAATAATAAATATATGATGGGCTGAACCAGAGAAATTGGGCCTGATTTCGATGAGAAAAGGCCCTCCCTCCCTTTCTTAATTAATTTCATATTTTTATTAATTTATATAATTTATCTTCGTCTGTTTTGCTCATGTCACTTTTTCTTTTTTATTTGATAGTCTTTTCAAGAAAGCTATAGGTTTTTTCTGAAGAGTGAATTAGTACTTGTCAGCATAGGTATTAAATCTTTTGTCTTTGTAATTTGACTTGTTCTTCACTTCAGTTTATCTCGTTTCAATTTGGGCAATTTTAGTCGTTTCAATTTGAGCTATTTTAGTTTCGTATTTTAGTTTGGCTTGCAATCAAACTAAGTTTTGTGGGATTTAATTACTAAAACAAAACTAAATGACAACAATTACCAAAATTGAAATGCCGAGAACCTAAGTGAAAATGAGAAACTTCCAAGACCAAAAATAAAAGTCTCTAGCCTATGGGGTTACATAGTTATGTAAACGCAAGTTTAAATAGTGATCTTCTTTTAAATAGTGATTCATCAGGAAAAAAATATCCTAAAACTATGTTTCCTGTTCAGATTATATAAAATCAACCTGAACACGAGAAAGAGACAATGCAGCAAAATTAACCAAAAAACGTAAATCCAGATTAGAGTTAATTAATAGTCTCTACCAATTTGGTATGATATGACCTGAACACGACACAATTCGATTATCAAATTGCCAATGCAACTAGGCGAGGTGAGCAGAGGGGGAAAGAATACATTGCACAAGAAAATTACAGCTTTTTGCTATCTATTTAAAGTTAAATCTCTGATCCATAGGGCACCACGCAGTAACATTGGTTGATAATTACAAAAATGGCAACGATCAGTAGGTCAGAATGAATGAAGCCCAACCAAAGAAGAAATAACCCAAAAAAACAGAAGAAAAAAAAAAGACTTCGTTACACAACAACTCTAATGTTGTAAAACTTTCTAATTACGCTATATTTATGTCAGCTAGACTGCTCCACACTTGGAAGGACTGTCGACTGGAGGTTTGATTTATGGGGCAGACCAGCAGCCTGCTTTAAGGACTTGTGCCTTTCCTCCCCCTGTTGGGAAGGTAATTTCTCCGGCCGGATACGAGTTTCATCCAACTCCTGTTCTGGCTTCCTCTTCACCTTCTTCTTTGTCAATGCACCATCACCTACCCTCGCATCGTCTGGGGAATTGCTTGAACTTCCCTTCAGTTTCTCTTGTTTAAGCCTGTCGAAGCTGGGACCATTTATTGGACTGGGTGTCCGCACAGCTGCTGCTGTACCAGATACCACCTTGTTTGTCAGACTATGACTGCTAGGTTCAGTTGCCAATCTCTCTCGCATATATTGTTGCTGGGCAATTGAACTCGCCTCAACTCGAACAGTCTCCTCTGTTCTTGGTGCCAACATCTTTTTCCTCCTCATTTTCTCCTGATCCTGTAGAAAAAATTCAACAAAGAAATTGTCCAGATATAAATCAACATAAAGAACTACTACAACCTTCAAATTTATATCAGATCATGCATGGAATTGAAACCCGTATGTTTACATAGAGCATAACCCAGCAGACTGACATGTTAGTTCAACACTGGCTCATCAAATATCCAGACCATAAAATGGTTATATGATCAACTTCATCCCATACAAGTTGGGTAACTTCAATGTCCACAACAATCATTAAAATCACTATGTTTTTGGGTTGAAGGAGTTCGCAACTTTACATACTTTATTTCGGCCGTATCGCTCCCTCCGTCTTTCTTTTGACCGACAAATTGCACGTTTGATCCCATGGTTGTCCATGAAACCATTTGGCCACAATCCTGCTAGCTGAATCATATGAAGACTACATAAGTCAGGAAAGTTCATACATTTAGGTGATTACGAAAGCTTCTAAAAGAACACTTTCAGAGATGTACCATTACTGGTTGAAAGTTGCTATGTTGAATTCAGATATTACACCTTCTCTTTGTGAAAGAAAATATTACAGTTGTTCAAAACAATGAATTCGCAAACAAACAAAAAAAGTACGGAGAAGAGGGGGGCCAGAGAGAGAAAGAGAATAGGCACTCGTAGTTCAAATTCAAGCATTTAAGTGAAACGACTAAAAATTGAACTGCAAAACCCCAGTACAGCAGTAAGAAGCATCAAATCCTAGATCTACTGCTTTCATGTTACATTGCAGTTTGTACAGAAACTTCAAACAGAACATGTTGGAAGCTACAAGAGAGCCCAGGCAACACAAACCATAAAACAGGGGGAAAACAGCGAAAAAGGTGAAGTACCTCAGCATAGAGCTTTCTTATTTGGGGACCTGCATCTTCATCCAGCCCCTATAACCAAGAAATAAAGACCAGGGAATCAGACAACAATAAAGGAAGTTATCTGCAAAATAAAGGAACAAAATTTTCAATGACGGAATTTGCAAGCTTGAGTCAGTACATCAACAAAAAGGTCATAGAGGTCACAAATCTTATCCTCCAGTGCAGCATCCATGCTAAATTTTCTTTTAGAAAGTTCTTTGGCTCCAGAGGAAATTTCTTGAAAATCATCTGATGCTCCAGATTGTTGTTGCAATGCCTGAAAACATATTATGCACTTTGCATTAGAGCCACATACAAAGGTTATTCTTATTACTCTTTCCATTATGACATGGTGCAAGCATCACGTGGGGGAAATGGAAAAATAAAATAAATGGTTCAGAATCTTCTCGCAATGGAACAAATATGAAATATCTTCCACAGAAGGCAGTACTTAAAACATGAGTTACTGAAAAAACCACTATTCCATTTGCAGCAAAGATAGGGAAGTAACAATGACGAAAGGATGGTTAAAAAGATATAAAATAAAATAAATAAATAATCAAATCGAGAGAAAGTAATGTAAGACGACTTGGTCAAAAGTGACAAAGACAAGCGAACAACCAGCAATGGAAAGAAAGCTGGGGAAACCAGGTCAACATAAGGAATGTAAAGAAAGAGGCCCTGTCTCATGAACTGGCATAAGCAAATGCCCCATCAAAACAAAAGATGGTGGTCAAGAGCAACAAAATTGTTGACAGAAATATCAAGAGAAAGCAAGCAGGATGATCCATGAGAACAAGGGGAATACTAATTGAACAGATGTAGCATACCGAAAGGCATAATGACCACTGATTTAGTAGGGAAAATGACAAAAAGGATGCCAAATCATGACTTCGTATTATCTGGATACCAATATCTTTTTAACAAGGGTAAACTGCCAAATACCCCCCTGAACTATCATGCTTGTCAAAATATCCACCCTGAATTATTTTTTCAGCCAATGTAGCCCTCAGACTATTTTCAACGGTCAATTTAGCACCTTCGTCAAGTTTTTAGACTTCCATCCAATTTTCTGTTAATTATAAGGGTTCAAAGTAGGCGTTGTCTTCTTCCCCAAGTGCACAACGCCTTCTCTGCAACCATATTCTGATATCCTGGTGCACCCGCCCCAGATTCAACAGCATCAGCCAATTCAATCTGAAGAATTTCGTCCCAGCCCTGAACCATTGTCCACTGCACCTCCAACCAAACCCAGAATGCGTTGGTTCTTTATTTACATGGGTATGAGAAGTGACAGCTTCTTTTGTCATTGGCTAATAACTAACAAACAGGAGCTACTCCTAAGGGTATTCACTCGAAAACCCTTGTGGATGTGGGATTGCAGACAGAGAGTCTTGGGAGGAAGGGGCTGGGGAAGATGTTGATTGCCTTCCCCTTTCTTTTTTCAGTTTTGTAGTTTTAACCATTTAATTATTTTAAACTTAAAAAAATTAAATTTTAATTGAACAGTGAGTCACGTGCCTAACATGTGACATTTAGACAGAAAATTGGATGAAATTGCATGAAAACTAACGGTAGGGGCTAAATTGACCATTTAAAATAAAGGTGGAGATTTCAACAGTCGATAAAGTTCAAAGGGGTATTCGGCAGTTTACCCTATTAACAATGATGATAGTCAATATGATTATCCCAGTTTTGTAAATCACTTACCCAACAAAAAAGACATAGCACTTAAAACACCACACCTCAGTAAGGCCCTGCTACACATACCTTGGACTCCGAAGATGGGGCCTTTATCTTAATCATATCTATAACTTCCCTCTTTATCTGTTGAAACCTGTCATCTTTCTCCTTTTTTGCTGAAAGACCCATACTAATCATGACCTTCAAGTTTCTCTACAGGAAAAACACATTGCACAACCATAAATAGCCTAGCAATTTTTTTCATAAACAAGAAGTCTACATACTTAACAGCCCAGAGAAATAACAACCCTCTAGAGCAGCGTTACTGTGTTATATGTCATATCTTATTCATGATAACAACTGCATTTATTCATCCATAGTTAACATAAAAACATCATTTACATAAAAGGATACCACTTACCGGTTATTAAAAAATTATTCATGTCAAAGTAAAGAGCCAGTAATTACAGTAAATTGCCGTTTAACTCATAACCCAAACAAAATATACCAACGGTAAGACTGTAATACAATCCGAGTATTGTATAAAAAGTAATTTAACAAACCACATAAATTACCCAAAAGCTTTCCTCAACTGATACAAGAGCCAGTGCTCAAAGATAAAGTGTGAGAAAAAGTATGAAGGGTTCATATATTTGTCGAATTGCAGCATTTTTTGCCGCTAAGTTCCAGAACAATAAGCAAGCATAATTTTGAGTTTAGGTCCTGCACCTTATATATAGTTCACAATTTAAAGCAGGTGTAGAAAGGCTAAAGCTTTTCTTCAAAATGAATTGTGATACCTTTAATGTTCTGAGTTGTATTAAGTGACCAAGGATATTCATAAGCCGGTTGAGTAACTCTTTCGTTATTTTCCCATGGCTAGCCTGCTGCAACAAAAAGAGCATTTATATTTAAACTTATTACAGGTTTCAAGTTGAGATGTGAATATGCATTCAAGTTTGTGAATACGATGATTTAAATAAACCACAACACCAAGAGTTAAACAGTTACAATCAAAATGGCTTTTCAGAATACCGCTAGTCTAGCAACTTTAGCAAGTTTCGCCTTTATTTCTCTAGGCAATCTCCTTTTAATTGCTTGGGATAAATTATCTGCGTCTTGATTATCTGCAGCAGGTGGCCTAGCTGTAATTGTACACAGAAGACAGATTATTTGCAAGGAGCTTCCTCAAATCATCATCTACAAAGCATGGAGAGGGAACTGGAACAAACCCAAAATATCATTTAAAACAAAAGAAGAAGACAAAATTCAAAGGATGAAAATAACTTACATTCTGCAACCATCTTCTCTAAATCCGTAATAGCCTTTTCAAGCATTGAACTTTTTGACCTTACACTAGAACTATCCCTTTTGTGCCCATGTGAAGGTTTCTGCAAAATGTTAATGTTCAAAATCAAAACTACCATCATTGAGAAGAAAAAAAGTAAGTTAGCAAAATATGCAGATGCTGATCCACTGGTGACAAAGAGAACCTTAAGGACAACCTCAATCTAATACCCTTGAATAAAAAAGACTATAAATGTTCAACATCTGAATACCTGTAATTTTAAACACCTGTATTTACAGACCCTGGATTCAGGATATATGGATCACAATGAAGCCTTGAATGCAAGCTTGAAGCAAACATGATGCTAGTGCAAGCAATTTACTACCAAACACATATCCACCTCTTCCAAATAAACTAAAAACGCAAAACCCATGCCTCACGTGCCTCACTATATTTTTCGTTTTATCTTGAGATATAAATGGAAATCATGATTAGGATCTTGTTCTTGCCCTTTTAAAGAAACGTGACCTATAAAAAAAGATATCTTTTATGTGCAATACCTTCATGGTTAAGGTCTATCAATTGTGAGGAAAAAGGATTCTGCCATTATTTTTCATCTTTTTTATTTCCTCTTCTCCTTTTATTTCCACAGTCAAAGCAGTCTCTCTTGCACACATCTTGTGTATTTGGGGTGCCCCTTACAAACTGTTTAACATTTTTTTGAAAAATAAAATTAAACAAAAATGAGAGGATACATGATTGGAAGCAAACTCAAATCTTACTGAATGATTAGAGAATAAAGCAGCAAGCAACCCATGTCAACCCTCTCTAGAAATTTAGCAATTGGCAAAAGGCAATAACTGAAATGAACCTTTTTGCTACTTGACCTAATGGAAAATATCACTTCCATCAATATGCACTTCAAAGGATATCGATAGCAAAACTTACTGCAATTTCTTTTATCTCCTCTTTAGATTTCTACTAGTGTACTCATCTTACACCCCTTGACATATTTCTAGCGCATTTTATTATGTATCTAATAACAATAACAATAAAATGATCAATATATAATATTACTCACTGTTGTTGGAACAGCATACTTTCCGTCAGTGAGATTAAGGTCTGGAATTTCACAAACCCCATTTTTCTCTCTGGCTCGAACTGTTTCCATCTCATCAGCATTGCTACATGGTCTCCCAGATTGGGGTTTAGTTTGCGCATAAGCACTTTTCTCATGGTATTTCTGATATGAACCATCAGAGGATCCACCTGCATCTTTAAATCTGTTACTTGGGTCCTTTGACAACAGGACTCCTGTCTTCTGCTTATCCATATCCTTCACCTCCGCTTGCAGTGCGGCAGCATCTCCCTCAGAAACTTTCAGAAGAGAAGGATCCAGAATTGTTTTGGAATCAGTAGACTTCTTTGTGGACGAAAGTCCACAAACATTCAACTGGTTCTGAAATTTCACATCTTCACAGTGTTCAGTGGGTACAGTGACGGTTTGAATGGGAGCAGATGAGTTCTTCACAAGTGTCGATGTAATCTTTGCTGCTGCTGTCTTACCAACTTTTGCGTGTTTATTTGGCACATGACTATCATCATTTTCACCAGGACCCTTTGCCTCTTTTCTTCGCCTTTTCTTTGGTTGTTGGTTAGGTAATGCAGCAGGTACGCTACTAAGGATGAAAAATTCAATAAATGAAGAAAATGTCAAAATTTAACTAATAAAACACCACAATGTCGAAAACCTAAGTATGAAACTGAAATTGATTTCAATCATTAGGCAAACTCAGTTCCTCCATTGATGTATTACGTAGCAAACACCAAGCAAATCTTCTCATGTTCAAATTATTTAAACACAAGCAAATGGGTCAAACAGAAACGGCTGATACCACTGATCAACCAGGAAAAGAGACAGAGAAAATTCTAGAGTTTGAAAAAAATCTATGCCTTCAAATCCCTACTGAAACACACAACATGCAGTCCATATAAAATTCCACACATATCTATAGCCAGTAATCACAAGTAGATCAAGGAAGAGAACATTTGACATTCCATCTGTTCTGTCAAATAACACCTATGGTTTTATTTTACCATCACTTTTATGTACTCAAAAGATAAACCTTGTTAAAGTCTAGACTTCCATAGGCCATGCATGAATCATGGTGGCCACTTGAAAGGAAATATTAATATGACCTTCTTCCTTGTTGAATTCCAAATAAATGAAGAAAATTCAGTGAATTAAATACAAATTCTTGTATGTATAGACTATGCAATGAAGAAAAAAAAATTACATAATTACAATCAGGTAAATGATTGAAGGAAACTTACATGCGTTCCAGTTTCCCCCTGTTAACAAAGAATCCATCATGTTTTATTGCTGAATTGTCAACTTCAAAATACTCATCCTGCACAACACATAATGAAGGAGCATTTGCAAAGCCATAAATATAAAATAACGTTCGTTCAACAAGAAGAATGCCACCAATTAAAACAGTACAATGTCCAACACAAATATAAAACAATAAGATTTATGAATAAAGGCACCTACCAACTCAGCATCATCAATAAAAGAGTCTTCTGTATCATACTGATCGTCATCAGGAATATCATTTAGATCTTCATCATCACTACTATCTTTACCCTGAGACATTCAATGAAACGGAATTGTAATAAATATAACACATTTTTTATTTAAACAAGAAAATCTGCTTGATAGCAAAAACCAAAAAATGACATATTAATAAATAAGAGCTACCATATAGAGGCGTTCAATCTTCTCAATTACAGCGCTAAAACGATGTGGCGCAGCTTCATCTTTCATTTCATCTCCTGACAGTTGTTGTACCTGAAAAATGTGAAGCACAATTTAACTAAGAAAAATCATCATAGTGCATGGTACAAAAGGCACGTTGATGGGGGCAAATTCATACTGTGCATATCTTTTAGGCATAAAATCATGATAAACACTCAACCCTTTTCCATTGTAATTGATAGACAGTCATGATATGGACTTGAGTCCATTGAAATAATGACCAATGTAAATGATAATCTTGATTATGAAAAATGCATTGCATTCATCCTGCATTCCAGCTTAAATTTCTACTCTATTCTGAAAACAAACCATGAGTTTTTGAGTAACCAAAGGACCAACTAAACATCCACAAATAGAAGTTACAACTAACAACTGCAAAGTACATAACTAGAAAGAGCAAGTCATTCTAAAAATAGTCCTGCAAACCATTTTCACAAATGCACTGAAGTTCTACCAAAAAACCAAATTACATAAACTGCAGCTAATGAGCAAATCTTAATTGCATTACAAACAGAAAAAAAGAACACAAACCCAAATACGAACCCACACGAAAACAATGAACAATTCACAAAAGTACCAACTTTCTTTTTCTTTCTTTTGAATTGGAGGGTCTCACCGGAGCTATACGAGACTCGAGAGCTGGGTGAGCGTTGGCGGGAGGAGGCTCAGGAGCAGAACTGGTAGACGGCCCATTGACCTTGTTCGTATCTTTCAGGAGCTTCTTCCAGGAGACTATGGTGGTCTCCCCGGGTCGGAGCTCCACTGTGAACATTTGCCGGTCACCGGCTTTCACAAACCTGGACGAAGCCCTCGACGATTCGCCGCCGCCCTTCTCTTCCTCCATTGAACTGACGAACCCGGTCGAGAATTCTAGGGTATTCGGATCGACGATTCGATAATTAAGATTGGAGAAACATTGGGGACCAGGTAAGCCCTAGAGGGCAAATTGACTCTAGAGAGAGAAGGGGACGGGAATTTAGAGAGAGAGAGAGAGGAGAATGGAGATTGGGCGGGACAGAGAGAATCTTTTCGGGGAAGGGATTTTAACTGAAATTTCTCTACTGGGTCATGGAAAAAATTTCTCCTTCTTTCCTTTCCGAGAAAACGAAAGAGGGAGGGAAGAGGATCGGACGGGTAAAAGATGTTGCGGGCCGGATCCGAACCCGGCTCAGAATTTTAATACAACGGCATGAACTACTATGAACTTGTGATATGCATCTGTGGAGCTTACGGTGGCAGTTTATTTCAAGTTTTTGTTTTCCCATCTGGTCCATTGAATCAGACATCAAAGATAAAAATCTCATCCGCTGAATCAGAGATGCATCTTATTGGTTTATATTTAGTTCTATTTTTTTTAATCAATGAATGAATGGGCAGCCAAATTTGTGTCCTCTCATAATTTTGACGAGATAATATTACTAAATTAAGAGCTAATTAATATTTATGAATCGGCGTAATCTAAACTAAATTCAATTTCATCTCAAATCACACACATAAATCAATCAATTGAAATGGCTTGCACTGAATCAATTTTGGCCTCAAATTAAACCAGCCCATTGGGTGATTGGTTTAGTTTATACTCAATGATCAATTTGACCTCCAAAACGGAGTAAAAACCTTAAAACACACACGCACATGCTTGCATGTAATTTTTGTATCTACAAGGAATCGAGTCATACATGTTTACGACAATTTAAACATTGTTTCAGCTTTCACTATTATAGTTGCAAACAAATACCAAGTTGTCGAAGGCAAATGAAAATGCAGACAACCAATAAGAGCATGAAATAAATGTGGGATTTGGTTCAACTCAGCTGGGTTCTAAATTGACTGAAAACCCGTGAAAACAAACCAAATTAATCGGTGCAGATTAGTCAATTCTCGTGGATTTTATGAGATATTTATTCAAAAATCTATTTTAGCATGAAATACTATACAAAAATCCATATATGACATATTTGGAGACAAAAACCCAAAACTTCTACTTGTCATTTTATAAATGATTCTTAGTGTGTTAAAATTTTATAAGAACCAATTAAAAAATGACAAGTGGGAGTTTTGAGTTTTTCTCTCTAAATAGGCCTTATATGGGCTTTTATATAATATATCATGTTAGAATGGACTTATTTGTGGAAAGCCCATGTATTATTCTCATGCCTAATACAAGTACACAAATTTTATTTTACTTACATGGATTTTTATTTTTTTATTTTTTGTTGCCAAAGTTAGGAAGGGATATGGGGTTTTATGACATACACACTATTAAGGTGTCATGAAAGTTTGAATCTAAAATCATTGGTTTATAAGTCAATACTCTTTTTTCACTGAGTTAGACATATTAAGCATGATGTTTGGTCCAACGTTCAAGACCCCATGTTTGGGTCCTCTCAAGCCCAAGTCCAGGAGACATGGTCGAGGTATTAGGTCACGAATACAAGTCTACTATCCCAATACTAGGTTTGGGTCAGAGGTCCAAATTATAGGGTCTCATATATGAACCTGAAGCCTATGTTTAGAGTCATTTGTTCCAAAATTTGGCATTTTGAGTGATGGTATACAATTTGAGTCCAAGGTCAAGGTATGAGGCTCGGTTGGTGGCTCGACTTTAACAGTTGAGCCAAAGTGAATACTTATGAGTCATGGCCATTTATATGAGACTTGTAATACACAATATGTTATATTGTTGTCCAATGTAATAAGGTCAACCCCAACATACCAAAACAACAATTGAAATAGTCCAATCCAGTTTGACCTACCAAATGTGCTAGGACCTCAATTCTAGATACTTGGTGTCCTAGTCAATAACTTTTGTACAACTTTACCCAAATGAGCCACTTATTTACTTTTTAGAAAGCTATCCCAATAATGTGAAACTTAATTAAGTCAAACCTAATTAAATTATCATTAATATCATAATTTATAGTAGATAGTTACACATGCTTCTATGTTTTTTTTTTCTCTTTTTGTTTCTCAAGCGTTCAACTAGTAACTTAATATGACACTTATCACTTAGGTGGGCATATAATCTCATGATATGAATCTTTTTTTTTTAAGTCGTCACTCACGAAAATTGTGGCTCAAATAAATAAACGGAGATAGTGTTTTTCGCGACAATGAAATATTTACCATCATAATTAAATGCCTAAATAAATTTTTATTTGAATAAAACAACGCATGAATTAAGAGTTTAAAAATAAAATATTCACTATTCCTGTACCCCAAAATAAATAAAAAACTTTGAATATACATAAACTAATTAGCACTATACGCAATTACTAACTAGTTAGCTCTTCAATTTTTGTTTAACCAAAAAAAAACAAGAAAAAAAAACACTATTATGAATCACATTCAAAACCTGATAAGCTGATACCGCGATAATTAGATACGCAGCGCGCGCTGTTATCTTCAATCTTCATTTCCTCATCCAAAACCTCTGAAAAACCACAAAAGCCATGAGAGCAACCGCTCTCGTCCTCTCTCCACCACCACTCTCCACACGCACCCCTCTCCTCCTCCTCCACTCTCCGCACCCCCTCCTCCCCTTCCGCTCCCTCAAGCCCAAACCCCTCCCCAAACACCCCCTAATCCTATTCCCGTCCCCAAACACCCCATCCTTCCTCGTCCGCGCCGACGACGGCGACGGTGACAGCGCAGGCCCCGATGACTATGACATGGACGATGAAGAGCTCGAGGAAGTCGACAACAAGAAGGACTTCGACATCGAGTACGACACCCTCGCTGCCGCCGCAGCCGCAGTTGCTGCCGCCAACGGCGAAGAGGACATCGCCATGGTGCAGAGCAAGAGCTTTGTGTTTACGCAAGGCTGGGACTCGGAGATGGTCGTCGATTATCGGATTAACGAAGACGAGTTTCACAAGATTAGCTTGCTCGATTGCGATTTCTTCATAAGGAAGCCCCCCGATCCCGATAACGACGTCTATGATTTCAGAGAGGTGTGTAATTTTTGCTTAATTTTTCTTCAATTTTAATTTGATTTTCAGTAAGAAAATTAAGTTTCTTATAAATACTTAATGTAGATGTATGTTACTCCTCCGGACACAGATGTTTATGCAATTCCCAGGGTTTTAGCTCCAATGCCTCAGAAGGTACTCTAAATTTTTACACTTAATTATAATTTATTAAGGCCAATTTGATGTTTATTTTGTTTAATCATTGCTTGCTTTAAATCTGTAGTACATTCGCTGTGCCAAGAGTGATTTTAGCAGCTACAATGTGACAGAGCCACCAATTGATGCTCCTAGAGATCCATTGTATAAGTCTGAGCGGGACGTTTTAAAGGTATTGATTGAATTGAACTATGAATTTGATTTCATTTTGTGCAACTATGTAATGGGCAGGACAGTAGGACCGTAGAATGGAAACAATTGCAATTTGATTGCACAAAAATGGTTCTAGATGTAGCAGTTAACATTACAACAATAGGATAGGATAATTGGTGGTCAATGTTGCACTGAACTTCTTTAAGATAGGTGGGTTTTTATCCCAATGGATGGTGTTCCTGTTTTTAGTCTTCTTTGATAAATGGGTGTCTCTTTTTAGCAGTAGCAATCATTCACCAGGCTACTTTTTCTGTTTCAGGTTTACTTGACAAAGCATTACAGGAATCGGAGGTTGGGCGACCCTGATTTTGTTCTGGATTTTGAGGAGATTTATGTGATTGATTCCAAAACAAAATCTATTAGCAGAGCAAAAGTTCTGGTAAGAATTTTACTTTTTCTGTTTTGCTTTCCAATTTGTTATTTGAGATTCTTCTTTTAGTGTATAATTCCTTTGGTATCACAATCTGCTCCTTTCTTTAAATTGTAGAAAGCCTTTTTAGCTTAGATGAATAAAATTGCTTACATGTTTCTTTATATGAGTTTGTTAAGAAATTGACAGCGTCTTTTGCTAGTTACAAGCTTTTCTTGTCATTGGAGTTTACTATTGATCCTTACTAAAGAATACCAGCAAAATTATTAATCAGTAGAGGACATTTTAATTTTTGAGACCCATGTTTCTCACGTCTTATGTCTTGGACCTTGACTAAACCAAGTGGGATTTGTCTTTAAGATAAAATGTATAGTTCTCTTTGAATTTTTCACTACATCTGATACCAAAATGTAGAAAATTCCATTTTCTTTATTTTCTGTCCTAATGCTGTGCATCTTTTTATTTTGTTTTGGTCTGATAATGCTGTGACTGTATATGAGCTTTATAGTTTATATTCGACTCCTCCCGCGTTCCTCCTTTCCCCACATATGGTGTAATACTGTAAGTCTATGACCCTGGCCTGGCCTGTGTAGTATGCATCAGTAATTATATCATCGTACAATCTGATTTATTGAACCGTGGTGCTTGCACATGGAGGTCCTTCTATCTCTATGGCAACCCCATGGCATAATTGAATTGCAAAACTTGAGTTTCGAAAGTGTCAGACATGGAGTTCACATCACTTGTCCATATATTGTTATGTTTTTTCTTTCTTTCTATGTTTGATTCTGTGATCCTGAAATTGTGATATAAATGATTCCATCATTGGTTTTATCTTGAATGTTTCCATGAAAGTCATTATATTCTTCACCATTTTCACCTACGAATATTTCATAGATGAGTCAAAGTATGAGACTATCAAACCAAAAGTCTGTGTCAAATCAAATGTAGCTTATATTATGTATTTTCCCTATTTACTTTCAGGGAGTAGCACCCCCTTGTTTTAAATTGTTTCTTATGCTCTTTCAATGGTTGTTATGCATTCTACAGGTCAGTGTTCCAGGGGGAAGAAGCAGAGATAGAAGGCATGACCTGCTTGTAATACGTGATAATGGCAACTCCTTCAGAATAATTCATGGGGTAACCAACTTCAATCCAAATTCGTTTCTTCAACTTTATTTGTTATTTATCATCTGAATCACTGTTCTCGTCAATCATTTCAGAGTGAAAAGGATGATCCCACCACAGTGATAGAGAGGGAAGAGTGGAATAAGACCAGACAGGACATGGAGAGGCATCTTAGCAAGCTACGGGACTTCAGCGTTTCAAATTGGTTCTAGTCCATCAGCAGAATTTAGAGATAACATCATGAAGGCACATGAGCAACAAAATGTGGATTCCAGAGGTGACTGCAAATATGTTGATGTTGGACTTTCAAGATATATTAGATATCCTGCGCGCATATATTGAGTTTATGATGCTCTATATGAGAAGGTCCTCGTTGCTGATATTTTGGCAAGCACTTGTGCTATAAATTTTGTAAAGTAAGTAGAAATGTTGAGTTGATGCTGAATATCAAAGTTACTTTGTGGTGCAGGTAAGCATTTATGTAGCTTGACCTTGTTGTAATGTTGAAGTAGTCCAATTTTTTCTTAACTTAAAAAAATACATTATGAGAATACTAGGGTTGGTTGCACGTGATTGATTTATAACTGTTCACAAGACTCATGCACAAGTGCGCTACAGATTGTTGCATCCCCAAAAAATATTAAATGAATTGTTGGTTTGTTGATGCAATAAAAGCAGCCCTCAGTTAAACGATCTCGTGAGAAGAGACTACCAGCCTAGAAAGAGACAAGGAGAATCTGTTTGTTTGTTTGCTCGAGGAGAGAACCCTTGCAAGTAAGCAATGGCATGGGTAAAAATCTAGCCCATCTGTTTTAACGTGACAGCCGGAAGTGGATTTCTTTTTCAAGTCACCCAAACTGGACTCTGCTGCATGCTATTTTAGTCCAATCTCACCTTTTATCCGGTCCAACAAATGGGTCTACAATCTACTTCAAATTCTTTACAAATGAATTTTTTTTATAAAGATTTTTAATAGACGACTATAATTTAAACCAAGGATTGTAATTCAAATTCACAAGCTAGGCCACTTAAAATTTTGTTATAAAAAAATTACTAACAATTACAGTTTTGTTGTGCATTATAATTATAGTTATGTTAGCGACAGTTGCTTACGCGCGTGTGAGTGATTGTCAGTCGTTAATGCATTACAAAATCCATTTATATTAATGATTGACACCTACATACACTCATTGAAGCATGTTCAAATTGAGGAATTTGGAAGGTTAAATTTGTATTTTACGTGTTCAAATCTGTGGTAATTGTGGAAGCAATGGGATTTTACCGATTAGCAAACAGTAAAATACGTACTAACAGAAACCCTAGACAGCATACGAGAAAGAAGTGGTTGCCAAACAGGGAAAAATAAAGGGAAAAGTCCTTTTAAGACCAATTGATTGAGTGGGGCGTGGCCCAGCTCTTGCCCGTCAACGCAAGGAAAGGATCCTCTCTAGTAGTCTAGTACCATATAGAGTGAATCCAAGATACTCCAAATATATATATTGAAATTCTCCTATGTGGATATTTATATATTATTATCGTGCATATGTCATGTATTTTCTACAACCTTTCCATGCTTTTTTCTTTGTTTACAATGGCATCCGCACAGTAAAAACTTGCGGACATCTACATGAGAGCATAAATATATAGATATTTTTTTTCATACTCTTCAATTTTATTTTATTTTTAAAATTTTAAAAATGCCCTTTTTATCATTTTGTTGGTACCTACCGCTATATTATTATCATGAATTGTCATAGGTAGCTCACTGTTGCCTGTTGGAAGTTAGAACCTTTCTTACTGTTAACATGGTATGTAGTGAAGGTGATTTTCTCCTAATCCTTGTTTATACTGTATATATGGATGATGAGTCATCTTCATCTTTTCTTTTAATTATCTAATTTAATCCGCAATTTATCTTTATAAGATGTCTTAGGTCATTTGAATTTGGGACATCTCCAAATAAAATGTCGAGAAATATCACTAAACAAATTAAACCCTAATTTTAAACATAAACACTAATCCACATACTCATGTAGTGAATAGTTAATAGTTTATAACTATTTAAGGGCTTAATTCATATAAGTCATAACTTAAGAATAATTGATTCTTATTTTTCAATTTAGTGACTATTATATTGTATATCTGCAAATCTCGGTTGCCTGCCGTTGGCTAGAGTGAGCTTTCAATGTGTTTCCTTTTTCTCCCCCATGTGTTTTGGTTTGATAAATGTTGACTAAAGTTACATGCATTTCATTTATAGAATGGCTAGAATCATGCATTCCGACTCTCTTATATATGGGTGCAATGCATTCACCTCATGTGAAGGAGTAAAGAAAAAGTTTTAGGGGGTAAGTTCTTAATTTGATAAACAATAGGTGTGATGGTAAAGTAGTTTTACTTTTTCTTTTTGATACGTGGTAAGAATAGTTCATTCAATTCAAATAAGTTTGAGTTTCCTACTTTCGTATTTACTTTTTTTTTTTTTTTTTTTTTTTTTTTTTTTATACGATATTCTACTTTAATTTAATCTAAATTACTAGAAGAAGTATTCGAACTCGAGTGTAGAGTGGAGAGCACATTCAATTTCAATCTAGCCAACTTGATAAGCCATGTCTGCAATTCATAATATTTACTCAAACCGCAAATGTAACACTTTTTTACATATCCCAATTCCCAACCTTTCCATAGAACCACTGAGCTAGCTGTGTATATAGGCCATATAAAATAGACCAAATCCCAGACTGATGTCTTGTTTAATGATCTTGACTGTTTGACTTGGAGGTACCAAAATATATCATATTTTCCTTTCTCCGTATTCAGGGCACATAAAACTTACTTTGTCCCCTTCTCTTTGCTCCATCGCTTTACCACCTAGAAACCCAGTATTACTTGCTGAGGAAAAACACATATTGATTTTGATTTGATGGTTAAGATTTAAGATTTGATTATTATCCTCGTTTAGATCCATCACTAAAACCCTAGACAAGACCATCACAAACTCCAAGACCCAAAATTGCACATTTACGTATCAATTAATACAAACACACATATAGCCTAGTCCTAGAGTCTTCTTTCCCATTTCACACTCTTAATTAAGCCTATATTAAGGAAACCCTAAAAACCTTGGAGTTAAAATCAGTCACTGAAACATCGAGTGAGGCAAACATGGAGAGAGAGAGAGAGAGAGAGAGAGAGAGAGAGAGAGAGAGAGAGAGAGAGAGAGAGAGAGAACAAGGTGCAACAAAGCTAACAAAGCCAATCACATATCAAATATCAATCAAAAATTAACATCACAGATTAAAACAAAAGTAAACGTAAAAATGAAAAGAGAAAGCAGTTGGCTTGGCTTTGTCACCAACCCATAAACGAGCCCTTCACTTCTGTGCCACATGAAAGTTGTTTAGCTTCCAAACCCAGAATAGAAATGCCCCTCTATTGCTCTCCTGATCATCTTTACTCTCTTTTGAACCTTCTTTTCTATTATATATCTCTTCTTTCCTCTTCCCCATTTCACAAAGCAAAGAAGAAGAAGAAGAAGAAGAAGAAGGAGAAGAGAGAGAGAGATAAGTCTAAAACGAAAATTGAGAGATATGGGGAGGGGCAAGATTGAGATTAAGAGGATTGAGAACTCAAGCAACAGGCAGGTCACTTACTCTAAGAGAAGGAATGGGATCATTAAGAAGGCCAAGGAAATCACTGTTCTATGTGATGCTAAGGTTTCTCTTGTCATCTTTGCTAGCTCTGGAAAGATGGTTGAATACTGCAGCCCTTCAGTCACGTAGGAACCTGCAGCTCATGCTTTTCTGCTCATGCTTTTTTTTTCTTTTTTGGCTTTTTAGGTTCTTGGTTTTTCGTTTTAATTTACTGAGTTTCCTTCAAATTAAAAAATAAATAAAGGGTTTTTTTCGTTTATATTTTATGAATCTAATTTCTTCTTGGTGTGAAGGGTGACTGATATCTTGGATAAGTACCATGGCCAGGCTGGGAAGAAGTTATGGGATGCCAAGCATGAGGTTTGATTCTCTCTCTCTCTCTCTCTCTCTCTCTCTCTCTCTTCATTTTTGTGTTTTTTGCTATCAAAGATCTGTTGGGTTCTTCCTTGGGCCAGATGGAAACAAGCATGATTTTTTCTTTGCTCAAAATATGTCAAGAAACATGAAATATGATTTCTATGAGCAGATCTACAAATAGGATGTACTAGTTGCTCTCTTTCTCCGGCTCTGATAGTTTTTCTGTCCTTCTTTATTGACAAAGAAAACTGAAACTATGTGAAATGTAGCATCCATGAACAGATCTGGTAATAAAATGTTTTTCTCTCCCTTCCTTTTCTTTGCAAAAAATTCAAACAACTGAATGCGTATATAAGCATGTCTCACAAATATATAAGAAACGTCTTTTCTTGATATAAATATACATATAAAATCTCTCTCTGTACCCTCTGGTTCCTTGACTGATACAAGCATATAAACCGGCTTATTATACACACTTTTCTGCTAACAGATCTGCATATGAAAATAGACCCTTTTACATGGGTTTTTATATTTCTTTTAATACTAAATTATAATGTTTTTATTTTGTTTTCCTTAATAATTAAACTAATTAACTATAAGGGTTTGCAACAAATGTGATAAACTCCTGACAGAACCTCAGCAATGAAGTGGATAGAGTCAAGAAAGACAACGACAGTATGCAAGTCGAGCTCAGGTAGTTTAATTGCACTCATCATCTTTCTCTCTCTCTGTCTCTCTCTCTCTCTGTGGAAATGTTTAAGTATATATATTGTTGTTGCAGGCATCTGAAGGGGGAGGATATCACATCTTTGACCCACAAAGAGCTGATGGCCTTAGAGAATGCACTTGAAAATGGCCTTGCAAGTATCCGGGACAAGAAGGCAAGTCTTGCGCAATAATATAATTTCTTGTGTGAGAGATTCTGCTATATATATAAGGTTCTAACTAGTTATTTTTGTTGCCTTTTTGTCACAGTCCAAGTTCGTCGACATTCTCAGAGAAAATGTATGATGATTAATACCTTGAGTTTATTTAAATTTACTTTTTAAATTATGTCACAACAATAGGCATGAAGTAGTAATGCATGATAATATATGATATCGTGTGCTATTTTTGCCTAACTTTTTGCATTGTTTCTGTGCTGGTCTCAGGAAAGAGCACTGGAAGAGGAGCATAAGCGCCTCACTTATGAGCTGGTAAACTCATCGTTAAAACTGTTCAGGATGTATACACACGCATATTATGTACACAGGCACAGCATGCCTCAAGCAAAGGCTTTGGTTTATATAACTACACTGTTAATCACATTACAAACAGTTTTAATCAATACAAAACTATTTTTATCACATCGTAGATCACATCTCTAATAAAGTTCACCCACTTTGATCTATAGACATGATGCGCACTACTAGAAAAAAGGACAAAACTCACGGATCACCTAGCCACAGTGCACAAAGAATGTCCGTTCTTGGTTCAATATATTGAGAAATGTTAACTTGATTCAATTGTTGTTGACCATAGATTAACACATGATCATGTATACATATCCATTTTATACATGCATGATACTATATATGCAAGTTTTGGTGTATTTTATTCATTTGATTGTGCAAGATATTGAACACATGTCATACATGCATGGTTCAACTACTTAGGTCTCACCTGCAATATTTGTTTCCCTGTCAACCACATTGATGGAATTTTCCGAAGGGGCACGGTTTTGATGAGCAAGTTTATTACTAGCATTTGCAGAATTTGCACTTACTTTTATCTTAAATTTGTTTATGCATTGAGGAAATAAAAAAGAACAACAAAAATAATACTTGCAGCAAACTCATCAGTTTCATACATAAATGATATAATCTTTTGTTTAATTTTTGAAGCACAAACAGGAGATGAAAATTGAAGAGAATGTGAGAGAGTTGGAAAATGGGTATCATCAGAGGCTGGGGAACTACAACAACCAGATACCGTTTGCCTTTCGTGTTCAGCCTATTCAGCCAAATCTGCAGGAGAGAATGTAATGCATCTATATTTTCATCTGTCAGGAAATGCTATCAACTTTCCATGGTTTGTAATAGTAGAAGCTTTCGTATAAGCTAAGTAATTTGTGAAACTTTTAATGATTAAGGTGTGTGCATGAACTTGGTTTGTGGAATAATCACTGTTTTGTTTGCTACAAAATTACCTAATTATAATGTTTGCCTATATATATATATATATATATATATATACTTCTGTTCATCTTGCTCCATAGCGACCCTAGCTAGGTCTAAATCATACTAGCCAACACATGTAATGCACGAAGATGGAAGTTATGGCAAAGGGGAGAAAAAAAGAAAGGATTTGTGGGAGTGAGAAAATGGTACTCCTCCTCCAGCCCTTTTATCAGTTCTCAACTTCTCATGCTAGATGTGACAGAATTGTTTGTGATATGTCTCTTTTTGTACATATTAATTTGATTACCAAATGAATATTGAACATATAAGGAAAGAATAAAAGATACTAGATAGATAGAAAGGCCCAAGCCCAGGCCCAAACAAAACATGTGCTGTATTTTTTATTTACAAAAATATAATAATAATAATCATCATCAGTGGTATAGCTCGGTTAGTTGAACTCTTCCACCTCCACTCATGTAGATAGATGTTCAAAATCCCTAAGCACTCAATGAATATTTGTGTGTAACCCTCCTTCCCAATCGCTTGTACTCCAAAATAAAAAATATAAAAAATCAATAACTTGAAAGTTAGGCTCGAAAACAGTCATAATGTACTTTTTTCAAAGTCTCTATAGTGGTCAATAAACAATCCTTATTTAGTTCGAACGTGCTACCCACTGGGTTCGAGTTCGAATCTCCCTTCCTTTAGATTATATCAAAATATAATATTTCTTGTATAAAAAAAGAAAAGTGGAACAAGTTTTCAAAATTGATCTCATTCTTATTTTATAATTCTTTTTTAGTCTAGTATGCCTATAAAATAGTACTAAGTTGGAAACTATTTTTTTCTGCATTAGCAAGTTTCTTTTATCAAATCAAAACTCACTACGTGTGTACATGACCAGTTCAAACCGAAGTCAACAAACACGTCTGTGCCGTTTTCCAGTTTATTCATGCATTTCAAAGGAGCCCTAGCCACACACTCACTTGCAAGCCCAAATGTCAAAGCGACGTCACCATCGGAATCGGGTACTTCGGTAATTTAAGTCTGTCTCAAAGTTCCCTTAACATGAACACAAAGAATATGCTTGTGCGCTTCGCATACTTAATAAATTAATATTAAAAACTTTCTTCTTAACTATTGCACAACCACCGGTAATGTTAATCAATAATAAAGGTAATAAATTTGTTCTGTAAAACCCATATATCACTGACGATTAAGCATTAGCTGGTTAATAAGTTAATACAATGCTAATCACTTATTTTGGTTCACTCTATAATGCAATCACATAATCATAACAATTAACTCATCTTTCAAGAATCATCTTTATAAAAATTCACCTACATCGGAAATCTTTTAGCAACTTTTTCTTACTGTGAATATTTTTTCTTTGTTTATCGCAATGATGTGTCCGTCTTTTTATTTTATCATAGTTAAATAACAAAACGATTTTTTAAGTTGATGTGAAATTTTGTAGAAGTGATCTCTAAATAAATATATGAACGATGAACAATTCATATAAGCCCACACAAGTAATTAGTTTTGTATTAACTTACTAACTAGTTATTCCTTTCTCTCTCCATGAGTTCCAAAGAAAAACTTTAGTGGGGAGGAGGAAGAAGCGTCAATGCCCCTCCTCGCTCTTATGTTTTCTTTCCCTTTATTTTGGATTAGTGAATAAAGCATTTTCAACCATCCTAAACAACAATATTAATGTATTATAAAATAATGTAAAACATTTGTTTTCGATATTAGTTCCACTTCACAATGACCATCATGTATCCTAGTTGATGTAAGATGTTTGTTCTTAATGATCTCCAAAATGCACACAATCGTAATCGTTTATAAAGATTAAGTATAACACGAACACAAAGATTATTCTTGTGTGCTTCACATTTTTACAAGTGTATATCAATAATTGATGTAAGAGGATTGTTTAACGATCGTTACTAAACGATTGTTTGAAGTTCAATTTCGACCTAGGGAGTGTTGCAAAGTGGCTCATGTTATTGCCCATTTTGCTTTACATGAACAAGGTCCTTATTATTGGTTAAAAGAAGGTTCTGTGTGACTAATGAATTGAATTATTGATGATCTTATATTGTAACCAATGCTTCCGTTTAGTGAAATTTACTTATTTTGGATAAATAAAAAATGATCATTGTGTCAATAATTAATGACATAGATTTATTTTTAACGGTTAATGTATGAACAATGATTAATATAAAACCATTTACCAATGATAAACAATCGCCCACATATCAATAATTAATTCGTCACGTTGATAATTGTTTTTAAGATTCACCTAACATGTTATAACATGAACAAAATAATATTCTTGAATACTTCACATACGAAATGCACCAATCATTAGATGTTTGTTTTTAACGGTTATTCAAATCAACCGTTAATGCATGTGAAATTTACACACATTAATAGTTAACAATTTTATTATAAGCAAATATTTCCAATATTGTTTCCATCTAAACAAAGGAAATTACCCTTTAACAGTCACTCAAATGGACTGATTAACAATGCTAATATAAGTGAAAACCTATACAAATCCGTGATGAACTATTGCTGCATGAGCAAATTCTTTGCAAGATTCTTTCCCAAGTGAAAGAGGAAACCCTTTTTAAAAATAAAAGAAAATAAAAGAAAAAGGGAAAGAGAAAAAGTTTCCGCAACCGATAAATAGTTGGTTTGTGTGAATGGCGAAAGTGCCCTTAACTAGGACACTTGTCCTACAAAAAACCAAGCCCTACCCCACAAAACCGAGGAGGGTGAATTGGTATAAGGCGAAATCGTCCATCAAATTGATAAAAAGCCGTCCCTCTCCCGGTCGGAGCCTTCTGCAGTTTTATTTTATCTAAGTTTCTTTTCCCCCTTTAAACCGTTTTCTTCTTCGCTTCACTATAAACACAACTCCACCAACCGGCCCCCCCCCTTCTCTCTCCCCTCGTCTTTTTCACAAACACAAAAGACAAAAAAAAAAAAAAAAAAAAAAAAAAAAAAAAAAATTAGAAAAAGAGCAATTTTGTATTAATATAGATAGGCCTCTTTCGTCTCTCAGTCTCTCTCTTCCCTGCGCAGGTATATGTTTATCTAATCTCTTTTGCTGTTCTATATTTTTTGTTTGGGTGATCTTTTGATTAATGTATGCGTGTTGTGTGTATGTATGTATGTGGGTTTGTTTTTGTGTGGCGTATAATTGTGTATGTGCATTACTTCGCCAATTTTTAGATTTGGGGTTTTGTTTGTGCAGAGGAAGTCAAGGGAATGCAATTTTAGGGTTTTCTCTCTTGTGCGCAGACTGCTTTGGATAAGGTGTTATTTAACGGGGAATAGAAAGCAGAGTTAGGGTTTGGCTTGGAGGTGCATTGCATTGGGTTGGGGTTGATTTTCTTTGCAAGGGTCAAATTTTATTTTCTTTGATCATATACACTTATACAGTGTTTGCGTTAAATGGGTAAATTTGATTAGTTTAGGATGGCTTCTTGTGAAAATTCGGCTTTTGTTGACGGTCTTTTGTGTGAGTCTGTTACAGAGCAGCAGATGGGCTCAGAGATTTTGGTGCAATCTATTTCTGAGCTGCCCTCCTGCTCGGACGATAAGTCTTTACTTGATTCTAATGTGGACCCTATCAGTATATCAGATAGGTCTCTGGGATTGTCTAGGAATGGCAATGCTGATGCTGGTTGTATGAGCTGGGGTGAGATTGTAGATGTTGATATAGATGGTTTGATGGGTGAGCATGAAAATGCTAATGTTTCGGAACCGGGAAATATTTTGACCAGGGAATGGGGGCTGAACAGATGTTGCTTGACTGAGAGTCAGAGTAATGTTGATGACTCAAATAGGGAAGGTGGGCCCCAAGGTGAGGATAGATCTGCTGGTTCATTTGGGGACTGTGAAATCCCTTTGGAAGTCATACCTCAGACTGTTTCACCAGGACATGGTATCCAACAGGATGAGCAAAGGTATGATAATTATCTGTTTTCTGAAGGGGTTAGGGAAGTTACGGAAGAGATGAAGAACGATATCCATGAACTAGTCTCTCCTTTACAGGGTTGTGAAATTCCCTCAGAATTAGCTGACATGGAAGCTTGTGGAAGCTCCCAACAAGAAGAGAAGGGTTTCAACATCATATCTGGTTCCTCTTTTGAAGCTGCTTGTGAGGAAAGTGTTGTTTTGGCCAGGATAGAAGCAGATTTGTGCAACAGGACATCACCTAAACAGGATGGTGGAATGCCTTCGGAAGTATCATATGCATGTGATTTAGTAAGTAATTGTGTCTGGAAAAATGAAGAGATGGAGGACAATCGTGTTAGTGGTCTGAATAGCCTCTCTACAGAAAGGACTACAGAGATTGTTGAGACGAGGTGCAACCAAATATTGCCTTCACAAGGTTTCACTCAACAGAATGATCAGAGGAGTGATGAGGTTAATGGCGGTTCCTTTGTTGAAAGGGCTACAGAGTATTTGGAAGAGACAAGTGATGCTCTGCCAGATGAAAGGGCTGTAATTCACACCCAGATATTACCTGTAAAAGCTAATGTTTACTATTCTAACGAAGGTTCTTCCAAAGTAGCCCCTGACTGCGTTATTGAGAACTCTGTTTCCATGCAGTCATGTCAAACCTTTGGGACTGCCAATAACAGTGTCAATGGGCCCTCTGCTGATAGTGTTACAGAGGTTGTTGAGATGGAAAGCCATATTGGTGCGCACAATCAAATAGTGCCTCCAGAGGGTTGCCAGAGGGCCTTTGAAGGTTCACATGTGTCAGATTCACCGAGTGTTTGCACCCAAGAGAATGGTGAGAGCAATGGTAAGATTATTGGTTTTCTCTCTGCCAAAAGGGTAACAGAGTTTGAAGAACAGAAAAGTGATGCTACAACCAACATAAAGGTTGAAATTGGCGCCCAGATATTACTACTGGAGGAAAAAGCCTCCAATCTGAAGGAAGGTTCTTCTGAACTAGCCCCCAAAAGTATTCATGAGAAATCTGTTTTTATGCAATCGTTTCAACCTTTTGATATCGTCAACAGTGGTTCTTCTGAGAGGCTGGATGTACCAGATAAGGATTCTCCTGCTCATGTTGATTCTAGCACTTCATTTGACCATTATGGAGAGATGGATCATGAAGGAAATGATAATGTCAGAGTTGATTGTGTTTCTAACACCAAATGTGTTGCATTATCTTCTCGAAGGAGCGGCCGAAGCCGCAAGACTCAGACAAAAAGGGCTCCAAGGAAAGGCAGGAACACATCTAAAGTGTTAGACCCGCTTGGAAGTGTTGAAATTGTCTTCAAGGCTGCTGGAAGGAAGAGGAGCTGCCTTTCCAAACCAGCTCGTTCTTCTATCTGGGGATTATTGGGGAATGTTACACAATCTTTTGAAGAGAGTAACAGGCTTGAGGTCAGTCAAGGTCTGATTCAAGGATCACAGAAAGGAAGGGGTGGCCAAAGAAGTGGAAAACGGAATCCAAGTGGGGCTAGTGGAAACTCACGAGGGTCAAGGGGGAAATGCCGTGCTTCAACTAATCATGTTCGTTTGAAGGTTAAATTGGGGAAAGAAATGGTTAAAAGTTCTTTCTATATCAGAGTACCTGAGGTTGTTGATAACACAGCATATGAAAATTCTGTTGAAAAAGAGAATGGCATTGAGGGTAATTGGAATAAAGAAGCCACTCTTAGGGAGGATAAAACTTGTCCAGATGCTCCTGTTCTGGATGGAGATCTGGCTAATAAGGACTTGGAGAGTGTTGTTCTTACAGAGAATTCAGCTGAAGATGTGATAGAGAATTTTCCTGGGGGTTCATCTCATACAATTGCTGTATCATCAGGAGGATCTGTTGGGACTAACTATAGAGATCCTGGAACTTCACCTGATTCAGAAGTAACCAATTTAGTTCCGGATGCAGATGTTGAGGCAAGACCACGGGAAGATTCTAATGGTATTGTTTTGACTTCTGACAAGGCTTTTTCTGCTTCTGGAGACTTTATTAGCACTAAGAGAGGAAAGAAGAAACATAAAGTACCTCATGCGGAAAATTGTGTTCGGGAAGATGGTATATCGTGTCCAGCAAGCATAAATAAAGAAAAACCATCAAAACAAGATGGACGCAGACAGAATGTTAGTCAGGATTTTTGCCCTAGTGAGACATTCACTTCATCCACCTGTGCAAATGCTTCAAGTAATTCATCAAGCGACATGGAATCATCTTTGGAGCCCTTGCGTTTGTCAGGAGAAACCGATCATGGAATTTCTAGAGATGTTCGCAAAGTTGAAATTGGTGCAGAAGCTAAAACACATTGCAATCTAGATGTAGGCTTAGGGTTATCAAAATCACAATCCTCAAAAAACTAAGGGACTGAAGCCTCCGAAGGGGAGGTCCAGAGGCTGTGGCTCAGCGAGCAAGAAAGGTAATTCTCATAGACTGAAGGAAAACCAAAAGAAGTCTGTTAATCAGAAGAACGCTATGGAGAAGGCTGTTGGTGATCAGGTTGCCTTCAAAGTAGAAAGTCTTCCAGAATCAGGTACTTGTTTGTTGTCAAAATTGTTTATGCATGTATATGCTATATATATGTGTGTGTGTGTGTGTGTGTGTGTATTCATTTCCATCCAACCACTTCTTATTTTTGTTTCCACTGTTTATTATATGCATGTTTGAGCTGATTTTACATGCTTTAATGTTGCAGATGATCACTTAGTGGATGGAATTAGAAAAGCCAACTCTGTCAAGGATGCTGTATGCATAGGTGTTCCTAACTTGGACACTGTACCTGTTGACTTAGATAAGCAGTATGCACCGCCGCGTAATGCTTGGGTGCTCTGTGATGATTGTCATAAATGGAGGCGTATACCAGCTGAGCTTGCAGATGTTATAGATGAAATAAAGTGCACATGGTAAACCATTCATTTCTCATTTAACCATACAGAATCCGTAAAAAGGGATAATTTAAGCATATGTTTTTCTTTTAAATATTGTTTTCCGTATTTTTATAGGATCATTAGAGTTTACCCTATGCCATGGTATTTAGAGCTATGGTTTAATACACTAGGATAAAGGGTGTTCACTTTGACGTAAAAAAAGAGGTATTTGACCTTTGATTTAATAGATCCTTTGAGTTTTTGGGATTGTGCGGTCCAAAATATTGATGGTTGGTCTGTTATTGTTTCCTTATATTGGAACTTGAAGCAGCTTTTAAGCCTACAAAACCAACCGTCCCCTAAACGAATTGCTCAGATTTGTTTTTCTACTTAGATTGGTATGATTTGTTGTCTTTCTTGATAGTTTTGTTAATAGCAATAATCGTATCCATTTGTTGTATTTTCTTACTTTGTACCTTGGCATAATAAAATTTATATCTACTAATGTTGCTTGTGTAGACAAATGTGTGGTTTGTTCCTATTATATGTATTAATCTCTAAATCTATTTTATGGAGGCGTACATGGAAATATTTCTGTTAAGATTATTCCTTCCAACTTTATTCTAATATTGTACGTTTGATTCAATTTTGTAGGACCTGTAGAGATAACAAGGATAAAGCCTTTGCTGATTGCTCAATCCCTCAAGAGAAGTCAAATTCAGAGATTAATGCGGAGTTGGATATATCAGATGCCTCAGGTGACGAAGATGCTTCCGTCACCCGATTAAATTATAAAGAATTGGAACGTCGGCGCCCAACAGGTATATGTTATTGATTTGTGATAGAAGTAAGATAGGGTTCAACTTTTGCTCTCTCTCTCTCTCTCTCTCTCACGCACTCATTGATGCTCATGGACATGCAAGTTTGCACATATCTGGGATTTAATTCTAATGCTTATTTCGGTCTCAATGCATTGCAGTTTCCCAACAGAATGTTGCAAGCATCAAAACTAATCAGTTCCTTCATCGTAACCGTAAAACTCAGACTATTGACGAGGTTTATACAGGACTTCAATTTTTTCTTAACCTGATTATTTTAGTCATTTATGTCTTTAGCAGGCACACGCGCACACACACACACACGAATGGAGATGTGCTCAAACAGGGTGTAAACTATTATTCTGTGCAGAAAAATGGTGTGGTGTGGACCAGGCCTACTCCCCCCTAAGTATTTTATATCCTGACAGTACCCTAAATTTGAAAGCTTATCTCATCTGTTGTGGAAAAAAAACGCATGAATTTCTACAAGGCTTCTAGTTATAATTTTGCCTTCATCAGTAATGTGCACTGTAAAAATCTGATGAGATTTGTGGCTTTTCTGACTAGTGTACATAATTTTCCTAATTCATTTTTTTTTCTCAATTTAATCAGATAATGGTTTGTCATTGCAAACCACCTTCAGATGGCCAGTTGGGTTGTGGAGATGATTGCCTTAATCGAATGCTTAACATTGAGTGTATTCGAGGAGCCTGTCCTTGTAGAGACCTTTGTTCAAATCAACAGGTATTTTAGCTTTTCCTTATAGCAATTTTTGTTTTATTGTGCAAAGGGAATTGTTTTAGTTAATAGATTTGTTTGCAGTTCCAAAAACGCCGATATGCCAAACTGGAGAAGTTTCGATGTGGGAAGAAGGGTTATGGGCTCAGGTTGCTTGATGATATATTTAAAGGGCAATTTCTCATTGAATATGTTGGAGAGGTAAATTGACAAAATTCAATTATTATTTTTTTCTCAATTTGTTTGGTTAATGCAATGGTGAATTCAGTGTAGAGAAGTTATTAACTTTTAGTGCTTTGGTTGGAATACTAAGCTAAAATTACTTTGATGTGTGTTTTTGGTTTTTAATCATAAATGCTAATATATAAAGGCACACCCAGCTTTGGTATGCCCTCACTTGATTCTTTTTTCTATTTTTTTTATAAAAGTCCAACTAGTCTGATTCACACCAAATTCTGACGCCAGCTTTTATGCACCTATCAACGCTAACTTGCTTATAACATTTAAACCTTGAAGCACTAACATCATGCCAGATAGTTGAAATTCACTTCTTACACCATTAGATTTTCTTTTCTAATGCTCTCATAGTATCCATATTTGTTTGAACCACTTTACTCTTTTCTCTTCTTTTAGTATCTTTCATTTCTAAGATGGTTCTCCTCAAGTACCTTTCGTTTCTAAAGATGTTTCTTTTGGTATAGTCTTCTCAGATGCATTGCACATGCAGGGCTCTAGAATGTAAGAAAATTCACCAATTTATGACATGACTGAGCTTTAGGAAGTATCAGCTGCAGCCTTCCATTTGATTTTTTGTTTTTAAGTTTTTTGTATTCATTTATTATGTGGAACAATGAAGTGTGGGCGAGGGCTCTCTTTTTGTTGCACGAACCAAGTTCATCATTCATTACAAAGTGATTGGAAAAAAAAAAATTACAAAATGAGGCACGCAGCTTATTTCTTCCTTCAGTTCAGCAGATTTAGTTTATCTTGAAGTTATCTATAGGAAGAAAACCTTTCAGAGATAGAAATTTGTGTGTGAGCGGATTTGTGGCTTCCTATGAGGGCTTATGTCAATTTATAAGAAAAGATAAAAAGAAGTAAAAATCTGTCACGGCTAATGGGTTAAAATATTCAGAGTGGTTTCAACTTCTGTTCTTGTACTCTAATTGTTGGTTTCAGTGTTTGATTGTGTGCGCGATGTGTGTGTTATGTATGCTTATATGTATATGCACAGGCAATCAGATAGAATGTTACCCTTTATTTACCTGCTAAGATCTTTTAATACATCGTCCAAACAGGTGCTTGATACACATGCTTATGAGGCACGGCAAAAAGAGTATGCTTTAAAGGCTCACAGACATTTCTACTTCATGACATTGAATGGCAGTGAGGTTTGTATTTTTCTTGATTTATTAGCGTGAAAAGTTCTAGATTTTCATCTCTAAAACATATTTAGTCTTCATGTATCTTTGGGTCCTTTGTAATTTTCATGTCGCTATGTAGCCCCATAAGTATGCTGCATGATGCGATACTCAGATTGGTGTTATTGACTTAATGTGGCCTACTTGCAGATGCATAACAACATTTGGACTATGCCTTTTCATTAATTTAATAGTTATTAGGTTATATCAAGTTAAGCTTCTGTTTCCTATTTTTAAAAAAAGTTATGTAATTATATTAATTTTTCCGGGCAAATCTTATGTGAAAATAAGATAATTCTTTTGAATCTGCGCATTGGGTTGTATATAATGTTATACTGCCATTTCTTTTCTCTTTTTTCCTGATTATCTTGCTTGTCGCATTTTAGTGCGCTATTGATGAGTTTTCCTTTTATTTCAGGTAATTGATGCATGTGCAAAGGGAAATTTGGGGCGTTTCATTAACCATAGTTGTGATCCTAATTGTCGCACAGAAAAGGTGAATGTTAATATGAGCAGATTAGTTTTATAAAGATTGTTAGATTCTTTTTGTTATATACTTGGTCTGGATGAGCCTTTTTTTACTTTTGGCAATAACGGCTTGTAGCCCAATCAGATTTCCCTCCCCCTGCCTCAATAAGGGATATTGCCCCTTAGTTACAAAGGACTTTGGTGTTGAGTTGTGCCAATTTGGATATACCACTAAGGGAAGTCCATATTTGTACAATATATTTTATGGATATGTTTATTGATTAGTTTCCTACTTTTTTTCTTCCTTTTCCACATGATTTCCATTTTTGGGACCTTTATTTTGAAAATAATTGTTGGGTAAGTATAATGTGGTGAATTAATGGGTTATATTTTGTTTGGGAATGGGCTGTATGAAATCCTGCTAAGAGGACTGTTAGGCATGGACGTAGTGATGCATGTTTGTCACATTTTTATGTTAATGAGGCATATTCTGCATACGATCAATTTTCTTTCAATCATTCCTTTGTATTAAATGTATGGAAGTTTAAGTCTCGTATAAATTCCTTAGAAAAACTATATATGAATGGATTTCATGTTCTTTGTTATAATAATTGACCCATTTCCTTTATTCTATATTTTTCTTTTGATCAACCTTATACTAGATTATGCATGTTGCTTACTTGTAATTTGCATATTTTATGGGATATTACATTGATCTAGTGTATGAATCATTGATTCGATAGTGATGTCGCTTCTCAGCAGTTACATTCATTTTGTATCTGTACAAGCTAGAGTAAAGTTTACGGTATAAGGATTGGGACATGAGATTAGGAAGTACTCCTTTTGGGTATCCTATTACCATTCGACGTATATCTAATATTTGGCCTTTCATTTTTTCTTTTCCTGGTTTTGGGATGCATTCGACATTACATCATTTCCTGTGGTTGTTGCTTATGGAAGCTCATTTTTTGTTTGACTATTACTCTTCTTTATACTCTAAACTCCTTTTTTCCTGTTCTCAACAGTGGATGGTGAATGGAGAGATTTGCATAGGACTATTTGCATTGAGGGATATAAAGAAGGTATGCTTGCGCCTTGCCCAGTTACTTTCATGCTTAATTTCTTTGTTAGAGGCATGATCCTGATGTTTGATTGCTTGAATTGCATCATAAACATAATTTGCATGGCTTCCAACCCTTTATAAGCAGGAAAAAATCAATTTTTAGTTCCACATTTATTTACCTTAAATGCTATTAAAGCTGAACATGACTATAAGGGAATCAGTTATTTTAATTTGCTTTGTTTTTATCTTCTTCTTTCAATCTACTTTTCCTTGTCATTGCTCTGTGTTCATACTCACCATTTTGTATATATGTCCATATAATTATTTTTCAGGGCGAAGAGGTGACATTTGACTACAACTATGTAAGGGTTTTTGGAGCTGCTGCCAAAAAATGTTATTGTGGCTCAGCTCAATGTCGGGGTTATATAGGTGGTGATCCTCTTGATAGTGAAGTCATCATTCAAGATGATTCAGATGAAGAATATATTGAGCCCGTGATGATTCCAGAAGATGGTATATCTGAAAAGGTGGAGAGTGCATCTACAAATAAAGAAATGGATAAGTCAACAATTGCTGTTGGGGAATTGGAGTTTACCACACAAAGGGAGGAGTCCGTGAACCCATCTGAATCTGCTGTTTCGCATATACATGATTCACTGGAACTGGAGCACTCAAGACAAAAATTACCATCTTCTGTCCAACCAGTTGAAGCTTCCGAACATAAAGAAGAAACTAGCAGACCCATGTCCGTTGTTCAGCAGGAGATTTTAAGGGAAAATGAGACTAAAGAAAAATCCTCAACCTCATTTGAAAGACTAGAGATTGCTTCTCCAATAAAAGTTCTTAGCAAGTCTTTATCTGATGGCATTGATGCTAACAGGAAGTCCAAGTCTGACACTACTGAAGATAGGCAGGTTTCTTCTAAAGTACGTCCTAATGTGAAAACTTCCCGTTCATCCAGTTTTGTGAAGAAAGGCAAAGTGAGGATTATCCCAAGTGGTAACAAAATTCAAGTGGCAGCCAACAAATCTCATGTGCTTTCTATCAAACCCAAAAGATTAACAGAAGGTTCAGGTAAGGGATACTTTGTGTACTTGTTTTTTTAGAAAAAAGAGTGATGGATAATTGATTAATTGAGGCTTGATGCTCTTCAATGCTTGCAGTGGAGGAGAAGCTTAATGAGCTGTTGGATGTCGATGGAGGGATAAATAAACGGAAAGTAAGTAGCTGTGCCATTTTCTATCTGCTAATGTACTTCATTTTGTGGGTTTCCTTGTCATATTATTGTTCTATTCTGCATTGGAGCATTATGGACCTGTACATTGTCATTATACACCTTGCATTGTTTGGTTTTGTTTTTGAAACCTGTGTGCTGGTCCATCTCTGCTACTGAGCACACTGCACCATATTTTCTTTTTAGTATTTTCCTTTTGAATGTTACTTCTGAAGCCTATTGCTGGAATTTTCCAAAACCCTTTCTTGTGTCGAATTAATAATGATCATAATCTTTTCTGCAAGCAATTAGCCTTGACAATCTCTCTTTTTCTAAATTTTATTCTTATAGGTTGTCTTTTATGTTGGTAGTTCATGTATGCATGGTTTTTTCTTACAGGATTCCACTAAAGGCTACTTGAAGCTTCTGTTCCTAACTGCAGTATCAGGTGATAGTGGCAATGGTGAAGCAATTCAGAGGTTATTTGAAATCTTTTACTTCATTTTCTTGTCATGTGTCGTAATATTGTTCACTTAACAAGTTTCAGTTATTGTCGTTTATATGAAGTGTTTAGTTGACAGTTCTCCAGTAAAAACCCTTTTTCTTTCTTTCTTTCTTTCAGCAATCGAGATCTTTCAATGATCCTTGATGCGCTTTTGAAAACAAGGTCACGGGTGGTTTTGATTGATGTAATAAATAAAAACGGTGTGTATCCTTCCTTTTGTTGCCTTTTCTGCTTATCTGTATACCCTTTTTGGGTTGGGAATGGATTAATTAATTAATTGTGCCCTCATTTGCTTCAAATTGATGAATCAATTTTTATTTATTTTTTGGGTAGGTTTGAGAATGCTACACAACATAATGAAGAAGTACAGAGAAGACTTCAAAAAGATACCAATCCTCCGGAAGCTTCTGAAGGTTTCTCTTCCCTCTCTCTCTCTCTCTCTCTCTCTCTCTCCTCTCTCTCTCTCTCTGTTTTCATGTGGAGTGGCTTCAGGGATTTAAGAAAAATTGATAGAGAGAACATTGCTTTATTAATATTTTGGCATTCAGCAGACTGCTGACTAATGTTATCCTCGCAGGTCCTAGAGTATTTGGCTGTAAAGCAGATACTTACGTTGGAACATATTACTGGAGGCCCTCCTTGCCCTGGAATGGAGAGGTAATTATTTGTTTCTTCATTGAATATCCTTATTAATTCTCTTTTCTCCTTTTTTTTTCTCGTTTATTGGGTGGCCATGTGAGAATGGAAGTTGGTTTCAGATTTAGTGAACAGAAGTGTTTTGGACAAATTTTTCTAATTGCATTGTATTTTATGAATGGGAGCACTTCTCATATTATGATTACCTTTTTTTAATTCAAGTTGAATTGTATTTAACACCAAAAAAAAAAAAAAAAAAAAAAAAATATATATATACTTTTGGCTGTGTTGCTTATTTCCTGAAAATTGTGTTTCTCTGCAGCTTTATGGAGTCAATGCTATCATTGACAGAACACAAGGACAAACAGGTCTTGTTTTGATAATCAGTTTAGATTCCTTAATCATTTAGTATGTTCTTCTGTTAATAGAAATACTTGCTTAGGGGCTTCATTTGATGTTTTCTATAATATGTGTCCTGATGCATCAATGAATGAATATAACTACTCTGAGTTTAAATCGGTTGAGTATTTTACAGGTCCACCAAATAGCACGGAACTTTCGAGATAGGTGGATCCCTAGACATCTCAGAAGACATGGCTTTGTAGACAGGGATGATAGCAAGATGGAATTTAACAGAGGTTCAAACTGCAACAGATTATCCACATCACATGATAATTGGCGTGATCAAAGTGGAAGGTCTACTGACACTATAGATAGTATCAAGCAATCAGTGCTTTCAACGACTTCTGTGAGTACTGGTGTCCAGGACTGTTCTGCACCTTGTACAGGTGGATGCCCAACCAGTGTGACAAAAGTTCGCAAGCGTAAAAGCCGATGGGATCAGCCAGCAGAGACAATCCCTGATTCAAGTTCACTGCAGAACAAAGAACAGAAGACTGAGTCTGGATTGCATAGACCTAGTCCATTGTCTGGGACAGGTGAAGTGGCATTGCATTTAGAGAGGGTGAGTGGCGACGACGGAAATTGCTCAAGCAGTGTGCATGATAACTCTCAGCAAAATGATGGAGCTCAGATCAACCTTGAGGATGTTCCTCCTGGGTTTTCATCTTACATTAGAACCCCTATGGTTTCATCTATTGCTTCGTCATCATTTTGTCCTTTGAAGTGTCCTGCTGCAGTTATAGGGCATCCACAAGAGAAATTTGTTTCTCGCTTATCTGTCTCGTATGGATTTCCACTGTCAATGATGCAGCAATATGGGACACCACATGCTGAAACTGTAGGGACTTGGGCTGTTGCACCTGGCATACCTTTTCAGCCTTTTCCACCATTGCCCCCGTTTCCCCGACATAAGAAAGACCCTTCACCTTATCCTACCGTCAATCATGTATCAGGTAATCAACCTGCAGGAGGACAACCGGACTGGTGTGTTCCTGCAACTTCTCAGTCTGAAGAAAGCACTCCAAGCACAACTGGTTCCAATCAGGCAGACTTTGGCAGTCCATGTGCAAACAATCAATATTCATCTAAACGAGTTAGAGTATCCTCGAATGATTTGGGAAGGAGATACTTCAAGCAGCAGAAGTACTGGAATAATACAAAATTGAGGACCCCATCTTTTAGCGACCGAAACGGGTGGGGATGTACTGGAAACAACTCCGGAGGTGGGACAGCAGATGGCATAGGCGTAGGACATGTAGCAAATGAGCTTAGTACTTCATATTGTTCAGAGGATTTAAGCTATAGGGTGGAGAAAGCTGGGAATAATGTCAATCAGCATTCACATCACCATTAATCAACATTCATTCGTAGGATGAGCTACTTTTGCTTTATACCTCAATGTGTTCCCAATTCTTTTGTTTCTGGGTTTATTTAAATGAAATTTTTATTCAATGTTCAAGTCTTGGAATTGAAGTTATAGTACTAAGACCTCATGAAAAAGATGCTCCTGTCTGGTGATGTGCTCTTATAAAATATTGATCCATCGACTAACACCTCAAAGAGGTATGTCATCTTTTATTTACATTATAAGGCTTATGAATGATTTTTTAAAGATATATAAAAGGCATTTATCAATTTTGAACCCCCTTCATAATGTTCCCCTTGACTTTTTTATTATAATTTTTTTATTATTATAGGATTGTATGGCGTGCATTAATCTCGAAAGCATGATTTATATTTTATATTATTAGGTTATCTTCTCTTGTAATATAGTAACCATGAGCTGTAATATTAATAGAAAGTTTGCATCTCTCTGGTTGATTTGTAGAGTTAATTGGTTAGTTTATTATGTTATTATTGCCTGTTAGGTTAATTGTGTTCAGATCTGCCTTTTCATCATCTCTGATTAGTTATTGAGGATGAAAATGATTTATGGATTGTTTGGTACTTTTGCAACGTTCAGACTGAATACAAATGGGTGTTTCAACTGTAATAAGATTTTTTTGTACCACTTATCTATCCTCGTTATGATTTACTCCAGTGTGGTTACTTTTCTTTTCTGCTCTTGTTTACTTGTTTAAAGTTATTAGGGTTAACTGTGTTGCAACATCTGGAATCTTTTACTTTAAGGATGGCAATTCTTGTTAGAGTCGTTTATGTGATTTCGTAATTGTGTAATTTGTGTTAATTACTGATCAGATTATAGTTAATCTGTGTAATTACTCATTTAACATGACTCCTTAGTATTTCAACATGTTTATATTTGTGTTGTGTTGGAAAATGGATAGGCCGAGAACTCATACTACCCATTAAGAAACAAGAAAGATCAGTCATTTTTTGTCATGTCGTATATAAGTTAACCCGTATTCAACACTAACTTGACCCGTGTATTATCCTTGTTAACGAATCATATCATATACAGGTTTACGCCAAGTAATGGTTAATCCGAACTGGTTAACAGGTTCGTGCGGTTAACCTGATCCGGTTAACTTTCGGTCCAATTTGAATGTTGCTACAAGTTGCCACCCCTTTCTTATTCAGTCTACTGGCATCAAAATTAACTTCAATTTTTCAGCAAAGTTAGCCATCAGAAGGCTTTGCAAGACCTACAATAAATAAAGTATACATATGCTTCTCTATTAATTATTTCAAGTATTTTCTACATGAGAAGAACAGATCTCCAGATATAGTATCAATTATTGCTCAATCTCCTCCAAAGAAGGATGATTTTTAAAAAATGTATAAAGAAAAGTACATGCACTATATTCTCCTCTTTTTACTTTCTTTTTCCAATCTAATGCAACTGAGCCATTTACAGCATGGGAAGAATACCATGCATAATTCATCAGAATTTCCTTAGCATGGTTCTGATGTGAACTATGCACCATGTTTTCACGAATGTTTTGTGCTTCCTCCAGCCACAGAAATGCTTCCCAATCACTTTCTTATAACTAGGCCTCTGCTGCACCATGATCCAGTATTTAGCCATGTTTGGCCGGCCACCTATATACTCATCCTCCAAATTCAAGATCACTAACCGTGCGAGCACCGGAATGAGCATTACATCTGCCATGCTAAACTCTTTCCCGGCTAAATATGCCGTTTCATTCAGCTGTGTTTCAACTTCATCAAGAAGTCTTATTAGGTGTTCCTTGTCCTGTTTCAAAACATCCGGGTTTTTCAACTTTTCTTCCGTCTCATATGCTTCTTTTAACTTCTTGTGATAATCAGCTGCCAAATCAGGAGTTTCTGCCATTCGAGCAATGAGCACCTGCCTTAGGAATTTAGAGACGTAACGACGGTGCTTCTCTGGGATGTGACAAAGTGTGAAAAACTTGGGGTTCCATTTTTGTATCTTATGCATCCATTCAATGACTTCACTGCTGCTTAATGGGATGTTCTCATCGCCTGATGAGACTTTTGCAATTTTTTCTAAATATCTGGAAAAACAGATAGATAGCAGTTCAAAATCTTCTACATTGTCATATTCAACATGCTTTGGGAAACAAGAAAACACTGCTTAAACATTGAAATAGAAAATTAGAGGAATTCAGTCTGATGCAAATCTAAAGTGACTTCAAAACTCAATCTCATATTTATAGTAACAAGGAGTGAAGAGTGAAGTATGTAACATACTGAATGATCTCAATCGTGTCGAAAATGACATGGCCGCCGTTCTGGAAAACCGGGAGTTTTGCGGTCGGATTCATCCTGAAGAATGAGGCATCCATGTTCTTGCCTGTTACAGGATTGACATGGAATGATGTATAATCAATGCCTTTTTCCTCCAAAGCAAATCTCACTCTTTGGCTGTCCAATGAGAATGGGTGGTGATATAACTGCATGGTTTTTGTTACCGCAAGCAGTGTGAAGAAATTGGGCTCTTTTGTTCTGTCTCTGAATGCTGAGTTTCTGCAAAATGGTAAGAAAATGTCAATTAACATCTTCCACAAAAGCTTCAAGCATAAAAAGCTCAACACATGATGTAATTAAAAACAAACCAAGCTTCAATTGCTATTGCAAAACTTTGCTTCCCAAAACCCATTAAGAACTGAAAATCCACACCACCAAAGCAAATCACAGAGCACCACTTTAATCAATTCAACAGTAAACATATCAGAGCTCAGCATACCAATCTGACCATGTCCATGACAACTCAAAAGTTAGAGACTTGAAAGCTCAAGCTTCCCAAACTTCAGGCTTGAAGCTTCCAAAACTCCCAGCAGAAAATATTCAATGGAGAAAACAAATAATTTGCAGACCAAAACTAACTGAAAATTAAGACCCCAATAAAGCTTTTTGACAAATACAGTCAAATTCATAGCTTGATTCCCCCCCCTTCCCCCCCCCAGAAAAACAAAGACATTAAAAAAAAATTGACAAGAACTTGACGATAGGAAATAGGATTGAGAAACTTACCCAGAAGATGACAGAAAAAGAAAATAAAAAAAATAAAAATAAAATTGCCTATTTGGGCTAGGGTTTTTGAGAACTCTGCAGACACACGAAGAAGCTTTTGACCTCAAACTGGGAATATAAAAAAAGGTTACAAGGGAATTTTGGTTATTGAATTTGAAAGCAAGGCAATGAGAAAGGGAACAAACAATCACAACTGGATGGGACTGGGAAGGACTGTTTAACTGTAATCTGTGCTTCCAAAGTTGCAACTGGAAAGTGCACAGGCAACTATTTGGTACCTTTACTCGCTCAAGTAAGATGGGCTACTGTACTCTCTCCCTCTCGTTAGACACGTGTCCACCTATACTTTTTCCAGCTTGACTTTATGACGTCATTCACATGGTCAACTAGATCACGATCTTTCTGTCCTATTAACCACGTGTGTAGTATATTTACCTATATCCCCTCCTTTTTTCTCTCTCATTCTTTTCTTCTCTCTCTTGTTGCAAAGTTGGCACGGAATTAAAAAAATTCTAAGAAACTATATCATGCGATCCTTTATGAGTCCAAGAAAAAATGCGCAACTCTATGGAACAAGAATTTTCAAGTAACATAGGTCCGAAAGTTACCTGCAAAATTTGATAAGACTTTACGGGCGGTGAGGGGGCACCGATGCGGTGTCGGTTAATAACGCTTTACCGATTATGTTAGTAACTTTGTAAGATTGAACTGTAGTAGGTTTAGGGTTCATAATATATTGTACATTGGTTAGTAGTGGAGATATTTATAATAACTTGGGAGGGATATACGTCTAATTAGGAATATAGAAAACCTACTTGTTTGTAATCTCAAAGATAAAAAAGAAAGCTAATGACTATCTTGCTCTTAGCTTTTTTGAGCTAGGTTTAGACCTTTCCTTTCTTGTTGAGGAAGGAAATGTTCGAAACCGGTAACTACTTGAGGGGTTGGTGGGGATTGTTTATTGTCACTCTTTATTCAAAGCGATTGAGCGTCTATGCGAGAACTTAATTTCTTATTTCTAATTTGAGTTATTTGGGTTTGTTTTTAGTATTGGGTTGTGTGTAACTTGTTCTAGGGGAACTAGGGTTTTGTGAGGGAGCGTATAAATACATAAGTTTATAGTGTTAGTCTTTGTGTGTGATCAAAGTGGAGTAATGGATTTGAGGGTTTTGTCTCTATGATTTTGAAATACCGACTGAGAGACTCAAATCACCAAACACGGGTTTGAATATTTGTTTGAGAAAAGAAACTTGGGCTCCAGTATGTTGGGCTTGAGCTTTAGGCCCAGGCAATTGCTTTTCTATATTTTATTTTATTTTATTTCTGTTTTGGATTTATAATCACGTGCATGGATGATGGAAAGGGATATATACCTACTCGTGGGTGGCCAACATTAAATTTGAAGATTTATGAAAATTAAAAATTGACACATAACTAACAAAATCATGGCCACACTCACCGTCACCTTGCATGCCTAAATACTTTGATAACGAAAATATATATCTTACTGCTGGTTAGCTATTTAATTAGCCTATGATTAAGACCCAAACCCAAAAAGATCTCAAATCGGAAGTGGAGAAGGATCTATCATTAAATTTAAATTCAAATAAAGGGGTCACATTAGATATCATAATCAAGGCGACAAGCAACATGGCTTCTTTTATATGAGCCCACTATGGGTAGCAAGGTAACATGGCATCTCATGACTTTGATGGATTTGATTGGAGTTTGGAGTTTGGAGAATTGGTCTAATCTAAATTGTAGCTTCATTAACGAGAGTTCAGGGTCCTCAAACTCTTTAGAGCTGATATTGTGTTTATGTTTAAAGTTAAGTCGTTTTTAAGTTTCTATATCATGAGACTTGTTATCCAGACTCTAAAAAAGTCATACTATATGCATGACGATTTTTCGAGAATGTGAATAATGACGATAAGTACTAAACCCCAAGACGGTTAATCCTACATAAGAATCGTTTTGGACACTAAGCAAAGAATCAACACCAAAAGTGTGAGTAACCTCTATGAAATAAATAGTGTTGTTTTGTGTAGCGAAATGCGAGGATCCCTAAATAGAAAAGAGGAAATTATATTAACGACGGAGCTTTGCTTATTGAGGATCATACTAAACTTGTAGTATCTTCAATGAAACTCATTTCATTTTCTTCATTGTGATTGAAATTAAGGCAGCCCACCAACTGCCAAGTTACGTTTCGTTTTCAAGTAGTTAAAAATGTTTGAGTTAGTTGAATGGATATAGGGCAGGCGGGAAGCTTATTAGTGGGTTTTGCCGCTATTGCTTCATTTTCTTTGTTTGGTTAATGTGTCATTTTGGGTAAACTCAACACCCCATTTACTATTAGGAGCTTACAACTCTAAGCAATTATTATTACAAGTAACCGCCGAACCAAACCATTTCGTAAACATGAGCTTCTTTCTTTCTTGCTTCTTTTCCTGGTCTTAGGCAGAGCAGATATGAGAACGACAAGCCATTTGGTAATTAATTTGCTAAAAACTAAGTACGGATGTGGAATTTTAAATCCATTTGGGTTTTGTGGGCAGCGTGACAGGAGTATTTTACAAGTAAAAACGACTAGACTCTACAGCAAGGACCTTGTTTTGAGGCATAAAGCAAGTACATATTCCAATTTTCATTGTGCCCAACAATTTTTCAGAGCTCCCAAGATTGACTTTTTGTAGGGGAAAAAGGTAAATAAATATTCTTCACGCAATACAATGTACCTAGTTAATCGATGGGTCAATTTGCCATGAATAGTAAAGTCAAGTGGTAGCGTCATAGTGAAAACATAGTCATGTGTGGAAGAGAAGAAAAGTTTAGTTGAAATAAGGATAGAACTGTTTTGTTATCTCCGATAAATAATATTATGCAACGTAGAAGTGTTAGCACGTTTGTCATAGCATTATTGGCTGAACATAACAAAATTATATTAGAAAAATAGTTGTGCTAATATAGCAATGCATGGCTGATGATCATGGTAGGGGCCGTAGGGTTTAGAGCATCATTGCATCTGGTTTTGGAAAACGAATAAGTTAAGAAGAAAGTGAGATTTCTAAGTCGAGTAATTCTTTAGTGTCACACAATAGTTTTGTTAGTAGCAATCTGTTCATATTATAATAATATGTGTGTCAATATATTAATTTTATACTCTAAATTTATAACGTATTAACCAAGTAGTCTGCTACAGGCAAAACCAATTAAGGCCTAATCAGTTGACCCTAACCCTCTTGGCCAATTAGTTTCCCTAATCTCCTTATGCCCATTTTTCCAGCTTTGACTCGCTTTAGATAATTACCCATAACAAGGGGTGGGTGGGTAGGAGGAGTGAAATTTTTTTAGCGACAAAGTAATAAGTTTGACCCTATGAGCCTAGAAGTGGTTGTTGGTCGCTGGCATTTTTCTTCCTTTGGTTACTCAGACTTAGACTAGGAAAAATCTATTGCACCTGCCATGAATTCATGTTCAGATTATGAAAATTTGGTGTATAGAAGTCTTTGAATTCATTGTATAATAACTAAGTTTTATTAAACGAATTAAGATTTTGTATTATTGAATGAGCTCACGTCATGGTTAATCTCTCGAGTTGACTCCTTTATATAATTTCTGACTATGAATTGATAACATGACGTGATGAAAATATACTTAATTAAAAAAGAAAACATGTCGCATCTCATACATTGTATCTAATTCCCATAGACTAATATGTACTTTTGGCACCCATGGGCCATGGGTACAATACAAGTAAACCCCACCATTAAACCATAAGCATATCTTAACGTATCCTAGTGATTAGAAATATATTTGCTTTGTGTGCCCAACTAGCTAGTAAGATGCCATGACGGAAATGGGGGTAGCTAGAATTTGCCCTCATCAGGCCCGCAAATATATATATATATATATATATAGATATATATTTCTGATATCATATATATTTTTGTGTCGCAGATGTGATTGGTGTAGGACCAATGATCCGTACATCCACTAGCAGTATTTAGCTTAAAATATTATATATTATCTCCATGCGTCCATAATTAAAACTTGAGTAAATTACAGTAAACCTCCAACCTATAAGGTCATTTACGAGTACACCCGATTACCAATCCTATATACAATTTTGGCTGGCATGGTTATTGTAAAAGCTTCACGAAGTTGGGGCTATAATTTAGGTTTTTTTATATTATTTTTTTATAAAATTTTATAAAGGGCTATAATTTTGTTTTGGGATTTGACTCAAATAATGCTTCGTATAATGTGGGTGTGACCGACCGAGTGAAGGTGCAGGATAAACCAAGAATATGCACAAAATATGCAAAACATGAAACATACGGAGGATACCATTCCTTTTCATTAGACTAAGAATAGCTAAAGGGAGAAATATATATAGCATAAATTATCATGTTATACAATTTTTTTTAAAGACAAACTAATTGATAAGTCCGATCATTGTACCCTATTACAAAAAGTTTAGTCTCGTCTCATAGAGTCCTACTCTTGGTGAAAAGACTTGTTATCTCTAATATGTTGGTCCGTTGTCTAACTTAACGAGTCATTTCATGCAATTATGATCATATTATATCTAATTTTATTAAAACAAAATCAAATATAAATAAACGTTACCAGTGTAACGAATCTGCCCCTTCTTGATAAAACATCAATATACTTAATAATAATGCATAGTGGTAGTATTGAATCAATTCTTTCAACTTATGATCACTTGATCAGAAAACAAAAAAAAAAAAGTGATCACTTGGGATATTGCTTGTCATTTTCATCACGTGAAAGAACCCAAACATTAATCCACCGACAGAAGGAGCTGGCCTTCAAATTTTTTTTCCTTGTTGCTCCAAAAGCACATTGGCTACGAGTATTAACAATAGCTAGCCCCTCCAAACAGTGGAGCACAAAAATAGGCATAATTCCAGCACTAAAGACTAAACATGAGGAAGCTGCCTCTGGACCCCTTTCAATTATATTAGGACCCATAATTATAATTTTAATCCTGGTCACAATTGGACCTAATTAAAATAAATTTTTAAAAATAAACCCAACCAGTTGTTCTTGTTGTTCCATAATTTTTGGACGTATTATCTTTCAGAATAGTCCCTTTCTTCCTCCACTAGTACCGTTCCACAGCGTCACTTCACTTTCTTCACCTAATTCTATTTATTTATTTTAAATAACATTATTATACTGGTGGAAATTATGAGGCACGTGGCGGAGAGCCCTCTGGGCCACGTGTTAGGACAGCGCCGTTGGCTTTACCGATAAAAATTAAGCGCCGCTGCCCACGTGTATGAGGTCTGATTGGATGTCACGTGATAATAGTTATATTTACACGCATTGAATAGGAGGAGCGCAGCGTGGCACCGTAAAAGGTTGTTTTCTTAGGCTGTCACACGGGCATAGTTAATTTCTGCCACCGACCGTAATTTAATTGAAAAGTGGAACTGTTTTTACCTAACCCTAGATATTTTGATATGTAGACAACGAATAAGGGTTTAAAATAATTGATGTTACATGAAAAAGGGAAGATTGTGTAGGAGGGGAAGAATATATGGTTTGTCTAGAAGCATGAATGGGAAATTATCATAATTCATGCTTGTTGGTTCAATAGTAAAAGTTGTACTCGAAAACAACGACAGTAATATCGTGATGTGGTGCTATCAACTTATTCATGCGATTCATTATATTGTAACATGTGAATTAATAACATCATATAAACATTTATTCGGTTTAACAAAATTTGAACTAAAAAGAATTCACCGTGATAAAATGAGGTACTTCGACTGTTTTCATGATTGAGTAAAATTCTTAGTCATGGGTTATAACTGGTCTTTGTCAAATTATGGCAATCATAAAGACAAGTAGTGGAGGTATATAACTCCGGCCTAGCGAAGGTTCTTCCTTCATATTAAATGAGAATTGAATTTATCATTTAGTGACCTCCTTCCCTATGTATCATTTCATTTTGTTTGATATGAGATCTTTGTTGTTGATGATAAAAAGAAAATCACTAAGAAATGACCTACTAGTGTAGTGATTTGGAGTAAATATTTCTTCAAGGAAAGGTCATGGGTTCGAGTCCTAGCATTTGTATAGTGTGTGTAAATTTAGTTTATATATTATTGTCCCTCTTAATAGAAAATGTCCCAATAAAAAAAAAATCCACTATTGTTGACCGAGCAGTATATAGGTTACCTCAGTTTGTTCATGATTTCAACCACAATACTCTAAGAATCCCTCTATTCATGATTTCACTCGCTATATATTGATGAAGAAAAAAAATGACATTGTAAACCTTTGTCACTCTACTTTATGGCCTCACTTTCAGCAATTCCACGGCATTAAACAACCAAATCTTATTAGAAAAAAGAGGCCAGTATAAAGTAGAGACTAAGATGCTTTCTTGACTAAATCATTAGCGTCATCTTTTTGTGATGGTCCATTGCTTTTGGCTAATGGTTGGTATAACATATTAATATATATATATTTCATACCTTATACATCAATTTAGCATACGTAGGTATATCAATTTATAAAGTATACGTGGAGTCAACTTTTCTTATCACAAGCTCATACGTGTGTATATTTTTTCAAAAATATACAAGCAAGATTGGGAGACGGTAATTGAATAACACTTCTTCTAATCACTTCAACCGTAAATCTCTTATCACGAGTTTATATAATTTTTATAAACTCCTAACTAATTACTCTCTTCTAATTAAATTGGATTGGCTAGTTGATATAAAATCATATATATTTGGCCAAAAAAATTTAAAAAAGAAGTTGATAGATTCGTCGGTCATACAAATCAATCCAAAAGCTAGGAATATAGAAAAGTGAATAACAATAGTATAAGTACCTCCAATGCTATCTCATTCACTGTCGAATAAAAGTCAATAACCTTGAGCTTGTGGCTCCCGCCAAATTTTCACTGCCATTATCCCATATGCCCATGCTCTTCGCATTTATGAAGCCCCATGTCGTTCTCATTTACCTCCCCATGTTCATCCAATTTATATCACATCCAGAGACTAGACCTAATTTTTCCTTATTCTTTCACGTAAGTATAAGGTTTATCTAAAATTTAGGAATGACATGACATCCTTCACGAGTGTTCAAAACCCATTAAATAGAGTTTTTGCATGTTTAGGAAAAGAAAAACAGGTTTTGCATTTCCAACTATGAATGTGGGTTTCTTGTTATAGTTATCGTGTTTAAATTTCAATGGCACGTGTACTTACATTACAAGTAATAAGAAAGAAGAAAAGAAATAATTTCCATTCATGACTTTTATGAAAATGAAGTCTCGTTGATGCTTTCGAATACCATAAAGAAAATTGATGTTCCAATCCAATTTAAAATGAGAGAAACTTACTTGTTTAAAATAACAAAAAAATGAATTGAGCCGAATTATAAATAAATCACATACTGCCATGTCATTTGTTGAATAAAATATAAGGGGTGTAACAGTAATGTTATGCTTCATGTGATCCACAGAGATATATATATACAAAGAGCTTTCATTGAGAGATTCTTCAAATTAGCTTATTTGAGGGATACCCTTGTAGGGTCCGTATTGTATTTCACTAATCCAAATCGTCTATTTTGTAGAAACTCATTCAAAGATCATTTTTACAAAAAACCACTTGTAGGGTCCACTTCATATTGTATTTCCTAAGAATGTCACTCAATAGAAGATGACTATATATATATACATATATATATGTATATATTTTAAGGTAAGTATTTTAAGCCCATTCCATTCCCGTCTAAGTCCATGTGCGTTGCAGGTGGGCCAACCCAGAGATCCAATCACCATAAACAAAACCTTAATCACTTGCACAGAAAGCTATTAACCAATAATAATAACTCGCGGTTGAAGCAGCTCGATCAGAGTAAACTAAACGTGAGTTGAATTAGCGGTAAAAGTAGGACCGCCCTGTAGCCTTAAATTGCTACGCTTTCCTTTTCTTCTACTGGTATGACTGCCATTTGCGAGCACCTGAAATTGAAAACCAAACCAACGACGGTTAAAGCCAAGCTAAGCCAAACCAACCCATCTCTCATTCTCTCTCTCTGAGCCTCTTTATAAGCCTCTTGACATGAATTCGCAGCACCGGCAACGGAAACACAGAGCTGCCGGAAACTGACCCAGATAACAAAACGACATCGCTTGGACTCTGACGCATTGTAGCACTTGAAAATGGTACAAGAGAATTATGGTGAACAAGCAGAGATGGAGAGCTCTGGAGGCCGTTCGGTTGTGGTCGGAGTGAAGCTGGACGCCAAGAGCAGAGAGCTGCTTACTTGGGCTCTGGTCAAAGTGGCTCAGCCTGGTGACCGTGTGATTGCTCTGCATGTTCTTGGGAAAAATGGTGAGTGAAATTTAAGTGAATTTTTTTTTCTTTTCTTCGTTTTTTTTAAAACTAACTGGTTTTGATGAATTGGGTATGTGTAGAAATTGTGGATCAAGATGGGAAGTCGTCGCTTCTTTCCCTTGTCAAAGCGTTCGACTCTGTTCTTGCCGTCTATGAAGGTTTCTGCAACTTGAAACAGGTTCATTTCTCGCAATTTTTTGTTCTTTTATTTGTTGGGATTTTGTTGTCCTTTTGTATATTTTGTTATATCCTCTGGTTGTTTGCTTAGAAAATGAAAGAGTGAAAGGACGAATCATATTTTCTTTTATGTTTTCCACTACTTGAGAAGTTCAAAGTTTCAAAACAATTAAGCCAAGTTTTGCGTCAGTCTCAGTGCATTGGATCATTTTTTCAGTGGCCTAACTTAAAAAGTTGGGATTTTGGTTGAACATTTACAGGTGGATCTCAAGCTTAAAATCTGCAGAGGAGCATCAGTCAAAAAAATTTTAGTCAGGGAAGCAAATTCTTATACTGCAAGTAAGGTTATAGTGGGGACTGCTCAGAACCACCATAAAATCCGGTCATCGACCACCGTGGCCAAGTACTGTGCTAAGAAACTGTCCAAGGATTGTGGGGGTTCTTGCTGTAAATAATGGGAAAGTTGTGTTTAACAGAGAGGGCTCTCAAACAACTTATTATGACCCCCAAGGTATTTAGATTTTTTTTCTTCTAATTTTGGGGTGCTTTCTATGGTTTTTATTGTTTAATTTGTTAATAGCTATAGTGGATGGGGGTTCTAAGTTGAGAACTTGTTTTCAGGAAGTGAAGAGCATCGCCGAAATGGTTTGCTCACTGCATTTCACCGATCACTGCATAAGTCTTCCAAAGTACTAAATGAAGGCAGTGACAGTGTGGCCTCAAAGGACACATATGGTCCGGTCGATTGTCAAAAATTGGAGCAGGGATTTGCTAAACTCTTTTTGGAATCTTCTGAGACTGTTGCAAAACAGAAATGCTCAATATGTTCACGGCCCTCTGTGGATAATTCTTGTCACCAGTCTGCAGTGGAATCTTCTGCGGATGATGGTGAAGATAGATCTATGGCTATAGTGCCAGTACAGAAAGAAGAGGAGGCAGCAGCAAGTTCTATTTCTATGTTGATCAGAGAATTACCTGAAGCGAGACCTGGTTGGCCACTGCTTCGACGGGCTGTATTACCAGAGCAGCAAATTTCAGAGAGGTCTCTGGTCCGGAAGATCTCAGTAGTTCAGTGGGCAATGCAGTTGCCCAGTAGGCAGCCTTCAGCTACCTCCAATTTTGATGATAGAAAAAGTAGTTGTGATCCAGGTGAAGATCAACCTTATTGTTTGAATGGAGAAAGTGGTGCAATTGTTGCAGTGGGTAGTGAGGCAGTGACTGCCCCACCTTCACCAGACCACAGTTCAAAAGGCCTGCCTAAAGAATTGGAGGGTTTGCATGAGAAGTACTCGGCTACTTGCAGATTGTTCACCTACCAGGAACTTCAGTCAGCAACATCATATTTCTTGGCTGGTATGTTGTCCACACAGTTCATATGTCAAATATCCTGCTCATTTTCCCATTTGTATTTATGTGGTTTATTCAAGAAAACTTTTTTTCTTTCTCTGTAATCCCAGAAAACTTCATTGGGAGAGGCGGTAGCAGTCAAGTTTATAGAGGCTGCCTTCCTGACGGCAAAGAACTTGCTGTGAAAATCTTAAAACCATCTGAAGATGTATTGAAGGAGTTTGTTTTGGAAATAGAGATTATTACTACCTTAAACCACAATAACATTATTTCCCTTTTGGGGTTCTGTTTTGAGGATAACAATCTTCTCTTGGTTTATGATTTCTTATCAAGAGGAAGCCTTGAAGAGAATCTCCATGGTACATACTATATATGTCTCTGGCTTTAGACATTACTTGAAGAGATTTGTGTTTCTGTTCAAATTCTGCTTTAATTTACAACTTTTTTGATTTTTATCGTATTAGGAAGTAAGAAGGATCCGCTTACGTTTGGTTGGAATGAGAGATATAAGGTTGCTGTGGGTGTAGCTGAGGCCTTGGATTATCTGCACACCAGCAGTGCTCAACCTGTAATCCACAGGGATGTCAAGTCATCCAATATTCTACTATCTGATGATTTTGAGCCACAGGTACCTGATCATTTTGTTGCTTTCAAATTTGCATTTTTTTTCTTCTTCAAATGGTCAGTGTTTTATACTATTTCTACATGGTTTTGTCAGCTCTCTGATTTTGGACTGGCAAAATGGGCATCAACCTCCTCTTCACATATAACATGCACTGATGTTGCAGGCACCTTTGGGTTTGTAACTTCATCTCACAGCTTTTTAGCTTTCATCTTCTATCTGTGGACTTCTGTTTTTCTACGAAGATGAATAAAATTTCAAAATTGTGATTACTGCTTAGGAAAACAATGTAAATTATGGCATGCTGATTAGTTAATAACATTATTGCATTTTAATGCAGCTACTTGGCTCCTGAATACTTTATGTATGGCAAAGTAAACGACAAGATTGACGTATATGCATTCGGTGTCGTACTCCTTGAGCTTCTTTCTGGAAGAAAGCCTATAAGCAGTGACTATCCAAAAGGCCATGAGAGCCTGGTCATGTGGGTATGTCCCTCTTTTCCAATAAGGTTTAGCAGTACTCTTTGTACCTCTTGATGTTGTCTCCTGATAGAAAGTTGAATTATTGAAATGTATTGTCCAGGCCAAGCCAATTCTAAGCGGTGGGAAGGTGTCTCAACTGTTAGATCCGTGCTTAAGCAATAACTACAACCAGGACCAGATAGAAAGAATGGTTTTAGCAGCCACTCTTTGTATAAGACATGCCCCACGAGCTAGGCCCCAAATGAGCTTTGTAAGTTGGATGTGATGGCTTCATAGCATGCAACTAATATATCTGAATGAACTTTAACAAAATTATATCTGTTCTTTCTGAGCACAGATTGTGAAGCTCCTTCAAGGTGATGCAGATGCGATTAAGTGGGCAAGGCTACAAGTTCATGCTCTGGAGGAATCCGATGTGCTCGAGGACGAAGCATGCCCACGTTCGAATCTGCAGTCTCACCTTAACCTTGCACTGCTGGATGTGGAGGATGACTCACTCTCCATGAGCAGCATTGAGCAAAGTGTCTCTTTAGAGGACTACCTGAAAGGCCGGTGGAGCCGCTCATCAAGCTTTGACTAATCAACAATTTTACTGGCACAATGCTCTAGTAATTTCACTCCCCATTTGCGTGATTCATTTGTATATTAATCCCCCTCAAGAAAAAGAAAAAGAAAAGGAAAACTAAAAACAATGGTTTTCACATCTTCTCCAAGTGGTTGGCTTATAGTTATAGATGGGTTTAGGATGAGAGGTTGTTTCTGTGTGTGCCCTCCTCCTTCCCTAACAGTCATAAAACTAGTCCTTGTTTATTGGGCTGGTTTTCCTTTTACATGTTTTTGGGTTCTCTTTTTTCGTTTGTCTTAGTAGTGTCAATTTACTTCTTGGTCTCAATTAGACCAAGAGTTGGACACTGTTGTAATGTTGAAAGATGTAATTCTGGATGATTTTTCATTTTGCTCAGAGCGAGCACAAGCCTGAAATATGAGTGATTCTGCTTACGTTTGTGTACATGTGGCCTGGAAAACCTAGAAGATGTCTCAAATTCGAATATCTTATTTCGATTATAAAAGCACAGTGCTCATAAATGTGAAATGACAAATGGGATATACAAATGCAAGTCATTATCCTCCCTCCAACTTGGTAAATTTGCTTTCTCCTACAAAATCACATTGTTGTTAGATTGCTTTCCACTGGACCACACTATCCATCGGCATCCTCACATGGTGATAAGCCCTTTATGCCACTAAAGTCATGAGGGTCTCCCCTACACCTCACAACCTACCAACAGAACCACCATTTCTATGGACCAAGTTTTTGGTCAGAATTCATGGCAAGTCACCGACACTTCAGACCCATTTTGGTCATTTCCACTACAGCACTCATAAATTTCACTAGCAAGAGTACTTGCCACCTACATTTACCAAAAGTGTCAACCCAAAAAAAAGAAAAAAAGCAAAGTTGTTCCAACTCACCTCACTATTTTCTAGCTAAAATAACTTTTATAGGAGTTCTTAAGATGAGGCTCTCTTTAATGTAGCCTGACATTGAAATACTAGAAAATATTTTATAACCAAAACTCACTATCGTTTCCTTCTTTATTGCATAATGGGGAAGTTTTGAATTTTTTAAGAATAATACTAGTCTTACCATATTTTTTATACAACAATTTTATACCACATGATGTGGCGGCTGATGTGTACATACCACATCATGTAAAATACTAGTTTCAGTTTTTCTAATTTTATTTATTAAAATACACTTCATTCATTTAATTGATATGACATATGATATGGACATGCCACATAATGTGGTATAGAAATGTGGGATAATAATGTGGTAAGTGTAGCATTACTCATTTTTTAATGTATAAGTGAATTTAAGTAGATATGGGCTTAGTCAAGTTGGTTAGAGCGGATGTGCTTTTCACTTTGCTAGGCCTCATCATTTGGCCCGTGGGCTCATGGGCCGATGGGGGGCCGCCCGACCCATCGAAAAAAGCCCGGCCTGGCCCGTTATGAGCTTTGAGATGGCCCGTCACACCTTTGGCTGGGCTGGGCTTGGGCTTAGGTGTCTGAAGCCCAGTCCGACCCATATGCCCAACCTAGTTAAACCCAAGAAAGCCTGACCCGGCCCACCCATAAAAGCCCGGCCCATTAGGCTTGCATACATATATAATTATGTATAAATAAGAGTTTAGGTTTAGGATTATATCACTTAAATCACATATATAATTTGTTTCATTTCATTTACTTTTCTTTACTCATTCTTAGTTTATAATTGGATGATTAGCACATTAATTTGTGTCAATTATTAATACAACAATTATATATATATATATAAATAAGATGAACAACATATCATATCACCAAATATAATCATATCATGAAACATAATCGTACCACCAAATATAATCATGCTTTTCTTGAACACATCACCAAACATTTGCATATTTATTCATACCATCCTTTAATCAATTTATTTTTTTTATACTTATTATTTTTTAAAATTATTTCTTAAAACGTATTACGGTCAAATTATGTAATAACCTCAAAAATAATACTTGGTTTTATTATTTTTGTGGAAAATCTTATTAAGTTGTGTGACTTTATTGAGTGTTTTATGAATTTGGTTTGATGTGAAAGTATTGGAATTAAGTGAGTTTAATCTCAAATTTGGCCCTTATGATTAAGTTTATGATTTTTTTCAAATGAAGTAGGCCCGTTGGGCTTAGCCTGGTCCAGTCCGATGGGCTTCTCAAGCTCGGCCCATGGGTCGGGCTTGGGCTTTGAATTTTCTTTAAAAAATCAAGCCTGGCCTGATATTTTCTCTCTCCTCTTTAAAGCCCAACCCAACCATGCCCAAGCCCATTAAATTTGGCCAACTGATGAGCCCTATACTCTGCACATGAGTTTGAATCTTCCTCCTCATAATTTAAATTATATTAAAATAGAATATCGCTTATATAAAATAAAAAAAGTTGAAGATCCCGTGCTATTGCTCCACACATGCTTTACATTAGGGATGATTGTAGTAAAACATTTTTTACGTAAGAGTGGGTTGAACTTTGTGAAAGTCAAAGACGATGAAAATCATTTGGGTATTAGTGGATTTTTGGTATCTAAAACGTAGGGAACTTCTCCATTGCGAAGTCAGAAGATGCGGACTGGTTATGGATTTCTGTTTTTGACCGTTGGATGATTTCAACGCTTCAGATTGGATTTTTTTTCCTTCTTTCTTCATCTCCCCGATTTCAGCCTTCTCTCTCTCCTCTTTCTTTTTTTCTTTCCTTTCCTTCTTTCTCTCTTGCTTTTCTTCCTCTTGTTTCTGCACAAGCTGGACAACTTTGGCAGCATCCATTTCAACAATGAGCTTGCGAATACCCTTGTCAATAGCCAGCTGAAGCCCAAAAAAAAAGCCCCAGACTTCAGCTTCAAGAATCTGCCCTTTCCCTTTATTCCTTATCTCTTCTCTCTCCGTTTCTCTTTTTTTTTTTCCTGCGTTTCCCTATCCTCTCTCTCTCTCTCCCCATTGTTTCTTCTTTCCTAGCAGTGGTCAACTATTACAAAAGAGGGCAAATACATTATTACAGTGGAGTTTTTTTGTTTACCTTTTTTCTTCAGGCCACGGAGGAGAAATAACAGAGGGGATGGGGGGAGTGAATGGGTCTGCGTCTGTGGGTTTTTTTAATTATCTTTTTCTTCAATCTTTTTACCAAAATAAAAATAAAAATTGAACAAAGGTAGAAGAAGAGCCCAATAGAAGCTGACGTCGAGACAATTTTTTGCCCCAAGCCAACCCCAGCACATTATAGCCAAATCATTCTCAGAAAATGAAGAAGAAAAAAATGAAAGAGAGAGGAGAGACAGAAGGGGAAATGCCCAGTTTTCCAGCTGAAAGGAGAAGAAAAAAATCACCCATGACAAGAGGAAGAAGAAAAAAAGAAAGAGAGAGAGAGAAGAGTGAACTCGGGGAGAGACAAGAAAGAAGAAGAAAAGCAAGAGAGATAGAAGGAATGGAAATAAAAAAAGAAAGAGGAGAGAGAGAAGACTGAAATCGGGGAGAGGAAGAAAGAAGGAAAAAAAAAACCAATCTGAAGCGTTGAAATCATCGAACGGTCAAAAACAGAAATCGGTAACCAGTCCGCATCTTCTGACCTCGCAATGGAGAAGTTCCCCTTAAAACGTATATCTTGTCAAATTATTGACTCATTTATTTTACATAAATGATAATAAAATTATAATTGGAAAAGTCAGTCAAGATTCAAAGAATGGGTTTGGCCAAAATAAAAATAAAAATTTGTAGACCTCTAACACGTACGTACCATTTAAAAACTGAAACATAAGAACGACATGTCGTCTTATTTCGAAAACTGGACAAAAACCTTTACATCGGTTTCAAAGTGTGAACGCGAGAAAAAACTGCCCACCCAAAAACAAAAAGAAAAAAAGCCGATCCAATTTGGATTGAACCCAAACAAAAGAAACGCAAAGTCGCACAAGAAATTCAAAGAAGAAGAAGAGCAGAGCCAAGAAACCCAAGAAGAACCCGAAGAAGGAACCCAAGATCTGCCTTCCATGGACCTGCCTCAGTACCTTCACCACCACCCAAGGTACGCTACTTCTCATCCCTACCCAGCCGACCCCCCGAATTTCCCAAACTATCCTCACCGCCACCACAACAACCACCACTACAACCACCACCACCAGCAGCAACCACCACCACAAATCCAACCACCGCCGCCTCCACCGCCACCACTACCCCCAACGTCGTCATATCACCCCCTGCCTCCACCTCCACCACCGCCGCCCCATCCCTACAACCCCAGCCAGCCCCAATTGCCCTTTGAATCCGAACATTCTAGAACCTTTCACTCTCTTCACGACTTCCCTGTCTCCTCGCCCCGTGTCTCCAGCCGAGTCACTCTCGATGCCGAGCGCCATCGCCATCATCGATTGCCCCAATTTGATCTTCCCTACCTCGAAAAGAATCCCGATTCTTGGGACCCTTCGAGGCCTTATCTTGATTTTGAGCGTGATCGTGAATTGCATAAACCCCAGTTTAGGCTTGAATCAGAGGGTAGTGGTAGTGCTAGGTTTAGAGGCGAGTACAATGAACAACTGCTCCGGGATCAGCGGGTGGGCGACGATGAGTATAATAATCGTCGCCGAGCTCGTGTAGAACCCAATTCTGAAATTGCTTATCGCGAATTGGGGTTTGTGTCGAATCAAAATTCGAATAATTTGAATTCCAATAATTTGGATTTTGATTCGAAATCCGGAGGTTATGATGGCAGGTATGATGAGTTGATGAGGAGTGGTGGTGGTAGGAGGGATGAAGTGTATGAGAATACTCAGAGATGGGTTCATCATGACAGACAAGCTAGTAGAGAGTTATATGATCCGTTCGAGGTTGATGAGACTAATGGAGCTCGGAATGTTTCAGGGAATCGGGAGTATTATGGTTCGGAAACAGGAAGAGGTAGTAGTAATAATAGGAGGAAGCAGATTCAGAAGAAGAGTGCTTTGCTCCGGCTGCAAATGGCGAAACCTAGTCACAAGAATTACTCTGCTTATTTTGATAATTCTGGCTCTAGTTCCCACAGAGGGAAAGGACATTATGAGTATTCGGATCGTGAGATGGATGAAGAAGAGAGAGGTGGGAGCCCTTTGGAACTTGATGTATCATTTAAATCGAATTCCCTAGTGGCGAAGACAGTTGGGAATAGGAATTTTAAGAGAGATTCAGTGTTCGACAGTGATTTTTCAAATTCGCAACTCACTAAACTCAGTGAGGATGCTGTACATTTGGATAGCTCTGTAGTTGTTGAGGATATGACATCCAATTCAGACAAGGACCCGCGACTGTTGGAAGAGGAAGTGACTACTTCTGGTGTTGAGAGTAGGTGTGATATCGATTCACAGCCGTGTTCTAATGTGACTGATGCTTCGTTTGGAAAGAGTGAAGTGGTAAGGGCTTCAAAAAGCAAGGTTTTACAAAGAGATGGTAAAAGTGCTGGTTCTAGTCAAATGCCCTCTCTCAAGGTTTCTAAGAAGAAAAAAGTGGCAAAGAAAGTAGTGAAAAAGGTCATAAATCCTCAACCACTGCCAAAAAATAAGATCGATGAACCTGGGGTAGCAGATAGCTTTATTTGTAGACCATCTGCATCCTTTGGGGCTGACAAGGGCGAAACCTCTTCTTTTGCTGATCCTTGTTCAAACGATGTGCATGCGATGCCTGTAAATAAAAAAGTAGATGGCTCTTCCCTGAACATGTTATCAGATGAGCATGGCACTGAAGCCAACTCTTGTAGTAAGAGTACTGGGAGCAACTCAACTTCAAAATTGGGTTCTTCGAATCATGAAGAATTTAACATTGATCAGGGTCCTCTGACTGTAGATACTTCTGTCCAGGGCTTGCTTAAGATTTCAAATTGTAGCAACAATGTAACTGATTCACTTAGGGTAGCTAGTTGTCCTGAAACTGATGGTGTTATAGATGTCAGCAAACAGATTTGTCACAGTGGTAACGGTTTATCGCTTGATAATGTCATGCGAGAAGAATCATCAGAGGCCATGCTGTCTGTAGAAGGCAATGCCAATTCTGGTTTTTTAAATTCAGAGAAAATTTTGATGCATGACGACATTATGAATGCAAATGATTCAGGCCATGGTACAGAAACCACCTTGGATATTGAGAGTGGGAGAAATGTGTTGCATCAGGAAAAAATTGTTCATGACATTGGCACTGTGGATGCCATCAATGAGAAAGTTTGTAAATATCAGTTCCCTACATCACTTCAAATTGGTTTTGTGGAAGAACTTCCAAGGGGTATATCTTCAGCAGAAAGCAGCATGACTGTTGGTTTGTCAAGTTCGGGGGAGACCTTAGCTGTTTGCTCCAATTCTGGTAGAGGTACAACCTGGGATTCTGACAAAGTTTGTACTAATTATGATGAGAATGTTATTGGTAAGCAACCATCTGCAGATGGTGCCTCTAGATCATTTGGAATTTGTGCCACACAAAGATCTCCAGATGTTACAAAGTCAGTTGGAGATAGTAAGAGTAGTACTCATAAGAATAAAAAGAAGAGAAAAGTTAGGACTCGGTTAGACTCTTCAAGGGCTTCCAACGCTTGTGCAGAGCCTATAAATGTTTCCGTCAACAAAAATTCTGTGGATACAACAGTAAGTTCATCCCTGAAGGATGCTAGTCATGCAGAAGTTTCTGTTTTTGGTGTTGGAAAGTTAGATATTGGCTCACAACCTGTTAATGATGGGGTAAGTGTTATTCATGGGAAAAGCTCAGTAGATGGGTTTTGTGAGGCAAAGTTATCAACTAGAAGTGATGTTAACTGTGATCCCAATGAGACTTCATCGAAGTATATAAAGAAGAGAAAGTTATCTGCCTCTCATTTAGTATTGACTACATCTCAAACCAATGATGGACCTGCAGATAAATCAACATTTTATACAGAATCTACAGATGCACCTTTGAAGTCTAATGGTGATCCAACACAAGAAGAAGACGAAGTTGCTGCTTCCAGCACAGGTCTTCCCCTTGCTACTTCTAATTTAATGCCTTCTCAAGAAGGAAGCACTGTATTTCTTAAGGATAATTTAGCAGGAGTATTATCTGATGCTGTAGCTGCAGCTAGGGATGCCTTTACTAATGATGGTATGAAGTCTGAGCACCAAGGTGTGGACTCCTGTTCAATTTATGAAGAGTCAGTTCCAGATACACTATTCCTTTGTCCATCACAATTGAGAAATGAGCAGAAAGAGGCAGGTACTCAAGTTATGGTCATAAATAATCATCACCTTGACATTATGGACATAGAAAGCAATCGTGAAGAAAATTTTGATATAGTTGCAACAGACGAGCAAGTTATTATACACGGTGAGACTGCTTTATGCAGAGTTTCTTCAGAAGTCGAGCCTCCAGAGTTAGGTTATAAATTTTCCTGCACAGATATGGAATCAGATTATGTCTCTGTGAAAGATACATTGCCGTTTGCTTCAAATTGTCTGCTGTTGTGCGCCAATGACAATGAAGTATCCACCACTAACTCTAATGATGAAGGGGTGGAGTCTGTGCCTGATACACTGTCAGATACGGGTTCTCCAGAAACTTCAACTGATGTCCCTGGCGTGCAGATGCAAACTTGTAGTCCATCAGTTACTAAAATTTCTGATGGAAAAGATTGTGGGGATGACCAGAAATTAGATTTGAAGTCTGTGGTTGAAGTTGGTTGCAGTGCATCTGCTCGAAATTCATTATCAGAGTGTACCAAATCTAATTTAACATCACATCCTGTAACTGAAGGTGGCCAATCAGTCATGGGGAAGACAGTAGCTTTGCCATTGCAGGATATCAAAAAGACAGCTCATGGTTTGAATCTCGTAACTGCTGAATCTCGGTTGAAGAATCAGTTGGGTCAAGCTACTCATAGGATTGTTCCAGGTCATTCATATTCTGTGTTTTCTACCTCAAAGAAGACTGGCTCGTCAACTCATATGGCAAAACCTCGGACTTGGCATCGAAATGGTAATGCATCTGCATCTTCTCTTCCTGCAAGTATGCCTTTCTCGAGTACTGTTCCACCCCAAAGGAATTTACCACAAAAAGATGGAAAACTTCAGAGTAATTCTTATGTGCGTAAAGGCAACAGCCTTGTTAGAAAACCAGTTCCAGTTGCTGCTCTACCTCAAAGCTCTCATGGGTTTAGCTCAGCTGTTTATCGGTTGAACTCTTTAAGTATAGATGGGTTGAAGAAGAATGCAGGATCTGATAGTAGGGTTGATGTTAAAAACCCTCCAAGTCTCATGAGAACAGGAGAAATGAATGCTCCTTTGGATAGGCCCAGACTCCCGTTGCCCAATGGAGCCAAATTATCTACTTGTGATGCCATCTGTTTGGGGGTTCATACATCATCCCAATTGGCTGAGCCTCTTCTTAGTGGTGAAAATACGTCAGATCCTAAGAATTGTTTGGAAACTAAAGATGCAAAAATTGTTGTCAATGACTCACTGGTAACTTCTGAAACTCAGGAAAATCATAGTGGTCCATTCAACAGTTTGGAAAACCAGACGGAACTACATGATGGGAATTTGGTGCCTTCAAATACGAAGAATATTGTCTATGTAAAGCGCAAGTTAAATCAGTTGGTTGCATCTTCCAGTCCTTGTGACCTTCCCGTCCACAATGCTGATAAGATCCAACACTCATCCTTTGACGGCTACTACAAGAGGCGCAAAAATCAGCTAATTAGGACATCTTCAGAAGGTCATGCTAAACAGGCAGTTATCATGTCCAATGACAATTTAAACTCACAGGTGCAAAAGGTTCCTAAGATTGTCCCCAGCAGAATATATGGCAAGAAGCGATCACAGAAGGGTATGCTATTAGAACTTTTTCAATGAGGTGTTCTCCCTGCAATAATATTCTTTTACACTGATAGGTGGCATCAACCAATATTTTGAAATGCATTTTCTGGATCTGGGCAAAAGTAGCTTTGATCAATTTCATTTATTGATTACTGCCAACAGTTATGCATCTGAATGTTTTTCTCTTTCCTTGATGTTGTCCTCTTCCAACTTTGTTAAATGTATTTAAGCTTCCTCTTTTTTTTGCAACCTTTTCCAACTTAAGTTCTTTTCATGCTTCACATTTCAATGATGATATCATTTTACAAATTTGACATTCTCGTATGGTAACCCATTCCATGTTTTATAATCATATTACCTCTGGCATGATAAAATCAAGTGGGGTTTCTATTGACAGTTATTGCAAAGACAAGTAAAACTGGAAAAAACTCCTTGGTATGGACACCACGTGCTACAGAGTCATCGAACAATGATGGTGATTCATTTGACCATCAGAAGATATTGCCTCACCTGTTTCCTTGGAAAAGAGCAAGACACTGGAGGACTTCCATGCAAAGTCAGGCTTCCAACTTCAAATATAGTTCCGCATCAACAATGAGGTATGTTATATTTTTTTTTCTTGCTTTGAAGCTGCATTTAGTTTTAATCACATTTGGATATGTTGCTTAAGCAGATCAAATATTAATCTCTTCTTTCAGTAAAAAACTGCTGCTGTCAAGAAGGCGGGATACTGTATACACTAGGTCAACCCATGGATTTTCACTTAGAATGTACAAAGTATTAAGTGTTGGTGGTTCCAGTTTAAAATGGTCAAAATCCATTGAAAATCGCTCAAAGAAAGCTAATGAGGTTAGTTGGCTATATACGAAGAGGCAGGCTATTATTTTTCCCTTGAAAGTTATCCCCTTTCTTTTAAGTCAAGTAATGGTTGCCAAGTCAGAAACCGTTTTTCCCCTCTCCATATTAATTATTTGTATTAACATTGTCTAGGAAGCTACACGTGCTGTTGCTGCAGTAGAGAAGAAGAAAAGAGAACACAGTGGTGCTGCTTGCGTTAGTTCTGGGTCTAAATTTAGAAATAATATATCGGGTAAGTCAGTTCATAGTGTAGTGAGCCTTATGATAATTCTGATGTCTCAGATGCATGAGCAGTTCTTGCTTTTTGTATTGCATATGGTGTGCACCTTCAATAAGTCGTTTCTCAAAGGATGTTTACTTGATTATTAAGTATCTCATGATATGGCAGGAAAACGTATATTCCGTATTGGTTCTGTCCGTTACAAAATGGATCCTTCAAGGCGAACACTTCAGAGAATTTCAGGTGGACTTAATTTAGCTGCATATTGAATGCCCTACTCATCTTTTTGTGCTTCATATACAAGGAGCTTTGTTTACTTTTTTCTTTTTCTGGACATTGGATCTGGTCACCACATGTTCTTAAGTTTCAACCTTTTTTCCCCTTACGAGTAGATAGTCACATCTAGTTCCCGAGTGACTGGGAAGTGGGAAGAGAGGGACTTTTTTTTCTTTCTTCATATCTTTGGGATTTATAATTTTGGGCTGATGATGTGCCCCTGATTGCTGACTAGTTTGGAACTGCTGATTTCTATTGCGACAAGATTTTGACATTATTTAGCAGGTTAAATGTATAGTTTATCAGCATGTGCCTACACACTGTACTCTGTTTTTTGTTTTCTTGTTTGAATTATATTTAGCTGTATGTCCAGAGTCCGGAGAAATATTTCTAAGCTGATTGACCTTTTAGGTGTTTTCTTTTTCAAAGCCTTCTTTTTCTCTCAGTTTGAGATGTGTACACTCTATTCTGATAATATCTTATCAGCAAATTTGTCATACAATCTTCACTCATGCTGTGTGTAGATGATGAATCATCAAGCTCTGCTGTGCTTAATCCAGAAAAGGATGCCAAGAGATCTTATGTTCCAAGGAGATTGGTGATCGGCAATGATGAGTAAGTTGCTTTAGTTTATGCTTTGAAATTGAGTACATAGATTGCTGCAATTAATATGAGCAAATGTGAATGCCAGTTGATTGTGTTGACATAGAAACCTCCAAGTTATAGTTACTCTCCTCTTAAGCTTTTAAGTTGTCAGATATAAATGCATTCTCATTTTGGCAGATATGTGCGGATTGGCAATGGTAATCAGCTTATCAGAAATCCGAAGAAACGAACTCGCATATTGGCTAGTGAAAGAGTTCGATGGAGTTTGCACACTGCCAGACTGCGGTTGGCAAAAAAGCGGAAGTACTGTCAGTTTTTTACGAGATTTGGGAAGTGCAACAAGGATGATGGAAAATGCCCCTATATTCATGATCCCTCTAAAATTGCAGTCTGCACGAAGTTTCTGAAGGGGTTGTGTTCCAATCCCAACTGCAAGTTGACTCATAAGGTTTACCATGTGATAGGACTTCACGTGATCTACAGCAGATCTTTATACTTCTTTTCCGACATTTTATCTTCTTTTTTTTTCTCTATTTATATTTATCTTCATGCAGGTCATTCCAGAAAGAATGCAGGACTGTTCTTACTTTTTGCAAGGTGCATTCTGGTAACATTGTGCTATTTAAGGTATTAATGGAAATGAAAAATTCTAACAGGTTTCCTGGCAGGTTTGTGCTCCAATGAAAGTTGTCCTTACAGACATGTAAATGTGAATCCAAAGGCATCTACTTGTGAAGGATTTCTTAAGGGATATTGTGCTGACGGGAATGAGGTAATGTTTTATTATATACAACTTTCTTTTTGTTTGTTTTGATCTTTATATTGGTTTGAATCTGGGACTCTTTTGTCCTGTTAGTACGAAGGCTAATCTGTTAGTTTAATTTGTGCATGTGGCATGTGGGGATGCATATTGATTATGTGGGAAAGGAATTTTCAAACATTCCTTTCCCACATTCATTTGGACATGCCATAGGAAAAACCGGTTGGGTGTATGGGAAGATAGTGGAATGGTTGATGGAAGAGGAGAGTAGAAAGTTAACTGTAGTGGACGCATCAAGCATGCATATTGATTTTGTGGGAAAGAAATTTTTGAACACTCATTTGGACGTATGGTTCAATGGGCACATCATCCTTTTTATTAAGGGTGTTTTGGGAATAGGATAGGTGGATGTGTTGAGTATAATTTGTTAAATTATAGATATGTGGAAAATAGGTGGATGCAAAAAGCATTTCTCGTTATTATATTTGGTTTTCACCCTCTCTCTCTCTCTCTCTCTCTCTCTCTCTCTCTCTGTGAACAAAAAAACATACACTAATGTTGGAATAAGTAAAATGGAATATATATATCTCCCTCACAGTGCCGGAAGAAGCACAGCTATGTCTGCCCGTCTTTTGAAGCAACTGGAAACTGTCCTCAAGGTCCTAAATGCAAGCTTCACCACCCCAGAAACCGAACAAAGGGAAAGAAAAGGAAACGAACAAGAGAACAAAAAAATGCTTGGGGCCGTTACTTTGTATCCAAGGATATCAATTTTTCTGAGCCGAGAGCAGTGTCTGGAAAGCACTGTGCACAAAATGGTGATGACATATTTGCTAGTGATGAGGCTGCTGATTTCATTAGCATTGATGCTAGTGATGAGGAGGCCGGAGAAAGCAACGATCCAATAAATGAGCAAGCTGCATCGTGCGACAGTGATTCCTCTGAATTAGAATTAGATGATCTTGATGAGCTAATTAAACCAGTTCGTTTACTGGATAGGAGTCTGAAGACAACATCTTATAACAGTGGCAGCTGAAGAGGGACGGCATACAAGCTATATGCCATGGAGTAATTAGTCTGTTGTAAATGTGGTTCGAGTAAATACTGGAAGAAATTAGGAGGCAGATCCGGGAGAATCCTTTGTACACCATAGCCCAGCGGATATTTTAGCCAATTCATCAGTTTCAGATGTATTAGTTATAGATTTTTTGTTTCTTTACTAAGAAATTGAAATTTTTTTTAATATAAATTTCCTTGTACATTGTATACTGTAAAATTACAAGTGTTAAAATGAGATTGTTTTCAATATGAGTTTTCCCCTGAGTCTGAAATTTTTTCTGAATGTTGAAGGAGTTAAGAATTATTGTGGATCTTCTGCGTAATTAGTTAATAATTCATTTTGGATAAAACAAAACTGGAAGTGAATATGCGATGGCTGCAAATTGCCTGATCATTTTTACCACACACAACTCAATCTTATCCTCATAAATACGCGGAACATCATCATTGCCTATTGGCCTTCCATATTTCCCAAAACTTTGGTACCCAAAAGCAACATCATTACATAAAAACAAAACTACATAAAAGATCGAGAAATTTGGGCCACAGGGCAATTATAGCTCCCTGCATTCAGCCATGGCAGCAACTTCCTCTTCTATGGCTTTGGCAAAGTTTTCCATGTTGGGTTATGTTGGAGGAGGGAGGAAAGAAGTGGGAAAGAGAAGGGGGTTTTCCATATCAGTAGCTCAGCAGCCAGAAGTCCAAGAACCACAAGAGGTGGAGGTGCAGGAAGGGCAAGGGTTGAAAAAGGAGAAAATAAAGCCAAAAGGAACCACACCAAGGCCAGTGGAAAAACAAGTGAATGTGCAGAGCAAGAACATGGGCAGAGAATATGGAGGGGATTGGCTTAGCAGTGTGACGAGGCATGTGAGGATCTATGCAGCTTACATTGACCCAGAAACCTGTGCTTTTGATCAGACACAGATGGATAAGCTCACCATTATCCTGGACCCCACCAAGGAGTTTGTGTGGACTTCTGAGACCTGCAATAAGGTCTACTCCTACTTCCAAGAGCTTGTTGATCACTATGAGGTAAATTTAAGTCGCATGACTACCTTTTTTTCTTTTTTTTCTTTATACAAAGCAAGTTAGGAGAGGAGCGAATTCAACATATAATCTCATATGCATGAGTAAATACTTTTAATCACTTAAATTATGAGCCCCTTCCCCATGAGTACCAACTACATCTTGAAAAGCAAGACTTGAATCTTGAATTGCATACAAAACCCATATTCCTCTTAAATCTTGAATTGTTTCTAGCATTGAAGGTTCTGTTCCTTGTTGAGGCATTTATATTATTTGGTGTGAAAATCAGGGTGCTCCATTGACAGAATATACTCTGCGTCTGATTGGTTCGGATATAGAGCACTATATAAGGAAGCTGCTATATGATGGAGAAATTAAATACAACATGGATGCAAGAGTCCTCAACTTCAGCATGGGCAAGCCTCGCATTATGTTCAATAACAATGATATCCAACCTCAGGACGTACAATGATAAGATCCAAACAGACTGGCTGGAGAAAGAAAATGTATATTTTATATTAGATTGTCGTATGATAATGGCTTCCCTTCTATCTGTTCTTAATCATTGAAGGTTAACTTTTATGGAGAAAAAGAAAAATATACGTCTGACTTTGAGAGTCAAATATGGTTTTAATATACAGTTAGCAGATTGTACTCCTTTAGTGAGAACAAAAGTATGCTTCATTCACAAAATTCCTAAAGCATAGCATACTTGCATCGTATGATGCAGCTGTAAAATGTGCCACTTTGAATCCCTGACAACTTTCATGCTAACACCTTACCCAGCTGTAGCCTAATCTGTACAACTGCGCTTCCGTCACAATCTGAAGATAATGCAAGAAGTCCTACATGCGGCTAAACTTCCTTTTTCTATCAGCTTGAGGCAACACCTTCAAACAAGACGAGTCACTCCAAGGACAGAAGCATCCTTCTTGCGCCACATTCTAACAAATATTTAAAACAATTAGACAAATCGATGCAATTAGAAGAGAATGCAATAGTTGTCACTGGGCATAACTGATAGAGAAAATGTGCATGATGCAAAGTAACACATGCAAATTCATGCACCAAAGTATAAACAACAATGTAAAGGCATGTCAATCCGTGCATAAGCCATGTGTGTGATGAATGCTGCTTTGGTTAGTCGCTGCTGTGATCAAAAGCAGATTGGTGATTGTAATGTTCAACACAGAGAGAAGAACTGTGTTGGGTATGGCCTGGCTAATTGGAGCTACAATATGGATTTAGGGGCTTGTGTGTTTGAGGACGCTCCTGTTTGGATTAGTTCCCTGTTAGCTGATGATTTGTTAGGATTTGCTAGATCTCGTTTGATTTGTTCTGATGTAGGTTAGTTGGTTGTTTTCAGGGGCTTTGCCCCCCTTGTTCATAAATGAAAATCCCCCCCAGTACTTAAAAAAAACAGTCTTAGGTCAACACGGGTATTGAAAACTGGACAAAAATTGCAATCAACCCCAACAAAATTTTAGTCAGTGTATCACTGGATTGAATGTCAAGTAGCAACTGCCACATTACACCAAATCCTTTTCCTACCTTTTTCTAATGGATGGTTTGCTCAATAAATAATTCAGCTAACAAGATACCCTTGTACCAAGCACACACATGCAACAAGATATAAAACAAACTAACCTTCAGCCAGTAGAAAAATCCACGCAAAAGATTCAAAATTCTAGGGCGGTTGCTACCAGCAGCATCAATCTTTCTTGCCAGGACTGCAAGATTAGAAAACAAATTAATTAGAAGTTAAATACAATAAAATTGAAATAATGCAAAACTGGTAAGTTGTACACAGAAGCATCTAAAACAATAAGTTTCAAAGAAACCATGGCACATAAAAAAAGAATAATAATAATTTTTAGTCATTAAAGAAGTCATGTTGGAAAACACTCCCACTCCCACTCCAAAAAAGATGCCCTACACCTCTCTTAAGATAGCAGTCCTCATTAAATGAGCTAAAAGGCAGTACGCAAAGACAATGGCATTACACAGACAACAAGGCCTTACACTATCAATCAATTTACAATATATGCACATAAATATATTATTGAACTTTAAGTCATTAAAATTTAATACAAATTTATAAATAAACCCAATCTTAGACATGTATTTATAAAAAAACCCAAGCACTATTTAAACATAGAAACACACCCAAAATCAACCCCAAAATCAACTTTTTAGGTGTGTTTATAAATGGGTTTTGAGTGTGTGTAATGATGGGTTTTGGGTGTGTTTATATGTTTAAATAGTGCTTGAGTTTTTTTATAATTTCAACCCCCATTTTGGGTGTTTTAGTGAAACTCCCAAAATTTAAACCTAAACCAGGCAATATAAGTACATATAGTTAAGGGATAAACGTAGCAGGATTGACCCATAATGGGTCCAATCGAACTCTGGGGACCAAATCTAATGAGGCCCCAGTTCATCCCTCAAAAGTTTGCAAGGAAAGGCATGAGGATTCTACTAGAGAACTTCCCAATCAATAAGAACCAGAGTTCTATATAATCTAAACATGCATAATAGTGTGTGAAGCATCTAAATCTTTGTACTTCTGGAATTAAAATGTAAACAATATAAAATATGAATCTAAAGGAAGGGATCAGATCACATTATATACTCAATGCCCAATTCAGTTCATTTAACATGAATACGCGCAGTGGAGCATACAACATCCTAGACTTCCTAAATATAAGAGAATCAGCAGCCACAAAAATTCTCATATTCAGCATACCCCATATGTAACCCCCCCCCCAAAAAAAAGACAGTTGAAAGCATGGGAAAACAAATGCATTATAAAGAAAACCAACCTATGTGCTGCTCTCGATATGAAGCTCCTAATTTCCCTGCAACCGGGTAGGATTTTGTTCTTCCATTGCGCAGATTTCTGTCGTGATTTATTGGCCTTCGTAGGGTCAGTTCTTTCAAGAGCCTTCTATACTCTTCTTGGTCATAAGGCCGTTTAAGATCCTTCATAAGCCCCTTCCTAAACTGGGCATGACTTGTATCACAAGTTTCAACACACCACCCACTGTCTACGTCCACCTTTTTATTTTCAAAGAATTAAAAGTAGAAACAACCATTAAAAAATAATCTGAAGCCACAAATTCATAAAACTACACATGCACAAAAATAATCTGAAGCCACAAATTAATAAAACTACACATGCACGTGTGTGTATGTGTGTGTGTGTATGTGTGCGTGTGTATGCACGTGATAGCATAAACTAGAAAAACAAACGGAAGCTGAAACGGGGGAAGATGCATACTGCCGTAAATGAGGTAAAATACTCATTTTTACTCTCCACATCCTCCTCAAGTACAACTGCCACGGGTCCACCAGTTGTAGGTGTATACACCACTTTTCCACCATATTTTCTTAGACCATCTAGAAACTCTTGATAGTCCATGTCCCAGTCTATTTGATCAGACGCAGCTCCATGGTTGTGTCCATTCTCAGCCAAATGAGGTGTTTTAACAGGAAGCCCCTTTGTCCCACCATCCGCACCTTTCTTAATTACATTCTTCTTCTTCACATGAGAACTTTTTAAAGTTTCTCGAGTAGCGGGAACCTCTAAACCATGGATTTTATTAGAACGCCCTTTTGTCCTATCAGAAACAGGATTCGGAGCTTCTACATTTACATTCTTCTTCACCCCTGAACTCATTTTCTTTGACAGACCCTCTGAATCTTCCTGAATTCCCCTTGTTTTTTTCCTCATAGCATACCTAACAGTTCTTGGGCTCTTAAACTCTTCTTTATTCGAAGGAATAACAGAATCGTTAAAGCAATAAATTTGTTCCCTCTTTATACCACCCCTCAAAGCTTTTTTTATTTCAGTCTTCTTTTTCATCTGAGATTTTTTCAAAGTTTCTGGGGTATCTAAAATGGTCTCATCTAGTTCCCCATCTTCTTGTTCAAACTTTATCAGCTCTAAATTCTCATTCTCTCGAACAACCACCAGTACATAGGAGCTTCCATCTTCCGTCAGATTTTCCAAGAATTTCTTATAGTCAGGATCCACATCATCATCAACCCAATCACCATAAAGATCTAAACCATTCAATGCTTTCTCAAAATCCTTATCCGCCATTTCTTCTTCCCCTTGGATACTACAGTCTCTTCTTTTCTTTGTGGCACTGAACCAGGATTTGGGCTCAAAATTCCTATCAGCAATGCACTTTCTCTTCCTCCGCCTGGCCAACCTCTTGTCATCCTCACAATCGTCCTCATAATCCTTCTTTAAACTGTTGAGCTCTCGTATCCCCTTATAAGGCGCCATTTACCAACAATCAGCACACAAAAAACCCTCTTCGTCTCTTCCCACACTACTTCCAAGTCAGTGACTGAGACGTTGCACTACCAAGCTTCTGTTTCAAAACACGTAGAAACAAAATCATATATCGATAATGCAAATATCAGAGCATGCATTGTGACCCACAATTCTGTAATGTCGATGGAACAGAACAACCCCCGTTTGGTTTCTCAGAAAATACAGAAAAATGAAAAACCAGTGACGATCCTGATTCCTACACTTTCTTTAAACAAAATAACAAAACCCGCCATCATTAAACCTTAATCAAAGCAGTAAAGTTTAACACTTGAAATTCGGCACAATAAAAAAAAATTTCCCGGGTTTTCCCAGGAACCAAAAGGGGTTCTTGGGCTGAGAAAATACAGGAAAAGAAGAAAAAAACAACGAAGATCCCAAGTTTTACACTTTCTTTGAACAAAATAACAAAAACCCAACGTCAGTGAGAAACAAAAAACAAACACTAAAAACAGAGACTTTAAAATTAGCGCAATAAAAAAGTAAATAGCTTTCCCGTCTTTTCTCAGGAGGGATCTTAATGTTATTTCTTACCTAAATCCAAGCGACGCGAGAGATCGAGTTTGCACAATGAACCCTAAGATAAAGCCAAAAGCATCACTACACTTCGTCAGGTTTGAGGACTTCAGTCGACTGCACAGTGTTTTTTTTTATAAAAAAAATTAAAAAATTTATAATGAGCAAAGGAAATATTACAAGGAAAAGCGGCGAGGGCAACCCAGAGAAAGATTATCCCAGTTCGCAGCCCTACCTGCAGCAGACGCAGGAAGATTATCTTTACAAAGATGACGAGAAGAAATTTGGTGCCCAGTACTTGCAAGAGCGGCGACGTTACGGTTTTTAATTTCTCTAGAATGTTTCTCTTTTTAGTTTGTTTTAAACTATTTAGTTACTAATTGCCAAAAAAATAAACTACTTAATTACAAATCCTATGTTTCTATTTCTTTTTGCTACAAAAGTCCTGACCTTTTCTTGAATAAAGCTTTTATTAATTACAATTTCATTTTCTCTTATCTAGAAAAACAAGCATTATAATAAATCTATATATATAAAGCAAAAGACTAGAATGGTGAAACATTCAAAATACTGGAAAATATCATTGGTTAATTCAAACATTAAGAATTGAAATTATTAATTAAACGAGGATAATATGATAAATTCACATTTTTTATATTAAAAAAATTAAAATTAAACAAAATAAGATATAGGTCATACTTTTATGGAATATAACTACCCATGTTATCTTTTCTGATTTCTTAATAAACATTAATGGTGTGTTCACTAATCAGGAATTGAATTCCACCATTTCGCTGTTTACTTCACATCAAAAAATTAAAAAGTAAGTAGAGCTCACACAAAATTAGGAATTGAATTTGTAATTTTGGAAGAATTCAATTCTTGGATGGGAGGTGGTCTTCTAATTCATGGAGAACTAACCAATTACAAATTCATCTTTTTACTCATTATATCCTCACACAATTTTTAAAATTTCCAAATTTACCATATACGTTAACCCAACAACAAGGACATTTTAGTAATTAGAATTACTTCCTCTATTTGAGGTTTTTAAAGGCAAGGTTTTAATGAGACCACTTTTGTTGCATCACTAATGTCCAGTTTTTACTTTTTATACCCTGACGTTGTTTCAATACAGTTATCTTTCCTTGATCCAAAAAAAAAACAAGTAATTAGAATCACTCTTACCCCAATTCCATATGATTTGGTAAAAAACTTCAATAGGAATCCGTAATCTAACTCCTCTAAATTCATATGGTTTAGTAAACAATTTCAATAGGAATCCGGAATCTAATTATCTTCAATCCAACTCCTCATCAATTCAATTCATCATAATTCAATTATGGATTAGTAAACATGTCGTAAGGTAATATTATCGTTGAAGATTCATGACTTTCCTCATTCTAAGTTAGTAAACATTAATTCAGTAAATAGTTGAAACTACGAGTCTTTATTTTTATGTGGATAAATTCTAGGATTACATTCATAATTGAGCCAAAAAAGTCACTAGTCACAAAGGGCTAATATACAAACTAGCCACAAAAGAGCCATTACAATAACGGCGCAGTCTAACATCAAAATTAAGACAATCTAGTATGCCTCCACTAACAATCATGCAGGATCGAAGAAATTGGAGATCCAACACCGAATCGCAGTCATCTATGATAGTTGGAGGAAAATCGTAACAAAACAAAGACAAATAGGGAAAACTTTTTTTCTCTGGAAATGAGGGAAGAAGATAGGGAAGAAGAGAACAAGGGAGAGGGGAGAGGGGAGGAAGAACAATGGCTTCCTTCCCACTTAAAGTGAAAACGACTCTATAAGTGTTTTTTGGAAGAAGGGGCTGGGGTTTAAAGGTGACTGCTTTAAAATACTAAAAAAAAATTATTTAATAAGTATGATTACCAATAGAGTCTAGCCGAGTAGAAAGGGTTAATGACTTGTAGACTAGTGATTTCATGTTCGAACCCCTATGTCACACATTGCTAGGGTGTGTATGAGAAAATTCTCTCTCTCAATATCTATTGCTTTATTATTATTATTATTTTAAAATTGTATGATTTAAAAAAATTAAATTAGTACCAAATACTTATTGAATTAATGATATTTTCTTCCTAGTAGTATTAGTAGTAATGATATTTGGTAAGTTGGGAAAAGAAGAAGGGGATATAATTTCTTCCTTTTATTTATTATTTATATTTTATGGGTAACCGAAGATATTATTAGGTGAGGAGGATATGCTTGATAGCATATGCTCATCGTAAGTTCAGACAAATGTAAAGCAGCTTTACCAACAGACAAAGACAGGGATTGACCATCTTCAACCTTTTCATGCTTTGCCGGTTTCTAACTCATCTTCAACCTTCAATGTTTGGTCTCCGAATTATTGGTCCACTCATCTGCTTCGTTTCAAAGTGCCCTTTTTTTTTCCTTTTTTTTTCCTTTTTCCAAGAAAATAAAAAAGTATCACTAAACCAATATTATATATAGTCTATAAAAATAAATTTATACACTCGTCATACAACTGTGTTGTAATATATAAAAACCAATATTATATGGCTCAAATAAGTGAAATTATGTACATTTGAAATAGGATCGTTGTTTTATATCAAGATATAAGATTTGTAAATCGCTAGATATATTTGTACAAAGGAGAAATTCAAAAATATAAAACAAATTATTAACTAACATTTTGGTCTATGAGGTATTTCTCTTCTTATTGTTGCAATATATTCCGAGTTCAAATCTCCCTTACTCCGAAAAAAATAAAAAGACAAACAAGCTGATAAACCAATAGATGTCCTATTTGCCGTTATACGGCACCGTATTGTTGCAATCACCACAACGGAATTTCCGAATTAATTCGAAGGACGAGAACGACGGCGTGAAATAAACGCCCACGTCACGAAGATACAAGAGAGGCACGCAAACAGTGGGCCCAAATAACTAACATTTCGTGACCAGCACCTTGAAAAAAAAAAACCACCCATACAATACAAATACACTCCGTTTCTGTGCAAGCCACTCCCTCCACTTCCACCACCACCACAATTCCGCACGCAGCTCATCAGTTTCGCGCTCTATTCGGACTTTCGTCGAACACAACAAGGACTTCCATTACTGCGTAGCTTCTTCGCTCTTAGCCACAGAAACAATGACTTCCGCGCTCGATGTCGCCACCGAGAAGCTATCGAACCTCGGCATCGACGCTTCCCCTCCGAATCTTCAGAAGAATCTCCACCTTCTGACAGCCGAACAGGTACGTATGGGATTATTGTTTTTGTGAACAATTTTGATTGCGTGTTTTTTTTTTGGAGTGGTTTTGAGTGGGATTGTTGGTGAGTTGTAGATTGAGTTGGCGAAGATCCTGTTGGAAACGGGACAGACTCATTTGTTTGAGCATTGGGCGGAGCCTGGTGTTGATGATGAGGAAAAGAAAGCTTTTTTCGATCAGGTTTGGTGTTTTTTTGTCTCTATTTGCGTAAAAGATGACCTTTTTTTTGTTTTTTCCCCCGGATCTGAAATTGAATTTTGTTTTGCAAATTTGGAGGCGTTGGATCTAAGTTACAGTTCGATACTCTCTGTGTAATCACCTTTTATTTCATATAGCGTCCATTTCAACTCAATTGAGCAATGAAGATAGAGGAATGAAAAATGTTAAATCATATATATGATATGCTTTGGAACAAAGTTGGTTTTATAGAAAATTCAAAAACCAGAATTTATTCATGATTTAAAAATTGTAATTAAACATGCTAGATAACACCATTGCCTTAAAAGGCAGTGTTTCTGGAAAATGTTGTTTTGCTGGTGGGTTCCGATACTATTTTATTTTATATTTTCAATTGTCTTCTGATTGAAATTCACTACAGGTGACTCGGCTTAATTCAAGCTATCCAGGGGGTTTGGCATCATATATCAAAACTGCTAGAGAACTCTTAGCCGATTCAAAAGCAGGAAAGAACCCATTTGACGGCTACACACCTTCTGTAAGTGTACATAGGTCTCATTTATTTAAATATTATATACATTGGATAAAGTTGATGATTCTGGATAACTGGTATAAAACCATTGATCCATACTATTTCATTTGATGTCACTGTGCTATTAATATTGTTTATAGAACATTGGTTATTAAATGACTTCTGATCGACAACATGAAACTTGATAGAGTGATACTTGAGCAATGACATTTCAGGTTCCAACAGGTGAAACATTGACTTTTGGTGATGACAGCTTTATCAGTTTTGAGGAGGCAGGTGTTAAAGAAGCTCGGAAAGCTGCATTCGTTCTCGTTGCCGGTGGGCTTGGGGAACGTTTGGGATACAATGGGATTAAGGTTTCTAATTCACTGTCAATTATGGTCACTCAGTTTTTCTGTCAATTTTAATACTTTCAAGCGCATTGCATCTCTCAAGACAACTTACAATGATTTTTTACCAATTATTTCTGATGGTTTTATCCGTACTCTCCTTATTGGTTTTTTTTCCCTCCTCTCTAGCCTCAAGTGTCTTCTTCTTGATTTGCATCTTTGCCGTGTAGCATCTTCCTTCTGAACCAAATATCTTCTTAGTCAAGCAGGCTCTAGCCTTCATTGAGCATGGTCAGGGCTCAGATTTGATTTTCAAATCATTTGCTCATATTTTTAATCTTTTCACTGATGCATTTGCACTTTATTCAGTCCTCAATGTAGTATTTCTGATCTATTGTTGGCATTCTTGAGGTGTACTAAATTAATCTTATGGACATATTTCTTGACCAAACATTCCCATGACACGAAGCAATGTTGGCCTTGTGGGCAAAGTTGAACATCTCCTGTGATTATATCAGGTTTTCATTTAATAAATTAGCTTGCAATTAATCTTACTGGGTTAGATAAATGCAAGTAGCTTGATGTCAAAACACATCTTCTTGCTGATACAAAAAATGCCAAAGTACTAATGGGGCTGATTACTTATTGCCACATATTAACTTGCATTAAACTAGTGCCAACATGTGTAACCTATTGTTTACATTTTGCAGTTGGCTCTTCCAAGAGAAACCACAACAGGAACATGCTTTTTACAGTATTATATTGAGTCAATTCTGGCTCTTCAAGATGCTAACTCTAAACTTGCACCACCAGGTTTGTCACCAGCTCTGTATCACATAGTATGTGGTTAAAGTTTGTAGGATGCTAGTGCTACCTTTAATGTTGAGATGCTCTTTCCCCATTTCTACTTTATAGTGTCTCATGAATATGAAATACAAGATCTTCAAAAGCCAATGTCAACCTCGAGCTGGTATGAGAGCAGCATTCTGGAACCAGTGATACAGGGTTCTAAAGTTAAACTTTAGTCCTTTGCGTTAAACACTCCATTTGTGTGTGTGTGCTTTGTAACACGGGACTGTTACAGTGTTTGATCATGACCCCTAAATACTAGATCATCTAAGAAAAATGAAAAATGAGAAAGAAACAAAGATGAAATATTAGAAAGATTGATAGGGGAAGTTTTCTCTTGGATTTATCATGCATAGGAGATGATGAGGTGCCAGTCGGCATAGAAGAGAACATGGTACCATTGCGTGGAACCCATCCAAGTTTCACATATAACTTTTTCTCTATTTGTGATGTGAGGAAAGAGCAAAAGTTCCCTCTACAGATTTGTTTTTTTTTTTTTTTTTTTTTTTTTTTCATTCCACTAGCACTTAATGCTGATGTGGGACCAATCTCAGCATGCTTAGATTATTATTTTTATTTAATTCTTACTCTCTTATTTTGCACCAGAAGCACATAAAACCATGCCAGATACATGGTGAGATTAATTATTTGATGTGGCATAGGTTTCTAAGTAGTTGGGTTTTATTTAGGAAAGGCAGTTAATTATTGTGAAGGCAATTGTTGTGTTAAATTTTCTTGTCTTTTCAATCATATCAATGTTTCTTTTCGAATCTGTAGGTGAATCCCAAACAAAAATTCCTCTGGTTATAATGACATCGGATGATACACATTCTCGTACACTAGAGCTTTTAGAGTCAAATTCTTATTTCGGAATGGAACCTACTCAAGTCAAACTTCTAAAGCAGGTACGTGTGGTCACTACTGAGTTGTTGAAGAAAGCTCATTCTAGATGTTATATGAATTCTCTAGAATGTTACAGGAAAAAGTAGCATGCTTAGATGATAATGATGCCAGGCTTGCAGTGGACCCATGTAACAAGTACAGGATTCAGGTAACAGTTACTCATACATGTAATGTAACTAATCATTATATTTCAGTGACTAAGGGTTTGAAGAACTTTGTTATTTCCTTTTCCCTAAGTATTCAATTTGTCTGTTTCCTCGTCTGTTTCTCTTTTTGGTAGACCAAACCTCATGGGCATGGTGATGTGCATTCACTACTCTACTCTAGCGGCCTTCTAAATATTTGGTATGTCATTATTCATCATTATGGAATGTGCACAACTGCCACCCTATGATTTTACTTAATATTTATTATTGTAATTTCTGATTTTGGTATCCTAGATTCTAAAAATCAAGAGATAGATGTCAATTGGTCTTCTGTGTGTGCTCAAAGTTTGCTGAATAGTGTGGTTATCTCTCACAATTTTTCTGGTCCTTAGTACATTTAAAGCTACTAATTATTCTGTGACTGATGACTGCATAATGAGATAAAGATTAAAAATAATGCTAAATTGCATTTACAATCTAGCTTTATTTCTAATTTGCTGCTAAAGTCTGAAGGCTGAAGTTACCTGTTAGAAATTTGCAGCAGTAGATAGATTCTGCATGTATGACACTAATATGATACCATGATCTGTGATTATTTATCGTTTTACAGGCGTGAGGCTGGTTTGAGATGGGTTCTGTTCTTCCAAGATACTAATGGACTTCTATTCAATGTAAGTTGCTTTAATGCTTTCCTCTAATTCTTTCTAGCCATTTGGGGGTTGTGGTTGGATGTATAATCAGAACCCTATCTTATTATATTTCCTAATTTGTAGGGAATCCCAGCGGCATTGGGTGTCAGTTTTACCAGACAATACCATGTTAACTCCCTAGCTGTGCCACGGAAAGCAAAAGATGCAATTGGAGGAATTACCCGTCTTACTCATGCTGATGGTATATAACACAATTCCTTTTCCTTATAACGTATATTTTGATAATCTTCACAGTTTTAGGATTTGAATTGCTAACTTGTATGATGGCTGCCATTGTGTGCAAAGTTATTTTCAAGTGACTTTGGTTTAATTCTGATTCAGTCTATTCCAGTTCACTTTTGTTTTACTCCATACTTGGTGATTTAAGCATATGCTTTTGTTTCCCTTGTTGTACAATGTTTAACCAATGTATGAAGGATGCTTTCATATTTCAGATGAATCAACCTATTCTTGCCACTCTTTTTCTTTGTTTTGAAAGTTCATCTGATGTCTGGCTGTGAAAATGAATGCCAATTACATCTTTGGGATTTATATTTGAAACTTCTTAATTTAGTTCTACCTATAGAGAAAACTAGCACTTGGTTTCACCACTCATGAGACAGTTCCATATTATGGCACTTTTCTTGAACATTTGGATCTTTTAAATCAGGAGGAAAAAGATTACTATAGATATTAAGATGTTTGCTACTTGTACTTAATATTTCCTTATGTAGAATGTAGATGGAATTTGGCAGATGTGTATATGTATTTCTGTATGGAATTTTTAGATATCTCCAATCTACGCTGCTTTCTAAAACTTTAGTCTCAGTGTCCCCTAAATTTGTGTCTAAACCATGGTATCTAACTATTTTACAGTTATGCTTAAATGTGTTTGGTGTAAAAGGTTATGTAGTTGTCACATGTCTTCATCTGCAAAACTTATTTCAGGGAGGACGATGGTGATCAATGTGGAGTACAACCAGCTTGATCCACTGCTTAGAGCAACTGGGTATCCAGACGGTGATGCCAATTCTGAGACTGGCTATTCTCCATTCCCTGGGAATATCAACCAAGTAATCTTCTGGCCAGATTTTCATCTCTCTCTCTCCACCCCCAGTCCCCTTCCAGAAAAAAAAAGTTATGCTTTCTAACCATCACTAGTTTTATCAAAATTCCTTATATTAGTTCAGAGAGAGGCATCTATATTTAAATTGTGTTTCTATTAACAGTAAATTGATAATGATAGAAATGTGCATTTATCTTAAAACTTCCTGGAATTCGTAGATATCATCACAATTGATATCATTGATAGTGACCAAATTTATTTTAAAACATTAAAACAGTAACTTTTTTATTTTTTCATTTGCAGTTAATTTTGGAACTTGGTCCATACATTGAGGAGCTCACAAAAACAGGAGGTGCCATAAAGGAGTTTGTTAACCCAAAGTAAATCTCCACTTGATTAGAACTTCCCATATTTCTGCTGCTGTGCTTCTATTGAATTTTGTTAATTTCGTGCATAAATCAAGTTTTGAAGATATTAGGAGTTGCATTTACATTTGAAAATGGTTCTTTTAGCTGCATTTTTTTTCTTTCCCAAAGTCATTAAAATCACACTAGTATAAAATGTCAGTGTGGGTACTTCAAATCTTTTCCCTAGGTAATAAAGTAAAATTATTTATTTGCAAGTATAGGAACTCCTACTGATTTTGGATGATAAGGCATTGTAAAGAAGTTAGATTCAGCATTATATCAGGATGGAACTGTTGCTCCAGAATTCAGAATGAAATACCTTTTTCTTCCAAATCTTGACATATATGATATATTCTTCATTTCTCTTATTCTGTAATCCTTTTCTTTCCACTATAGATCATCCTATCTAATATTTCTGATCTTGCTGCAGATACAAAGATGCTAGCAAGACTTCATTTAAGTCCTCGACTCGGTTAGAGTGTATGATGCAAGACTATCCAAAAACTTTACCTCCAACTGCTAGGGTGGGATTCACGGTAATGGAACCATGGCTTGCTTATGCACCTGTGAAGAACAACCCTGAGGATGCTGCTCGGGTATGGAAATTAAGTGCCCTGTTTCCAGAGATTCTTTTTATGCTGTTTTACTTACATTCTCAGCCAAATTTCTGAGAATCCATGTTAAGAAAGAATTAAAAACTCTGCTGCTGAATCCGCCTTTTACCATAGCAGGTTGGTGTTTGGGGTTGCCAGTTTGATTTTATTTCTAATTATATGCTTGAATCTAACTGAAGGTACCAAAGGGAAATCCATATCATAGTGCAACTTCTGGAGAAATGTTAGTTTATCGTGCAAACAGCCTTATTCTCAGAAAGGTAAATAGTAGTAAGAATAGTATTTTGACATCATGATGCTTAGGTTTCTTTTATTGTTATGCTATACCTTTTCTGGAATACTTGGAGGATGGTGCATTAGCTCTTTACAAGTATCAATTTGGTCTTCTTCCCCACGGCTTCTAGATGAGGAAGCTCAGGGGAGCTGCTATTCTGATTACCAGACTATCATCCTCAGTATATGATTGTGATCACTTTACAGAATAATACCACTATCAAATCAGAAGTTAGGTATCCAACCTGTGCTTCACAACAACCCAACAAGAGAAGAGCCTCCCCAATTGAACCATGACCTAGGGTCACTTTAGGGCTGTTTGTGTTTCCATTTATTTGGGTAGTCTTGCATTCTACATGTAGTGATGCATGTGCGGTTTTAATAAATGTTGGTCTACATGCATGCATAAGAAATGTTCAGTTGCTGTAGAAAACCATCAGTGCCTCAATAGAGCTAGTAACATGATCTAAACCACAGATCTACAGTGAATTCAGTGATTCTCTCTCTCAGAGTTTGAATTTGGGTTTCACTTTTATGTCTTTCAGGCCGGAGTCCAAGTTGCTGATCCAGAACAACAGGTGTTCAATGGTCAAGAAGTAGAAGTGTGGCCTCGTATCACATGGAAACCAAAATGCGCTATCACTTTTACAGGCATAAAAAGCAAAGTCAGTGGAAGTTGCTCAATTTCTCAGAGATCCACATTGGTTATTAAGGGCCGCAACGTCTTTATAAACGATCTCTCCTTGGACGGGGCTCTTATTATTGATCCTGCTGATGATGCAGAGGTACGTGAAGAATCAAAAATTTGATTTCAAAGTTACAAATTTGCACAGATTGGTCAATATGACAGACTTTAGTTTTTATTTTTAAAATAAATAAATATTACTTCCTAACTACAGATAAACATGCACAAGTTCCACGTATGTAATCAGAATAAGCTAAAATATCAGCAGCATTAGCAAATCCCCTAGCCTGTGCTAAATTTTCACATATTGTAAGAGTTACCATGTATTATGCTCTTCACAAATGCTGCCTGCAACTCAAATTTGTGAGGGCCCAAAAACATAAGTTTCAGGCTATCTTCATATCCTCTGAATTTCTTTGGTGTCTAAATCAACTCACATATTTTCCCGTTTTGCAGCATTACTTATCCCGTGGATTTATGTTTTCAATATAACAGAGGCATTTTAATTAAAAAGAAGGAAGTCTCTCTGTAATTGAAGCATATGGTTTTGTATGTTTATATAATGTCACCTTTTAACAGGTAAAAGTGGAAGGTTCAGTTCAGAACAAGGGCTGGGTACTCGAACCTGTCGATTACAAAGACACTTCGGTACCTGAGGAACTGAGGATAAGGGGTTTCAGAATCAACAAGATTGAACAGCTGGAGAAGAACTAAACAAGTGTTATTGTGATCATGGCATGGAGAGCCTTGAAGGTGATTCTTCTTCGTAGCCTGAATTTTTTATTTTTTATTTTGTTTATTTCCTTTCCCCTTTGTAATTTGCCATTACCAAATTGAAATGCAATATATTTTTCTACAAATAATTAGTTTGGCTGTCAGATGAAAATATGGTATGGTTTTTCTAAATTTGATTAGTTTTCTCTTCTTCTTTCTCTGTGAGACAGAATAATTTTTTTTTGGTAAAAGCGATGGTCTAAATTGAAGGGAAGGGGGAGTTATCACACACACACACAACTAGATGTCATGGGGGTTTGAACTTAGGACTTCTTGTCTGCAAGTTAAGACCCTTTTCTGTTCGGCTAAACTCTGTTGGCGTGAGACAGAATAAATTAAATGATGGCATTTCTTGCAATATTCTTTTATGTCCGTACTAGGACCACATATATTGATTCCTTCTTTCAATATGTGGCTTGCAAGAGTTCAATTATTTTTTGTATTCGGTACGTGATTCTCATTTTTAAATTCCATGCTTCCCTCGTGCCGTTCTAGAAATTGTCTTCAACCTTTTTATCCCCCTTACGAAATGAAATGGAATCATTATATTTAAGATCTATCCTGAACCTTTACTCAACTCATGTTTGCAGATGACTTTTATTTATTTGGCATTTTATATACAAAATTATTTAAATCAGTCGGTAGTTTCTCATTCAACTTTATTATTTCTTTGGGCGGTTATGGACGGTAGCTCAATTATGTCATGCCACCCCTACATGTCAAGGGAGAAAACTTGATGAGAAGGTCTCTTATGAGATGATTAATTATGTGACGAGAGACGTGTGCACAAATTATTCCTCGAGTTTGGAATCTTAGAGGGAGCGGTGTTGGGTTTAAAACGAAGGGTCATTCATGACTAGTGCTTGTAAGAAAATGAGTTACAAAGTTAAGTCTCTCTATCATGTTTCCGAATCCATGATTTCCCCATTTCGAGTAAATGCACATATCATAACCCTACTATCAATTGGGTCTAAGAATAAACAACACAGAAAAAACTTCAATTGGGTCACGGCTCAACGAAAGCAAAAGGAAAAGAAAACCGGTAAAAAAGTAAACTTTGACATTTCTCAAGTGCCAAGCCGATGAACAGAAAGAAAGAAATTATTGTCATAAACTCTGTTGACTGACTTTGACATGCAGCGTTTCTCTGACGAATCACGATAGTTGAAAATTATTAATGTGTATGTTTCATGTAGATTTCTTCTTCTTTGTGCATCGACAAGACTAAGAGCTCGTTTGGGACTGCTTCTTTATGAAGTAATTCTACTTATAAGCGTTTTATTATAAAAATTTAGAATTTTTATAAAAAATTAAAGTGCTTCGTGGAAAAGCAATTGGGAGTGCTTCTTGAAAAAGCACATAGCAGTTGCTTCTCCAAGAAGCGCTTTTATGACCCAGAAGAGCTTTTAAACTTCTCTGTCAAACGCTGTCAGAAGCACTTTTGGCATTTTTAAAAGCACTCCCAAACATACCCTAAATAACCAAAAGTTTCGGTGCTTTCATTTATTGACCTCACCTAACCTCACCTCACCTCTCGTATCTACCAATAGCCATGTGTCCCCTCAGTGACGCCAAAGCGAAAGATAACCCTTGTCCTATATATTATAATTATTGTATTATTGCGTGTTACTACTTCGACCAAAACAAAGACTACCAAATAAGAAATAAAATAATTTTGGAAAATAATGATAATAATTGTGAAGAAGAAGCATGATACACGAGTACAGCCACGAGATAGTTCCAATTTTTATTTATTTATTTTCAACCACAGATTAATACCCTCGCATTTCTTGTTCACAAAACAAACAAATACAAAATAGATCTCCGGGACCCCCAATGATTTTTTTAGCTCTAATGGTAGAGTATGTGGAATGAGATGGTTTTTTTTTCCTTTCTATACAAACGACATTAAGAAAGAGGGAATCGAATCTAAGACCTCAAGTACAAGAATGTTCTTAACCACTTAAATTACAAACCCCTTACGTGAAATGAGATGAACTAAAGACCGATATTTAAGATTCCCTCATTAAATACACACCTCTAGTAACTTCTAATAAATATTTTTCTGGGTTTTGATACCGTCTTCTGGAATCCCAAACTTTCATAGAGATGAGACAATTCCACTTGTTGGAATAATTTAAAACTAACAAGCAATGGAATATCATTACCATATAGTTGCTTTCAGGTACCCCAACCAACCACGAAGCTTCATGCCAAGTTCCTCGACCATTCTCAGCCGCACACAAGAGATTTTATTTTAGCACTCATTTGTGTAAACACCCGTACAAGCCAAGTACAAGCCGACGCAACTTCTAATATTCCAAGCCTACCTTATTTATATAAGACCATGCCAACCCCTCTAACCACTTACAACCTCAACCTAGCTACTATTTCATACAACATTCACTCGTTCTTTCATTTATTTGTTCCTTCATTCTACAACTCTTCTTTTGGAATGACAACAGTGGTCTACATGTGTCCTCTAAGCACCAACGACTTGCTTCGAATTTTCGAGATGCTCGACAGGAATGGTGACGGGCAAGTGAGTCTCGAGGAGCTCAGCTTGCTCCTTGAGAGGATTGGCGTGCAGTTCAGCCTGAACGAGCTCGAGTCCTCGGTGGGGAAACCGAGCCTCGACTTCAATGAATTCTTGTTGTTCTACAAGTCCATATCCATGCAGCAAAATTACAAGAGTGACGACGATCGCCATGAAGACGGTAACATTCATGAGGAGGTTGTCCCTGATGAAGATGAGAGTGACCTTGTGAAGGCATTCAATGTGTTTGATTTGAATGGCGATGGCTTCATTTCCTGTGAGGAGCTGGAGAGCGTGCTGAGGAGATTAGGAGTTTTGGAGGAGAATAGCAGCCGTGACTGCAGGACCATGATTCACGTGTACGACACCAACTTGGATGGCCAGCTTGATTTTCAGGAATTCAAAAACATGATGTTTCAAAATACCATCTCTTGATTAATTATTTCAAATTTGTGTGTAAGCATTTGCAACTTCAATACTTTTCTGTAGAATATATATATATATACACACACATAAATCGGTTTATATTATCCAACTAGAGGTTTGAACCATCAATTAGATTGATTCTTGATTAAGTGTGTGGTCTAGATTTATAGTCTAACAATGTAATATTTATCTACTGCGAGAATTTCCTCAAGTAAGATATGTGTAAGGGGGAGACAGATTTTTGCACTTGTTTTAAGAAAGAATACTTACAACATACGCATTTTTGTTCATTTCACAATATTTGAAGTAAGTAATTCAATGATTGTAGATTGGCCACATTAACTATGGATACTTTAGATATTGTGGAAAACCCAAAAATGTGTATGTGGTAAATGTAGAGGTTCGGAATTCGCTAGTTAGGTATTACATTAGACATACCATACATAAAGATACTAATTTCTCATAATTGAATAATGTAGGAATCACGTTATTCTCAACATGAATATGTGGTGTAGATTTTTAAAATTTTAATCGTATATATACGTGATATGGTCCTTGCTAGGCTCCTAGCATCGCAACAATTGCATGGAGATACAATAATATTATCGTTAAAAAATTGTCGGTTACCACTCTTCATTTGTACGTGCGTGCACCATGATGGAACCGAATTACCTACTTATGTTTTATTAATTTGTACCATTTTAGCTGTCCTTTTTTGGGTGGGTGGGGGGGGGGGGGGGGGGGAATGGGTGGTTGGGAGAGAAAATCCAAATCCAAAGTTTGCATTGTATATTATTCTAAATTGGAATGAACTTCCTTGAGGGTTTCCCTCTCGATCGACATATTTGACAATATACATGTACCTATGTTTCTTGCAATTATCATGCACGCAAATGAATGTTTATGACTAATACATTGTCAAATCTACTTGCAAATTAACAACGATCGACTTACTCACACATGAGTATGCATGAGCGACTGTTTCATATAACGTTTTTCTTTGCCATACATAATGACTTTGAATAAAAGTTTTATACATAGCATGCATGAGATTTGTTTCAATGTGCTGAGCTTACATACGAAATTTTTAAGTGAATACATTCCATATATAAGAAATAAATTAATAGAATCTTTTAATTTTTATTGACCTCTTATGTCTCACTTTTTCCACCTCAAAATGTAGTAAATGTGACAATTACTAGGATGGAGCATATAAAAAAATCAAAGGCTAGAATTCCATAGTCCAAAGGTAAGATTTTCTGGGAAAGTTCAGCTTATATAGGGAAGCACGTACTTTGACAATTCTACCCATCAATCTCAGCTTTCAGATGACTTCGAAGCTATTTCAAAGGTCTTTTGGTTGAAGTAAAATTTTCTAATCTTAATTAATCGATTTGACCATAGGGTGGTACCATTGAGACTTACATGGTAAGACTTGTACGGTTTGACCTTTTGTGGCTGCTGCGAAGTTCCCATTTGACTTGAACCAAAGTTGAACTGCTCATCTATGGTCCAATAACATGTTGAGGACCTAACTACAAAACAACGTTAGAAAAAGTATTATTAACCAAATAGCACGACAAACACATATGATGTTTGGGTTCAACAATTACTTATCAACTATTAGAAAACATTTAGATTAGACAACAGATCGACTTAAAACATGATTAAGGTGAATCCAAACTCACTAATTACATATTGTATAATCTAGTTGTGTTTCAGGTTTGTTCTTTAATTTCCCTTTGCTCAAACTCAATTGTCCCAAAACCTTTAAAAAGTGGAACATGGTTACATGGCTAGGCTAGTACTTATACCAACTCAGCCATAATCATAGTTTAATTATGAATGATTAATTTTTCATATGAAGCCCACAGAAATCAGAAAAGGATTGGCTCTCATTACTCTTTGAAGGCAATCCCATTCATGCATATACCTTTTCTTGTTTCGTACGGAGACTTGGACATGTCATTAAGGAAGA